TGGAAGGTGGGTGAAAGGTACAGGTCCTGGGCAATGGGAAAAGGCATGAGGTAGTGCAGGTTGTGGAGAAGGTGGTACCTGCCTTGGTAGATGGACCGTGTTGGGTAGTACATAGTCACCTGAAATCATTATGACAAGGGAGTGAGTGGTGGCTCAGGGTCCCATCCTCCACGAATCAATCAGAGGTTTTCTAATTAAATAACCAAACAGACCTCATGAAGGGACTGGCTGGCATAGATGGTGTTCCAGTCCCTGGGTTCAGAGACCAGAGCAGGCAACAGTGAGCGACCTGTAAGGTGCACAGCTGTGGGGCTACCTGGAAGGCTGTAGGAAGGATAAGGAATGGAGAACCAGTCTAGGATGGTGGGAGTGATGTCTGTTCGAAAAAAAAAAAAATGGCACAAGTAAAGAAAGGGTGAAAAATGACAGGGAACAATGAGAAGAAAGCAACAATTAGATTCCACAGGCACATTGTGCTGACTAGAATTATAAAAGTATGTAAAAAAAAAAGATCAGGTACAAAAAGAAAGTTTGAAATGCAGGTTCATTGATACTTAGCTAAATTAATTTCATTGTGTTTGTACTGGATATTTTATTAAATTCACCTAATTTAAGTTTACTTTCAAAATGTCACATACAATTGAATGCCATTTCTATGAAACACTACCAATACTTCATTTGAAATCCCTGAGAATAAACATTCCATCAGAATTGCAGTGTTATGTTAATGCAGTAAAATGATTAGTGACTAATGCTAGCCTTTGATTCTTACCAAGGAGACTGACGTAGGCCTGGCTGACGTCCCCCCACCGCGTCCTGTGCTCTGGAGAAGACATGAGCATTGGTTCGCTGATTCCAGGATAATACAGGTTGGTTTTGGCATTAGGAAAGGGGATGCCGTTATCAGAGCTGTAGATTACCAGGGTATCATTTTCATGACCAGCGTTCTGCAGCTCCTGGAGAACTAATCCAATTCCTGCAAAGAAATTTTGACATCTTGAATATGTAGCAAATACTTCTGTAATCGACTTATGATATTAAACCCGCACACATTAAATTATCTGTACTATATTTATATTATAGTTAGAAAACTAAATTAGTGGTTTATAAAGTAGCACTTATTCTTAAAACCCCAATCTTAAAAAAAAGAGAGAAAATTCCAGTAACCACACACAGACAAAAGATGTCATTGTTTCTGCCTCTTTGCTACTGTATAGATTAGGGGTCGCCAAAGTGGTGCTGGAGGGCACCTGTCAGCCCCCATGGTCTACCTAAGGTACCGCCGGGGTATGTCCTAAACATAAAACTAGTCAACAAAAGGGTGCAAAATTCTACTGTTGCTGTTAAATCAGCTCCACTTGCAATGAAAATCAAATGTGTGCAATGACGATGGTAAGAAGAGTGTCTACTATAGTTATTATTACATTGTTCAGGAAGTCGGTATCAAACAAGTAGCTCTTTGTATTTCTCAAGTACCCCTGAAGTAGCTCTCAGTTCCAAACAGGTTGGTGACCCCTTGTATAGATACTATAACTCTACTCTTAAAATGTTCTTTCTTGTAAGTCATTGTTCTGTTATTTCCACAAATGAAAACACTTTTACAAGCTTCAATTATAGATTAGCTTTATAGACGAATGTCTTACATAAACATTGAACATATGTTGAGAATTGGAGTAGACAGTTTAACATTATACTGGAAGTTTTTACATATTTCATTGTCTGTTGTTCTTGTCTTATTTAATGTTGTGTACTTCATATTTCCTTGGGTGCTGATTTAACATGCTTTCGGTATAACTGAAGTCATTTTTGGATCTTTCTGTTGTCATTATTTAAATATTTCAGGTAAACCATATTATGAATGTCACTTGAGAGAAGAAACATACCAGAATTTTACTTTATGGTACAAGTGATATTGTTGAGTTTTTGTTCATGTTGTTACGCACCCTGATCCAGTCTGCTGATGGAGGTGTACTGTGCAGCCAGGTCAGCTCTAGCTGCAGGCGTGTCTGGAACAAAAGCAGGAACCTGTAGTATTGAAGAAACAGCATAAGGGGGACATAAATAAATGTATGGGAGTAACAATATGATAATGTGACTTCTATATTCTAAACTCAGAAAAAAAAAAGATTGCTTTAGCTTTTAGCCTTTGGCCACACTCCATCCACTCAATCAAAAAGACACAAAGAAGCAAAGAACAGCAGCTCAAGCAGAGGGCGAGGTCCAACACTGGTCCCAGGTTCCTCGGTGACAACTTAAATCATTTGCTGAGCAGCTTACCCCTGTGTTCAACTCACTTCACTGTCCCTTCCTTCTTCAAAAAGTCCACCATTATCCCTGCCCCCAAGTAGACCAGCCCTGCTTGCCGTAATGACTACTGTCCTGGTGCACTTACCTCCATGGTAATCAGGTGCTTTAAGAGGTTAATCAAGGACTTCATCTACGTTTCATTCCCCTTTGACTCCCTTCTGTTCGCCTATGGTACAAATAGTGATGATGCCATCAACGACGTCCACCACTCCATCCTCACACACCTGGACAGCTGGTAAGGACACTGTGTGATTGCGGTTTGTTGAAATTAAGTACCATGGTACCTGAAAGAACCTAGACACCAAGGTCTGGGGGTGAACGCCTCACTCTGCTCCTGGGTCCAGAGCTTTTTGACTGACACCACAAGTGGTGAGAATAGGAAACTGCATCGAGTTTTGATTCTTCTCTTTTCCCATGAGTTGAAAAGCCACACAATCACTCCACTCCTGGCTTCTCTACACTGACTTCCAGTAAAATCTAGGTTAGACTCTAAAGACCTCCTCCTCACATATAAAGCCCTATCAACCTACGATCAACAATCACTTCGCTCACAAAATGCAGGCCTACTTACAGTTCCCAAAAAAGGCAGATAATTCAACTACCAGGTACACTGCTGTTATATTATACAATTATAATGCTGTGTTGCGCATATTTCTGTTCACATGAATATCTTGTTTTGTTTTTTTATATTTTAAAATCAATCTGTTTTATTCTAGTTGTTTGCACAACTGAGCCGGTGTACATGTACAGCTGCAGGTGACAATAGAAATTGTTGTTTTGATATGACCAACGTTGTTACTGACCTTTACTTGTTCTGGTGTATAATACTTTGGTGTCCAGTCAGATATTCTTCCCATTCCCATTTCACCATTCCCAAACTTCTCACAGAAAGGGCCATATTGTAAGGGGTCACATCTGTGAGGGTCATGGAAGGCAACATAGAGAAAAAATGCTTTTTCTTCATTTTCATTTCCTTCACTGACTCCTTCATCCTTTCCTATCATTTGCCTTTGCTCAACGGCGGCCTCTTTGTAGGTCTGGAAAAACTTTCTAACCAAAAGCTTCATCAGAGTAATGTTTCTCCCGACTTGTAAGAGATTGTTGTTCTCCTCAGTGTAAGCAAAATCAAAAGGGTAGACATCTGTGGGACCAACATGCTTCTTCCCAACTATACCTGCAGGAATGACAGTTCAAATGCAAAAGTGTTTGTTTATGTGTGAGAACTGACATTAACTTAATGACAGGATTATAAGACAGGTACTCACCTGTGTGCACATTGGCCTTATTGAGGAGCAGTGGCAGACTACGTACATGGTCAAAGGAGTTAAAGTTATGGACACCGTTATGCAGCCCATACATGCCGTTCTGGTGCTTTGATTTAATACAGAAGAAAGAGCAAAACATTGTTGTCTAAGAATGAATGCAATGAATGAAGAGAAATCAAAGCATATGTACATGTATATTATTGCGTTACCTGAGGCAGGCCAGTGAGGATGGTGGACCTGCTGGGCGAGCAGCTGCTAACAGATGTGAAGGCATTGTTAAACACCAGGCTGCGCAGAGCCAGAGACTGTAGGTTGGGGGTGTGGACAACAGAGTTGTTGTACACCTCTGTCTCAAAACCTGCATCATCACCTTAAAGAAAGGACATGATGTGTATGAACATCTATATGAACTGTCCTTGATAAACAAAGGTGTAAGCAGACAGCAAATGAATAAGAAACAGGAAAGAAACCACTTTAGACAACATCTTCCAATCAGGGCTGCCAAGTCAAGCTTTGAGTGCGGATCAGAATGTTTTCGGGTGTATTTGAACAATTTAAACAAAATCTACATCTAAGCTGTACTACAATCAGAACAATTTAAACAAAATCTACATCTAATTTAATCAACATGTTGATTGTAGTACAGCTAGTGATCCAACTGCCTTAAGAATTAAGCAGCCCCAGGTTGGCTGCTTTCTTTTAGGGATTGCCACAGACCTTGACCTTTTTGGTGTCAATGCTCTGCAGGCTTGGCAGGGTAGATCTGATGGTAATATGACAAATACAAAGTGCCTAAATGTAAAATTCCAGATATATAGTTAATGTAATGATGTTGATAATTATATCAACAAAGACTACAGCGTTCAATACCTAATTTTTCAAGTCTCAGAAGGTATAGTGCTATGTAAAAAATAAAATAAAATTCTTGTAGAGCTGGAAAAAAAACCCTGGAGAAGACAGATGAAGAAGACTAACAAAACACAAGTTCTTAAAACAAACTCTAAAATTGTCACATGAAATTACAGTACAGTTGGTAAAGTATTTAGGCTAAAACGCTATGCTTTTATACTACATGTGAGTTGTATAATCATAGTAATACATATGAACTTAAATTTAAAACAAAAAGATGTGGACCTATAGAAACAAACGTTTTAAACAAAACGTAATGTCAAGTAAGTATCTAGTAAAGGTTTAATCCTGTGTGAATGTTGTTCAGTTTCTCACACAAAATTAGTGTAGTGTCTGTGTGAATAGAGACCTAAAACTTACCAATAATTAGGAGTACATTTCTTGTCTTTGCCGCCTCGGTGTAACACGTGACCAAAGAAAGACAAAGTAACTCCAGATACATACTGCTGGTGGTCACGATAAAGCAGCTTACTGTCTGTAGAGGGTTTTTTTTTTTTCATTAACAAAGTATCAAAACATATCCCTCATGACACTCGTGTAGAGGTCTGGAAGTACCTGCCGAAACTAGTTCTGCAAGTAAAATGACTTCCTCAAACAAGCGGTGAAGCGATCACATGACAATTACGAGTTGTTGAAAAAACAACCCAAAATCTTGGCAAACACTACTGCATGTACATCACATAAACACTGAATTATAATTTAACTTAAATAGAACAGAAAGTAAATAACAGAACAAATCACGTTGCCGAGGCAGTAAAAAGAACACGCCGAAAAGTTTCTGAGAGATATGACCTTAAAATACGAAATAGGCATAAATGTGACCAATAGGTTAAATCTTACCCTTTCGATTGAAGCAATTACCTGGATAACGTAGGAACAGTTAAAAAGAAAAGCTAACACTTGGTTTTAGATATCACCAAATAATTTTAAAAAACGATATAGACTTATACCCAACCCAACAGTGAATCACGTATTTTGAACAAACATATTGTCAACAAGGCCATGGCAAGATTAGAATAAATACTTTTTCAATAGTTAAAGATGCATTTACACGGTTTGGTCGCGCTGTGACCGGAAACACCAACAAAACTTAGGATACCTGTTCTCTACCAAAGACAAATTCATGTAAATATTCCCTGGAAAGAGAGAGCCATCTAGTGGCCAGTTAAAGTAGGCTCTTCTTTCGTTTGATTTACTTCAACTGTTTTGTTTCCAAACACTAAACAAATATTTCTGGATTTATTATAACGAGAGAAAAGATTACTCTTTGGAATGACAAAATATGTATTAACAAATAATTTACAAGAAATACATGTAGTAATATGGAATACAATCAAAGGACTTAAAATGATGTATTTGAGCAGATAGGTTCAATTATCCTTAGACTTCATCAAAGTTCATTGTAAAGTGGTCTGCAGTGAGGCTCTAATTTGTCCTCGAGGACATAGTCTGGTCCACAGACCCAGGGGTCTCCTGTTTCCCACTGCCATTTCTGCAGGGACAGCTGGAGGGTCTTCAACAAGTCACTGTAGGATGGGTCTGACACCAAATTCCTCAACTCCAGTGGGTCTGCCCTGTGAGGATATATTTAAGATGGTCAAAGTTTAATACAAAAATATTCCACTGCAGGGCAAGCCCAGGATTTCAGAGATAACTCACAAGTCACACCATTTAACTCGTATTTATGCTGTTGACGTCAGAGGACAGTGAATCACGACAGCCCCATCTCTAACAGGTTTTCTTCTAGAATTAGACATGCACCAAATGCATTTTTTTGACTGATTCTGATTTGTAGGGAGATGCAACTTGCTGATACCAATTCTGATCTCCATCATTGACAGCATATACAAAAGACTGTTCTTTAGTGCAAAATGAGTTATTGACTTATTAACAAACTTTCCAAACTGCTCAACATTAACTGTCCCTCTCATCTCCTCATTTGCGATGATCATTTCTACGTAAAATATAAATGCTTTCACTATCAGTGAATCTGGAAACTTTCCCACAAACTGTATTCAGTCACAGGTTCACGATTTCAGGAACAATTGTGTCTTAAAGTGTCCACCAGCACTTTAAGACACCCATACTGTCTTAAAGTGCTGTCCCCCATATGCAATAAGGGAGTGGAAGTGAATTATTGTCATCAATGCACAGCAGCACACAATGAAATCTGTTCGCTGCTTCTGACGCATCACTGTAGTGACACCTGGTGGCTGGTGTATTCGAAATTTAGATCTGTGGCCTGGTAGTTAAAGATGCAGACTTGAGTCTGTAAGGTTGCCACTGGTGCCACTGAGGTACTGAGCATGGCATCATCCCCACACACTGCACCAAGGCACTTAGTTTGAGCTGCCCTCTGCTCACTATGGTGATGGGTTAAAGGCAGGTGTGCCGTGGTGTTTTGTGCATCAGTGACAATAATACACTTGCACTTAGTGGAGTTAATACCACAAAACTGCATATTTGGACACAGAACAGTTTCATCCAATCACATTGCATGTAAGAAAAATAACTTGTCATAACTGGGTTTCTATCCTTAGAGTGAATAGACACAAGCTGACCCAGATGAGCAGCTCTGACCAACCTGCAGTCATACAGCTCCCAACGCTCCCTGTAGTAATACTGTTTCAGACTTTTGAACCAGTGCGTTGGCTGTCCTAGCCTGGTACGGTTTAGCAGGTCCTGGAAGGTGGGTGACACATACAGATCCTGATCAATAGGGAAAGGCATGCGGAAATTTAGGTTGTGGAGAAGGTGGTACACCCCCTGGTGGATAGAGCGGATTGGGTAGTACATAGTCACCTGAAAAAAATCAACAGTAAAGAATGTCAAGCCTCTTTATTTCAGCTTTTAGCAATCACTGTCAATAGCACTCTAATGTTTACAGACCTCATGAAGGGACTGGCTGGCATAGATGGTGTTCCAGTCCCTGGGTTCAGAGACCAGAGCAGGCAACAGTGAGCGACCTGTAAGGTGCACAGCTGTGGGGCTACCTGGAAGGCTGTAGGAAGGATAAGGAATGGAGAACCAGTCTAGGACGGTGGGAGTGATGTCTTCCCAAAGCAAAAGAAAGATAAAAAGAAAGGGTAAAACTCAACAAAAGGATTAACTTCCAACAGGTTTCTGTTCTACATATCAACATCAGTAACATAAGTTGAAAACCAATCATCTGCCTCCATCTCACACCACCATCAATCTCTATGTCCTCTTCCAACAGAGCCACATAATTTCTCTGGAGTTTTCCTTGTTTGTTCTAGTTAGACGACTCAATCTCCAACATCTTTAGTCCAATAAATCCAGTATATCTCCTCAACAAACGTCCAAACTTTCTCAACCTAACCTCTTAAACTTTACGAACAGCTCAACGTTAACTAACCCTCTGATCTCCTCATTTATGATCCCATAACTATAAACTTCTAAGTAAAATGTAAATGAGTCATGCAATGTAGTTATTCTTTCTTTTCTCACCCAAGAGACTGACGTAGGACTGGCTGATGTCTCCCCATCGATCCCTGTGCTCAGGAGAAGACACCAGCATTGGTTCTGCTGTTCCAGAGACGTACAGGTTGGTTCTGCCGTTTGGAAAGGGGACGCCATTATCAGAGCTGTAGATAACCAGAGTATCATTTTCATAACCAGCATCCTGGAGCTCCTGGAGAACTAATCCAATACCTGCAAAGAAGGTTTAGTTTTTACAACTTGTGATATTAATGCTGCCTCTCTGCACTCTCAAATCCAACTTGCACTGTTTTGTCTACCATTAATAGGTATATAAATGGCAATCAATGTCTATGAACCAACTTTTTAAAAATATTTAGTGTTCATGCTATGATCACATTCACAAACTTGGCCTTCTATAGATACATTTTATAAATATACGATTACCTATTTTGCTATTAATTTTATAATTTTGTGAAGCATTTTAAACAGATGTAAAGTGTAGTCTATAAAAATGAATATTAATATTTCTATTTAAACATCCAACTAGTGTGTTTCTGAAAGTGATGTTTCACACCCTGATCCAGCCTGCTGACTGTGGTGTACTGTGCAGCCAGGTCAGCTCGAGCTTCAGGTGTGTCTGGAACAAAAGCAGGAACCTAAAGCAGAAGACAAAAAATATTGCCATGTTTAACTGTTGTTCTGAGTGTGTTTAAAAAACCCTAAGACATACACAATCACTCTCTGTAAAAGAGAGGGGCTTATATGCATATGTATTTACTAGTATCCTGATGACACCAGACTTCAAAGGTCCTGTAAATCATCGAACCGTATCATATATATGTAATATGTTTTTCTCATGGTAGATCACATGTTCATAGAGAAGAGCTGTACGGTTATATATATTATTCTGAAATTTCATTTACCGTTACTTGGTCTGGGCTGTAATACTCTGGTGTCCAGTCCGGTATTCTCCCCATTCCCATTTCACCATTACCAAACTTCTCACAGAAGGCTCCATACTGAGGTTGTGAATGTCCACATCGGTGGAGGTCATGGAAGGCAACGTAAAGAAAAAATGGCCTCTCATCCCCTGTGTTACCATCACTGTTTTCCTGATTCTTTCCTTTTTTTAGCCTGTGTTCAACAGCTGCCTCTTTGTGGGTTTGAAAGAACTTGCGGACCAGGATTTTAATTTTGGTGATGTTCCTTCCAACTTGGAGAACAGAGTTGTTCTCTTCGGTGTATGCAAAGTCAAAAGGGTATACAAATTCCGGACCGACGTGCTTCTTCCCAATTATTCCTGCAGGAATGACATTAAACAGGAGACAATTTAATTGAAAGAATATCCACATGTTTGTGGGTGAGAAGAATTTTGTTACTGACCAGTGTGTATATTAGCCTGGCTCAGCAGCAGCGGCAGACTTTGAACGCCATCAAATGAGTTGAAGTGATGAACCCCTTGATGAAGGCCATACATGCCATTTTGATGCTATAAAAAGGTTTTTAATAAATCACATACTCATACATCACTTAGTGATATGTCAGTAGTTTGAGTTGGAAAAATAAATATCTCAAGTTTTGGAAATAAGGTGATTGTAGTAAATTTTGAAAAATCTGAAATAATAATAATAGTAATAATACTACAACAACTACTACTAATAATAATAATAAATACAATGTTAATTGTGTTCATCAAAGCAATTTATTAATATTTTTAACTCTTGCTAAGAACAAAAATGCAATTTGTACAAAAAAGGCATACAGTAGGGACCAAGAATTTGTGTGAATGTAGGCTAAGAGACATGAATGATTCAGGCTAATGGAGCTATAAACATACAGTACAGTCTACCAACATTTCAAAGAGCACATTATGTTCAGTCATGTTATTATGAATATGGATTAATGCATAAAACAAATGATGTAACGGGTAACAGCTGTAGGCAACATGTGTTACCTGGGGTAGGCCTGTGAGGATGGTGGACCTGCTGGGAGAGCAGCTGCTAACGGATGTGAAGGCATTGCTGAACACCAGGCTGCGCCGTGATAGAGAGAGCAGGTTGGGGGTGTGGACAACAGAGTTGTTATACACCTCTGTTTCAAAGCCTGCATCGTCAGCTAGAGAAGTGAAAACACACACAAGAGATACTTTTCATAAGAGACAATCCATTTTTTGATACCTTCTCTCTGCTCACATCTGCAGTTGGTAACAGGCCACCATCAACAGAACGTCACAGGAGCTAAATTCCAGCTTTTTGTTCATCCACGGACAATGTCCTTTTATAACACTGTGCTTTGTTAGTAACCACTGCACTAAACACAGTTTAAAAGGTTTTACAATTTATGACACAGATACAGATAAATACAATTTGAAACAACCTTCTAAGGGAGCTAAATCATTTAAGAGTCAGATATTGATCACGTACATTGAATTAGAACCTTTCTCTCAGAAAAACAATGGAAGTTTGTTTTTAATCTCCCAATGTAGGGAGATATGCATTTATTATGACTNNNNGAAATATGCATTTATTATGCCTAAAAATATTCATATAAAATATTCATATTTAGTACAACAGATTATAGAAGCTTATTAAGAAGGAAAGGTTGGGATGGGTTAATAAGATTCTAAACCATGTCATGGTAAAGGTATTTATATACATTTTCTGATTAAGTGAAGAAGACTGTTTTTATTTTATAAAAGATCGTAGTGCATATAAAGCTTGAATCTTGTCTGTTAGCTTTGGTCATTGGTCTGCCATACACAATCAAGTGTAGCTAGAGCTAGGACCGCACAACAGAATGCAACTTCTGGCTGTTAATTAAAGGTTCCGTTGATTAAAAGGGTTTTCGATCATTCAAAAAAATGTCAGCGTATTATAATTTAAGTTCGCAGTTGTGACTCTTCCACATGTGAAAACTCACCTATGATCAGGAGAACATTTCTTGTCTTTGCATTTACGGCGTAACAGGTTACAAAAAGACAGAATAACTTTGCGTTCATCGTGATGGTGACGTTTACATCTCAGGGCATGTTTACTTTTCGAATTAAAAACAGAAATGCGACATTTGAACAAAACAATGAAATTTGGTTCTAAAAAAATCTTATATGAGGACGCCTGTTTTACACAATTTCGAACACAAGCTACAGAGTCGCAGGATGATGACGACTGCGTCGACACGCCATAACAAAATCACGTGACCGCTTGTAAAGAATTCCCACGAATCCCGAAGCATACAGGTTAATGATTTGAATCTTCGTAGTGAGTTACGAGTCGGGTTGACTATAGTAAACGTGATATTACGACAATACAACAAACTCATTTTCAGTTGTTATAATATTCAGATTTAAACCATGGGACTAAGTTTCACTTACAATTTTATATTGAATATTATTCTGGAGTCTGTCTGTCTGTTCAAAAAAACCTCAGCAGTTTTGTATAACTGGAGTCACATGATGTGCTTTTCTTCCTCTTGTAAGCAGAATGTGTTGTGGTTTGAACATGATGTTTTTCAAATGCCTATTTTAATCAACGTACACCCATACAGAATACATAATAAAGAAAATTCCAGATGCATGTGAAAATACAAACAATAAATCTGGGGGGGGGGGAGTATAACATTCCATTTTAGGAAAAGATCAGAATGATACTTTTATAGCAATTCAGTTGGGGTTATGGAATTCCGAGCATAAAAAATAGTGCAGGCGTCTCCGGTGTTTGTCAGGTCAATGCCATTTAAACCGATAGAAGTGAAACATGGGCACCCTACTGCATTGTGCTATGCTGTGTTTTATAATGAAACGTAGCTAACGCCACCTTGTTATTTTTGCGCGAATGCTAAACTGTCTAAAAACGGGGCGTAAATACATTTTCGCCGTAAACGTCCAAAAGTAACTATAAGTATCTTAACACAAGTTAACTTATGGTGTAAAGCGTGTAATATAGCATTATTACTGCTGAATAACAACTATTCTTGCGTTTCAGCAGACGGCTCGTGCTGACGAAGCTGCCTGTCTAGCTACAGCACGGGGAGAAAATGTCGGTGTTAAACAACTTTCTCTATTTATTTATTACAGCATAGCTTTATGTGCTAACTGAACTGAAGTATGTAATTGAGGCTTTAGTTTGCGACAAAGACTACTCTCTAAATAAACGTCATGGGCTTTATTTGACTCTTCAGAGTAAAGGCATCATGGGGGTAGTACAAAGTACCTATTGTGTGTTACCAGCGTCATATTTGGACTGGTCGGTTGGTTCGAAATACATTTACCAACATTCTGCCCACAAAAACGTATTTAAGCGGACGATCTCCATATACCGACAGACTTTTTTCAGCAGCGCTAATAAGCAAACAGCGCTCCCCACCAGGACTTCTGAAAAAACAAGCGCTGACTGGTCACATGACATTACACTGCTCACACGTAAAGAGCAAAATCAGACAGTGGAAGTGGTTTCGATGTACTAACCATAGTCGGATGAAAGGTCCCTGAGGAATCAGTGCAGAGTGGGGGATCACACTCACACACAGGTTATGTACATGCAGTTTTTTTATTGTCCAGTCATTATATGTCGTTGTCCTCATACGTCCTGGTCTACTTCCATTGTGTTTCTTATCTAACCAGTTCAGTCTGTTTGACCTGTTAAAGTAGTTTATGTTTGACTCCGCTGTTTCTCTTCGTCTCTGTTGATTATCTGTTCATATTCCACATTTCTCTTCCCTTTTTCTGCTCTTTGTCTGTTCTGTTTTGTCTTAGTTCTCCAAACATTTTTGCTAAATTGATTTCATTGTTTCTTTTCCGTGTCTTCCATGTGTTGTAGACCTAACCCTCTTCAGCTCATGTTGTAAATCCTGTTCAAAAAAGGTGTTATTTCTGTAATTGTTTGTTTCTTTCTTAGTTCACACAAACCAGAGGAGTTAGTGGGAATATTTTTTGTGTGTGTTTATGGCTGTTATGTGATAGGTGGTGGTCTCTGTGTTTTAATTACATCACTGGTCAAAGGAGTCAACAGTCAGCGTGTTTGGGTTTGGCTAAGAGACCACAAACCTTACACTGTATAAATTGTGTAGAATAGCACCCATTCAAGCTTTATTCTAGAAAAGCACAAATGCAAAGCAGCTTGTGTGGGTAAAGTTTGTTTTCTTGATTGTTATTAACTAAGTGTTACCACCAGTAAAAATCAGACTTCCCATTCAGATGTCTTGATAGGTAGAGCTCACTTGTTAAATCTAATTGCGTGACTGGTTGTAAACTCTCATTTTTACCCTAACAGAACAATGGAACGACCCCCACGGAGACGGCTGACAGCCATGTGTTGCCCGTCCCTCGACACCTTGAAGACCTGGCTGCCCATTCTTTCCTGGCTGCCCAGGTACAAGCTGAAGTGGCTTCAGATGGACTTGCTTGCTGGAGCTACTGTTGGGTTGACCGCAGTACCACAGGTACTGGCTTACGCTGAAGTAGCAGGCCTCCCATTAGAGGTAAGTCCCTTTAAATTTTGTGGTTGTTCAGTTTATAAAGTACATTTTCATTTTGTGTGCAAGTCTTAATATATGATGCAAATAGCTTCTTAGCTAGTTTAGCATCATTGTTCACCAAGCTCTCATGTAGAAGTACCATCTGTGGGATTGTTATTTTCACCATCACTCGTAATTTAAATATGTTTAGTAAATCACAATGTATATAGGCTGACCCGTGTTCATTTCAGATATGTATACATAGTTGGGATCAACTATGTAGTTGAAAGCTGTAAAAGTATTTGTTAGGGAACCAAAGTTTATGTTCAAGCTGGGAGTCAATTTAAATGTGCGTTAGTCGTACAGTAGTTGAAGCAGGATTTAAACCATTGACTTTCTTTTCTTAGTACGGTCTTTACTCAGCCTTCATGGGAGGATTCATCTACACCCTCCTAGGAACTTCCAAGGATGTTACACTTGGTCCAACAGCCATCATGTCTCTTTTGTGTTTCTCTGTGGTGGGGGGGCAGCCACATAGAGCTGTACTTCTCAGCCTTCTCTGTGGAATCATCCAGGCATTAATGGCATTACTCCGATTAGGTAAGGCCTGGGCTGCTGTGGTCACACGAAAACCAGGCGATAGTTTCTAATATGAACTTTTTGATAAAGAAAATTTGTAGAAGGTTGTTGAAACAGACTATTTCAATGCAGTTTCTCTGCATGAAATGTATGGCTCCCAACATTTCTTTGACGTTTGAATCTTTTTTTTGCAGGTTTTCTTTTAGACTTTATCTCTTCTCCGGTAATAAAAGGCTTCACTTGTGCAGCTGCAATAACAATTGGGTTTGGACAAATCAAGGTGAGCAGGGACACGTATTATTATTATTTTATTGCTAATAACAATAATAATAATTTTTAATTATTATTTTTATTATTATTGTGAGTAAAAATGTTTACCTTTTGAGTAATACTAAATTAGGTATATTTTCATTTCTACTTTCACTTAACAATATAACAATTTTAGTAGTATGGTTCTGATTTACCACAGTTTATATTCATACATGCCTTGGCAGAATTAAGGTCCAGTAAAGGGAGATTCTGTCGTCAGTGTCAGTTTCCTCCATATGCTGTAATGTTGGAAATGTACAGGCGAGTGGGGAATGTGCGTTGCTGATGACAGTTCTTTTTTCTCTGTAGAATATTTTGGGTCTGAAGGATCTTCCTCCGCAGTTTTTCCTGGAGGTTTATTACACCTTTAAGAAAATCCCAGAGGCCCGGATTGGTGATGTCATCCTGGGTCTGATTTGTCTCTCTCTGCTGGTGATGTTAATGTTAATGAAGAAGACTCTGGACTCAGAAGCTGTGCATTCCAACTCCACGTTCTCGAGGAAACTAGTGTGGGTCGTTGCTACAAGTCAGTACATGTTCCTTTCTACTCAAACGATACATGATGTTTTTATTTGTTTGTCTGTTTGATTTACTTCTTTCCATTTGTTCTGTTGTTCTTCTACCGTCAGTGCGTAATGCTCTCGTGGTCATAGCTGCTTCTCTAGTAGCATTTTCATGGGAAGCCTTTGGACATGATGTTTTCACGATTACCGGAAAAACAGTACAGGGGCTTCCACCCTTCAGGCCTCCACCCACCTGGGACAACACCACCAATGGCACAATCGTCCCCTTTGGAGAAATTGTCGAGGTGAAGAAAAAATAATTTGTGTGTAAAAATAGAGGCTAATTTGTGTAACACTGAATAACCCCGCCTTCGTCTTTATGTTTAGGGCTTTGGAGACGGACTTGCTGTTATCCCCCTTATGGGTCTTCTGGAGAGTATTGCCATTGCAAAAGCTTTTGGTTAGTGGGTTAAATGACAATAATGATGCTGGACATGGACACCGACACATTCTTTATCCAGAGAGTCTAAAGAGTGTGTCAGTGAACTAATAGTTGGTTCTAAAATTCCTCAGCCAGTCAGAACGACTACAGGATCGATGTGAACCAGGAGCTGCTGGCAATTGGTGTGACCAACATTATGGGCTCATTTGTATCAGGATACCCTGTCACTGGCAGTTTTGGAAGGTGTGTGTGAGTGTGTGGGTGTGCTGGTTGAGGGAGGATGTATTGTATTTCCAATATTTCCACAGTCCATTTAATTATTGTTGCTCTAACACACAGTCGCTACATGTGTTTTGCACACACAGCAGGGAAAAAGCTTTTGTTTTTAGTTTAAATGATTGTGTCAATGCCCAGCATGATTGTCAAATCATAATTCATCTTGATTAATTAGAATCACAGTTAATCCTGATTAATGGTGATTGATCTATAGCTTCCCTGTGATTATTCAGATAGAAAAAAATGTTTCGCAGTCCTTAAACATATATATAAATTATATTCATTACGCAGAACAGCTGTGAACTCACAGACAGGTGTCTGCACCCCAGCTGGAGGGATCGTCACAAGTGAGTCAACTTTTAATGTGTTCTTGACTATGTAAATGCTGCTGCTGAGGCAACCTGGAAAATTGATGTGGTTTTTTATGTGTATTTCTGCTAACATTTATTCTCCATGTATACGTTTACAGGTGTCATTATATTGCTCTCTCTGGCATTTCTCATGCCAGCCTTCTATTACATTCCCAAAGCGTCTCTGGCAGCTGTAATCATTTGTGCAGTCGCTCCCATGGTGGATTACACCTCTGTGACTAAGATGTGGCGGATACACAGTAAGTGTTTGCTCAGTGTTGAAGTGTTTCTTAGGTTGGGACAGTTTGTTTATCTGTAGTCTTGTGATTTCTACAGAAGTGGACATACTACCTTTCGTTGTAACCTTCCTGATGAGTTTTTGGCAGGTACAGTACGGCATCATTGGAGGAGTAGCTGTGTCTGGAGCCCTCCTGCTGTACAGCACAGCCAGACCTAAGATAACGGTACAGAAACATTTGAATAGTTTTGAAAACAAGCAATTTGAACATTATCTGTAGTATTTGTGAGTAGCCCTAGTACTGTAATATTACTGTGTGTCTATCGCATACAGGTTTCTGATTATGGTTCACTGGTGATGCAGTTCAGCAGTGGACTGAGTTTCCCTGCCACAGCGTACCTCAGCCACATGGTACACAGTAATGCTCTGAGGGGTGAGGACTTGATCTGGTGATTTGTATTTGTTTATTTACTCCCTTGTACTTATTCTTATTTATACTTACTCCTTCCTTTTGTCATCCTCCGTTCAGCATCTCCTCCACGCTCATTGGTGCTGGACTGCTGTCACATCAGCACCATAGATTACTCAGTCATCAGCGAGTTCAGGGACATGATCAGACAGTTCAAACGGCATAATGTGGTTTTGATTTTTTCTAATTTGCAGGTAATGGCAATGTCCGAGTTGGTTACTTTTTTATTAATTCAGATTTGTAGGAATAGTTACACCTCAATGCTTAATAAGCAAGTTGAGTTATTTCTTATTATAACAGTGTTGTTCTTTCCTCAGCCATCTGTTCTGGAGATTCTCCTCAAAGCTGATCTGGAGGATATGAAGTACACAGAAGATGTGGAGGAGGCTCTGCAGCAGTTAGAATCAGGAAATGTCCTAGACGATTGATAACGTAAACTAGTCTTCATTTTTCTTTGGTATGTGTTTGGTATGGGCATTACATGACTTGAAAAGGTAACAAGTGACATTTCTGATCAGGAATTGTTCAAATGTAATTGCACTCAACAGAAGCTAGCCAGGCTACGGTCTGCTAAGACTCAGGAAGGTAATATGAATTTTTTTTAAAAATACTGCATAAAAAAAAATAAGGCAAAAAACAGCCAGGGACCAAATCTGAATGTATCGTCAGAGATGTTAGTTCTGTCCATTTTTTCAGAATCCACTTGTCTGTCCAAAGAAATTTTAGTTTCTAGTTTAGTTTTAATCTTTGATTTTATACTGCAGGGCATTTGTGGATTTACTTTGTTTGGTTACATTTAGTGAGTGGGAAAAGCTTTTTTTAAATACTGCAATGTTGCAAGTGAGAACGGGACTGTTTACCAATTTACATACCTTCTGTCAGGTGAAGGTGTATTATGTCATCTGTATATAAATAACTTAAAACACTGATTCAATAAAACATGTGTTAAACTCAAGGCCTGTGGGGCAAATGTGAAAAAATATCCACATTTAGGGGAAAATGTACAATATTTGTAACTTGAATAGAAACAATTGCAGAACCATTTATTGACACATTATGGATTAGTTACAACCTTTTTATTAAATAACAAATATAATCTAGATTTTAAAAAACAAGTTTAACTAATTGTGCACGTATGTGTTTTTAGAGATTATTGTCATATACAACAAAAGAATAAGTTCCTCTGTTACATAAAATTATTCTTTTGCTCTCCACACTGATGCTTGGAAATACAAAATAAAACACGAGTAAGGAGGTAAAAAAATAATACAATAGGAAATAGCAATAAAGTATCTGATACATACAAAATGAGCAATGAATGGAATGGAGTGTGCAGGTTCAAACGTACCTTGCATCAAGGATAATAGTCATTAGACTCAAAGAGAAATAAGAGCTTTTGCATTGGCCGGGAATCGACCGCGGGCCTCCCACGTGGCAGGCGAGAATTCTACCATTGAACCACCAATGCCACCACAGACATGAGTTGCAAACTCATCGATCCGAACAACCAATAATCGTCCTGACTAATGGATAAGCAATGTCTAATGATGCTGAAAATATTCAACTGCTTAGATGAAATGAAGGCACTGAGTGAGAAATGGAACGTGTACAAGACAACAAAATAAAACACTTTATTGTCATTGTCTTTATATACATATCCCATATTAAAATAATGCTGCAGATCAGAACAAAATATGAATAAAATGAAAGATTCAATTCAATTAAAAAAATATCTATGCAAATCTGTCTAACCAGCAAAACATTTAAAGTGCATATCTTTATGGGCATTGTCTAAAGGTCAGTGACACGGGTCATGGGTCGAGGGTATGGTGGACCATTGATAAAGACTTGGTCCAGCTCTTTATACTCTTTAGTCTCCTGCCATGAGAACTGGGGCTGGATTAAATCACCTCAGATTTCAACTGGAGTATAGCCTGATTACTGTTTATGTTGAACCACATTAGATCACAGCAATGTCCACTCCCAGATACTTAAAGGAGGACCCTCGCTCTCCACACCGTCCCTGTTGATCCTGATGTTCTTTAGTTATACTGCAAGTACACTGCTACTGTGTATGTTGGAGAGAATGAGCCTTTCAGAGCATTTCATAACCACTGCGGTCAGTGAGACTGGTACCATAAAGACGGGGCTATGGTCTGAGACAGCAGGCTGGTCACAGCAGGGCTGTAGCACATTTCCAAATACCCCAACCAATCTAGGAGCTTCATTAGGGTTTACAGGACAGCAAAAGGTCTTAGTCGCATCATCGGATCATTTAGCTTCAGGTACCTCAAACCTGTAGCCCTTTAAAGGTGATGAGTTGCTGTACACAGCTGCAGGTTGTTGACAGCCTGATTGTTCTTGACGTTTTGACATAAAGGTGATGCTAGGCTACAGTCGACATTTTCTTTATACTCCTTTTTTACACTCCTTTTAACAGTTCCTTGGTGAATATACGCCTCTTCATCACTTATATACAAACCGACCCGTCTTGGCATTCATTTTGGTAAGGACAGGTAGGAGACAGAGATGGAATTCTTTAAACTGCTTTGAAAAAAAAATCCCAGGAAGTTACCAGCGTTTTTCATCTGCAAAGAAACCCACTGAGCATCTGATACATTCTTTGTAGCGTCACAAATATTAATTAATAATAATTAATTAACATTTCACACCAACCAACACTGAAGCAGTCCCATCTTAACCAAGCTTAGAATGATTACATATAAAATATAGAATGAATAGTTTAGAGTAAGGATCCATGCAATGTTTTCTTTCAATTTCCAAATGTAGCTTTTTTCAAGTCTCTTTAATTTTTTTTATCTATCTTAGTGTTGGATGTAAATCAAAATAAAACAAGATTTGACAGTTTGATTGATGTAGTTATCATGGACATTACCAGAATTCGTCCATCCTTAGTGAGTGCTTTTACCAAATTCCATTCCCTCGTTCTCTTCTTATTTAGTGCGATTTCTTCTCAGAGATTCCAGCTAAAAATGATAATAAAAAATCAGTTCTTCCACTGTATATAAGCACAAATCTATATGAAAAAGCCTTGTCAATGTCAGCAGTATGACAGCGCACTCTTACCTCCGTTTCTACCAGTTTAAACCTCCCTAGTGCATCTTTGGCAGCATCCTAGTTAAATAAAAAACATGTTAGCTCCTTGTACTGGTGGCCGTGTCCTCAGACAGTCACATGTGCATAAAAGAAGCCAGCAGTGAGAACATCTTCTCCCAGTGCACTCACTCTGTTGCCTTGGCTAGAGTACTTCTTCACGGCGTCACTTAGTCCTTGGGCTAAACGTTGCAACACATTTTCATATTCTGCACAGAATGAACAGATAGAAAATAAAACATACATTGGTTAAAGACTTGTACAGTATAGTGTGTTAAATCTGACTACATTTTGCTCTATATTTCATTAAACCTATAGGATTACATTCAGATGTTTGACTAACGAATGATACCAATCTATGGTTTTCATTTTTTCACAAGGTAGTGATTAGTGTGTGTTTGGTGTTAGTGTGTCACCTGTCAGCAAAGCAGGAGAGCCTTGCTGCAGTTCAGCTTTTTGCCACTGCACTCTGTGCGAGATGCTTTTGAGCTGATGGATAAGATCAGGTGGTGGATCGCGTCGATTCTTTCTGTACTCTTCAATCTGAGAAACATTAGACCTTTAAAAATTCAAATACATAGATACCTTTGACTACCAAATTCCATGTATGTATATTTACACAATAATACCTTCCTCTCCAAACGTTCCCTGTCATAAGTGAGCAGGCTGAAGCTGTGGAGTTTGTACTGTGGAGACTGATTGCTCCTGCCGCTCGCTTCATGTCTGGGGTTGGACCGAGGAGAAGGAGCCTGAAACAAACACACAGGTCACACACACAGGGTCTTTTTACAGTCCATTTAATCATGACAGTTTTTCAATGGCACTATAACCATTCAGTTGTCCTCTTGTGGCCGTAGATGATCTAAGACAGGAGTGCCCAATGACTAGATCAAGATCTACCAGCAGATCTCAAAGAGAGTGCTGGGAGATCACAAATGCTGTCAACCCTGATCTATGGGGTATATTTTTTATATTTAAGTTTCCTTGAATATATGTCACTGGACCAGCCAAAAAAAGAGCAACTTGTAGTCTGAAAAATACAATGTTTAATAATTATAAGTATTGCAAATTATGTTTTATTTAGAAAAGAAACAAAACAAAACATAAGATTCTCTCCTATTTGAAAACATATTTGAAGCGCTCCTTTACAAAGAAAGGGCCCACAGAGAAGACAGATGGAGAGCCTTGTCTGATCATTTCAGAAGAAAGTTGCATTCTATGAAAAACAATGACCAAGATGTTTTCACTTACATCGGTTTTCCTGTCGTTTGAGGTAACATTAGCAGAGGCCAGCACACAAAGAAGAAAAACAGTGAATATCAGTCAACACTACTCACTCGATCCTTCTTTTTTTTCTCTGGAGGAGAAAGTGAGGAGACAGGATCCAGAACCAGCCACTTCTCCGTCACTGGCTGGAGGTCAAGTCCAGTCAAAGGCTCTCGGATCTTTACCTTCACCTCCAACTTGCCACCTGTGGCTTTACGGCCATTCATTACCTATAAAAACACACAGCATAGGTAGTCGGAAGACCAGAGCTGTGGCCATGATTTTACGGCAGTAGAACTAACCTCTATAATTTCTCTGAGTTCACAATGGTTTTCCAGAGTCTCTAGCTTTAACTGGGCTGTACCGATCACTCTGTCCGTCTTAAACAAGCCTCTATAAATACAACAGTACAAAACGACAGGTAAATGAATGAAACATAAATCACGACAAAAAAATATACAGATTAACATAGAATAACCAACTGTGGTTCATACCCCTTGTGGACGATTTCAAACTTGATGCCTTTTGACTGGACAACCCGTTTAAAACCCCGATGGTTACGGTTGATGTTCAGTTTGAATTGCTCTTTAAATTCTGGACTGTTGGTGTTCTTTACTGTGCTCGTTTTGTTCCTTTGAGCATCTTCCTAAACAGAAAAAAAAGCAAATAAATAGCAAAGATCTATTTTTGCTATTTGCTATAAAGACTTTGTCTACTCGAAGTATAACATTTCTCTCCCTAAATTGCTCATTTTGTAAACTGTGTAAAAGACTCTTACCATACTGGGAAAAGGAAACTCATATTTCACAGTTGTATCCATGTCATTAGATGAGACACCTGTAGGGGGAGATGTGAAGTGAGCGTGCAAATATTTGACCCATGACTGCTGCTTTCGTTAAACCCTTGTCTACCTGGGGGAGCTGGTAGGTTGATGCCTCTGATTATGTAGAGTAGTAGCTCACTGGATGTCAGGTTGGAGTGAATCCTACAGAGCACAACAAAGAGTCAGTTACCTCAAAGACTCACTTTACTGTAAATTTGGCATTACTGCTTTAGCCACAATCACACAACGAGTTTTATAAATGCCAGATTTAAACAACTAAACCAGAGCCAGTCTACAACAATCTGGGACGGCGTCTGTATTTGCGGGATTTGTGAAAAAAGTTCTAAAATGTTTTGGAACTATCCCGTGCAAAGTAGGACATCTGGCCACCCTGGGTCCATGTCAGGTTCTCCAACCATCATTTCTAAGAAGGCTAATGTGAGTCTGACATGGAGTGAATGGAACTCAGCTTTGTCTAATTTAATCTGTGATTCTTGGTCAAAAGCTAGTGATTGGATGGAAGAGTGTGTCAAAATAATGCGTTAGTAACGTCGCCACAATGTAGATTTAAGTAACTTTTAAGTAAGAGAACCTCAGCATTACAATCCAATAGAGAGACACTGACATAATAAAATGAATGCAAGTTTGAGAGAGATAATGATCTAGGATCCACAAAATTTCTTGCTTATTTTGAAACTTACTTGCAAGTGTTGAAGGTTCTTTCCTCTGTGCGGCATTTAGGAACTCGATGACCATTGGTGTAGGCATTCTTAAGTATCTCTATGTTCTTCACACATTCCTCAGCTAGTTTTTCACACCTGGTAAAGGGATGACATTCAGAAGATCTGGAAATGTTTATTTGTTAAATCGTACGCATTTGATTACTTACTACGCAGGCGTAGTTAAATATCTATGCATCCATGTTCACATACACATGAGCAGTGAAGAAGTGTTCCTTACCTCAGAGCTTCTGCTACATTGCCCATTTGTGCGAACTGCTGTGAAGAGGCCACACATTTCTGCAGACGTGATAGAGATGAATTGTACAGATTATATAAATAGTCGCTTTCACAAAAACACATGCAACGTAGTCAGATCAGGCAAACCTCTATAATTAAGTCTTAACAATTAAGTCTGGTAAAAAATGACGTTTCTATAATTTCAAAATGGTTTATTGTTCAGGTTTAATCACTACAAATGTAACACAGCTCAAAGATGTGATTATAAAACCTGTCAAAGTTGTTGAAGACACCTGGAGACACTTTTTAAAGTTTAAACATCTCTGCTAGAACTGTTTGACTTGACATATACTTTGAAAATACTCTGACCTTGTGCTGTTTTCGTAAAAGATCCATAACGCCATGGTACTGTTCGTGGGTATTTGAAGACAGACGTGACGTGCGGGAGAGAGTTAAAGAATAGTCCTCTTCAGGACTGTCGGGAATCTGTAAGAAAGAAGGAAAAAATGTAAATACAAACTTCTGAAGCTTTGGATATTTACACATTGACGTTATACCAAACCTAAGTTGTCTAAAGGTCTTGTGAAAGTTTGTTCTAAACACACTTTGCTCTGGTTTTCACTTGTACAATTTTGTTTTCTTTAACCTTAGTGATATCGACAGGCAGGCCTGATTTGGCGGCTGCGATCATTGGGTCCAGTCCTTTGGCATGTCTGAGGTGCTGCGTTGCTCCCGACATGTCCTGCAAACATGACATATTAAAGCGTAGTAAGAGAACATCTTCAATATTTCAGTTGGTATGGAAAGTTTATAGACAATATAAATTCTAATAGAAATCAAATACAAATATCAAATTGACTCATATTTGCAACATTTATAATCAATGAGGAGAGCTTAACTTTTAAAATAGATCTAACAATGACCACAAAAGTGTTTTATGTTTCTGTCAAGCATTCCACTTAATGATAAGAAAATGATGATACAGCTGTCAGAGTGAAATACCAGAGGAAGTCAAAGTGAACTGTCCTTTTTGGAGCTAATTCCATGTTGAAAGGGCAAACATATATTCACATTTAAAGTCAGGTTATAACAAAAATCACTCATCTTCTTACTGTAAGGCCCCTTTTCTACTGTTTGACCCATTAATTAATACACGTATGTACAACATGTGTATCTAGTCAGCTTAGGTGACTAGATACACTTACCTTCAGCTTACCTTCATTTGTTTGGAGTGCAGTGCTGCTTTCAAAAATCCCTTTCGCCGAAGCATGAGAAAATCAACTTGCTGTTGTACTACAATGATGATTAAGATAAGATAAGAAATAAAAACAAACAAAGAAAAACCTGTCTACACACAATCAATTAACTAACACACCCTTTGGTCCATATTTAGGTGCTGCAGAGACCCCAGGAACCGGTGGAGCAGGAGACTTGGCACTCTTTGCAGATGGATGCAGCTGGGGCTACAGAAGAGGAAGACACAAGTTAGATTTATCAATGCAAATGTTTCTAGCAAACGTGCAAACTAAGCACCAGCTACCTACGTTAAAGTAGGTAGTAAGTAGTTAAAATAGACATACACATGTAGTAATAATTTATTTTAAAAAAACCCAAGTCAGACAGAATGAAACAGCGGAAGATACATGCAAGCTGTCCATCCAGGGGTCTGACTCCTAGTCGGACTCCTCCATCCTTCTCTTGCCCATCATATTTTAAGCCTCCTCATGGCACCTTGAGCAAAAAGGCAAAATGTAGATGGACACAAGGCCGCTTTTACTCACATTGGCACCCTCTAGTGGACTCTCATCATCATCGTCATCTTCAGCATCTGGATCCTGATTGGCAATTTTTAGAGCTTTTCCCATGATGTCTGTAAAAGTCTGATTACTCTCTGAGCCAGGAAATGGTGGACAACCTACAGCAGCAAGACACACATGGTCAGGAGAGCACCTGAGGAGCAAATCTCACATGTACTGATTCAGTTACCTGGAGGCACAGGGAGGTCAGACAGGGTGACTGGTCTTCCAGCTTTGTGAGTTTTGATGGCATCCTGATATTGCTATTGAATGAAGGGGATACAAGAGAAAACACTGTGATCATTCTGGGTTTTTTTCTATAGTTGGTTCAGTTAATATTGTGCTGATTAATTCCTAACTTGAAGGTAAAATAATCAGTTTTGCAGATTTTACATCATCTGAGATGGATGCAGTTTACATGCCCTAGTAATCCTAGGAGCTAAGTTATGTAGGGCTTAATGCCCCTGACAGGGTCACCCAAGGCAAACAGACAAACCCTAGGTGAGGAACTAGACAAAGACCAGCTCAGCACCTAAGTGAGGAGTTTAAGAGTTTACAAACCAGTTTACATCAGGTCAATCAGTTATCTTAAATAATCATGATTTTAAAACTGACCCAAATAATTGTAAAATAATTGTCTCAATATGTGGCTGTGAGATGAACTGGCCCATCAAGGACTGTCTGGATTTGCTGCAGTTCCCCTACAAACATGAATAAGACTGAACAACAGAGAATTAATAATTGTAATACCTTAACAATGCGTTGGTGCATGCGAGCTTTACGATCGTCTCCGTTACTTTTCGCTGTTTCAGCTGCTGATTTGTATATGTCCATCCGCTGTTGCAGAGCTTCTCCAACACTACGTGGAGTAGGTAGCTCTTTATGGGGTACAAAGCACAAAGACAAGTCAAGTTTATATTAGTTGTATTTTTACCATTTACTTGAGCGTCACTTCAATGAAACTGGAGTCTCACCTGCAGAGGCCACACTGGAGGTTGTATTAGCAGTGGGAACAGCAGAGGAACTTGGAGGGGGAGCAGACGCACAGGGTTCAGCCAAGTCTCCTGAAATGATCACGCAGTATTGTGAATGAGAAAAACAATTTATAGTCATTTCTGACACTGTCTAAAAATATTTCAACTTCAAGAGTAAAAGTGTAAAAACAATTTATTTTTCCTATTTGCAGGAGGTTTTTTTAACATATGTATTAAAAAGTCTTCTTTCAGATTTTTTTGTCTGTACTTTTTTGTACAGTCTTTGCCTCTGTCCCTTGTGCTGCTTCAAAACAATTTCACCAGTGTTGTTTAACCTTGAACCTTAAAGTTGTAGTAGTAAAGTAGTTTGTTTTAGTTAACAATAGTAGTAGTCAACAATCCCTTAAGAAAACTTTTTTCTTAAAGTAAAAGAAGGGAGTAATACTTGCACTGACTTTTGTTGGAAACATTTTCACGTGGTTTAGCAACAGTTTCAGGCAGAACTAAATAAAGTCAAAGGCAGACTTTGGATGTTGACAGACCTGGGTAATATTTATGCACCACAATCAACAATTGTATTATCTGTATTAGGATGTAGAGATGCATCACAGATTGTTACATAGTGGGTTCTAAACTGGGTCTAGCCACACATTAAACACTTCATTGTAATTTAAAATAAGTCCTGGAAATGAGAGTTTGAATTTGAAGATCTGAATGCAGTGAACATGCTTTCGTCACATGCAGCACAGCCAGTTAAGTTACATTTCTTCCCTCCTTGTGTGTCTGTGTGTGTCTTTGTCTGTTGAACGCTTTTATTCTTCTGTGCCTCTGATGGTTTAAGCAGGGTGGAGATGTAACAAACCAACAACTCTTCACCCAAGAAACGCTTGTTTCTGACCACTTTCTATATACTAAGATTACAAGACTGTTCCCTGTTGTTTAGTGAGCATTGTGTAATGCTGGTTTGATAAATACAGTTCCTGAGGTTATATTATATCTGTTTTGACTGCCCCCTTCAAGGTTACCACTGTGAAACATGACCACTCTAAATCGTTACCAGTACAGTCAGTTTCTCCATTCATTAGACATCATTTCAGTCTATAGAATTGTATTAAAAAACAAGCTGGTCAAAATGTTCACTGCTCTCTTTCCTAAACATGAACATACCTTGACATGTCATCTGGAACAAAATAAATAAAAATGTAGTCTATGCATTATGTATAAATGAAGGAACAACAAAAGTATGTCTTTGTAAGATTGCACTAACCTAAAGGAGGTGGTAGTGAGTTGGGGTCTATCTGTTCATGGCGGCTCAGTGCTTCTAGCAGCAAATCCAGTTGCTGCAAGAAGATGACAGGAACCAACATCATATAATTGTCCATATGTCTTTTTTATTAAACAAAATGCGTTTGTAATAAATTATTTTTATCTAATTTAGTTGTGTTACCTTGGAGGTGAGGTAAAACTGTTTGGCCCGCTCAATGTCTCCAACCTGCTTGGCATTTATGGCAGCCAATTTGTACTCCTTTTGCCTGGACAACACTAACTCTTTCCACTCTAAAGTTGAGAAAAACATAAACAATAAATGTCTTTTTTCCCTTTCCATTAATGACAGTATATTTAAAAATAATTTAATTAGAAATTAGTGATTTATTTTTTTCGTTTAGACAATTAGCAGAAGAGTATGTTAGAGAGTAAAAAAAGGAGTGACATATAAAGACAAAACAAACAGTCATACTAACATTCAAACCTTATGAATATAATACTATATTCCTGACTATAAACCTGACTGAGAGAATAAGAGAACTTTTGAGTATGCAAAAAACACACAGAAGACACAGCGTTTTAACTCCTAAACCAAAAGACAAACCTATGTTGGTTATTATTATAGTTAACTGTATCAACTGTCAAGGAAAACAGAAACTTTCATTCACACTTTTACTAAATAAAATGAATAAGATATTAACTGCATTGATGCTCGATGATTATGAGGCAGCATTTCCTAGACAGTGAGCAACAGTTGAGAAATCGTTTTCAGCAAATATTTGTTTGTTTAACATTTTGGGACAAATCTCTATTACCATGTTATTGACAGTGGTACACGTTGGTTTGATTAGCTAAACCTATTATTGGCAAATACATGTAATAATTTAAATACCTTTAACAGTAAAAATCTAATAACTATGTTTATTTAGATAGGACTAAAATGTTTAGCATCTTTTTTTTAGCAGATGTCGTGTACACAGCAGAGAAACATTAAACACATGACTATAGCTTCACATACTGTGTTTTTATATGTGTATGGTTGTGTATTTGTAGTGTAAGTCCTTACCAGAGTTCTGTGAATCAGACTGACTGATTACTGGAACATTTGCAGCAGGTTCAGGTAATGAGGCAGGTGCAGAGTTTTGCGGCTTGTTTAGAAGGACCGGCTTGATATTAGGAGTTGCCGGCAGTGACTCCCTCAAAGGTTTCTGAATAGTAGATGAAGAAAACATTACTGCTGACTCAGGCACTTCTGGCTCCTTGTTAGCCACCACAGGAGCAGTAGGTTTTCCACCAAGGGCAACAGGAGGAGGAATCTCGTCCTCGTTAATTGGTTTTCCTTTCTTGACAGACGTTAACATGGACTGAAGGGTCTAGTTTAAAAAAAGACAAGACATGATTAATGTATAACACAGTTTTGTTTTAACACAGAAATCTAAACCTTACCACAACTTCACACAAAAAGGACAATATAGAAACATTGAAATGGAGAATATAGTCAGTGTGATTGTGAGAGATTTAATATGCAATGTTTGTATGAACATTATATTGTTGTAAAAAGGAATAAATAAGGATGTGCTTTCTTCCACCTAATTTTTACCTTCAATCCACGTTCGTATCGTCGAACTTTATTAGTCTCTCCTGCATCCTTGGCATTACAAATGGCCGTCTTATACATATCAATGCGTTCCGTCAGACGGGATTCCACACTGGTATCACGTCTGGGAGCTGAGTGGGATGAAACGCTGACTTGATTCCCAGAAGGTGAAATTATAGTTGGAGTGGGAGCAGGGGCTGAGCTCTCATCATCCATCTCCAATACTTCATTTAGCTCTGCCTGTGTAAAACAAAAAACATGCATATTTACAGTATATATCAAAGCTTTTAGTAAAAGTAAAATTAAATATTTTGAAGATGGGATTCAAGTAAAATTTATTGAACCAACAAAACATATTTAAACAATTGTGTGTGTGTGTCTTACCAGCAAATCTTCATCATCTAAATCTTCATCGTCCACTTCCTCATCATCAATGTCTTTCATGCAAAGAGCTGCCATGCGTGCTATTTCATCCATCTGATAAAACATAGAAAAGATGACTGAAAATCTATAATACAATCGATATCATATGTACATTTTTACACCTGCTATAAAATCTTACAGTGGTGTGCTCACTTTTGCAGGGCTGGGCAAGCTCTTGATCGTAATGGGCATACACTTTCATCTTCCCTCTGTCTGTTCCTGAGTGACTGTCTCAGAAGTTTTCATTTTCAATTATGTCTAGTTGATTTTTTAAGACAGTTTACGGTCGACTTCAGTAAATCGGTTGTGTGGAACAATCCAGTAGCTGTGTATTTGAGCCAGCATGACTGTGATTGGTTGGGAAAAGGCTGTTGTTTTTGTAGGTCTGTTGAGTTTTCAGATAGTCACTGATAGACAGGTGGGCTTTGTTGTTATGGGATAAGTTATGGCCCACAGTAGCCTGAGTTAATAAAATCAAAACATCTTTACATATGTATAAATTAGTTCACGATTTAGCAAAACCTGGTCTGTCAATGTCTATCATGTAATATCTCAAAATATCTATGTTTGGAACATTCTCCTCAGCCAATATCAATTATAATTGTAATAAATGGGGTCTTTGCTATTAACTTTATAGCGTACCAACATTTGTATCAGGTTGCACAAACAAGATGAAGCTATGGCAGTGTTTTTCCCTCTAGGAAAAAGCTATGGCTTGATTTTTAGATGTTTGACCTTAAAACTGTGTTTTATGACATTTTTCTTTGTTGATAACAAGCTGTTTTCTTGCACTGCTTTTAAAGACAATTGCTTGTTTTTATCCTAATCACATAACCATATCCTATCACTAATGCACATAACACAGCACTATGACTTTGCTGCATACTATACATTTATAAAAGTATAAATGTAAAATACGCGTAGTTAAACTTGTCACTAAAGTAAATAATTTAAACTAGCTTTCTGTCTCTGTGTATCTCTCTCTCTCATTCTTATGTTATCTGAAAAGAGACTTTGATATAATCGTTGCATAATGTTTTCAATTTCTTCTAGAAAACAATGGCCTATTTCCATAAACTGTTATAGTATAAAATTAACCGTAACCCGACTTTTGACAAGGGATTAGCTGAAGACGAGCTTTTGAACACTTGCCAACACGTTATAAAATAAGTATTTATGTCCTAATGATCGTACCATACGTAAACCAAACAAAACAGGATCTTATCTCACGCCTATAAATCTTAGAATATAAATAACAGGATCTTATCTCACGCCTATAAATAATCTCTAATCTGTTCAACCGTAATTATTCGTTTTAGTCTTACACTAAAGGTAGTCTGTGCTCATTTTACTGCGCACGTAGGCTAACATTCCTACTACCATGACACCAGTTGTCTATCGTTTTGAACGTGTTTTTACCTACCTTATCAACCTCAAGTGGCGTGACTTCGATGTTGAGAAGAGAGAGAAATAGTCAGCGAGAGTCGAGTATAATATACTATAGCCGAGCTGTTAACTCTCAAAACAACTGTACTGTACTTCCTCCTCAGCGTCTCAGGCAATAATAAAACATTACGCTTTACGGCTGCACGACGTACGTTTGGAACTGTCGTAAAATGTTACGTAGCATGAAGTCTAGTTGTCAAGTAAAGCCAGATTTAATTGTATAGCCTAAAATCATAAACGCAGGTGGGTGGTTTTGAATGAAAATAAAAGCGAAAAACGGGTAATGTGTATTGGTTAATATTATGTCAACATATATTAAAAAGACAATGTAGAGCAGGACGTGCTTGTACTTAAGGGAAATAAAGAAAATCACACTGAGCAACACTCCTAGCGTTGGTGGGGTAGATAAACTCCCCTCTAACACTAAGAAATCTACAGCAAATCCAGACTCAGTGTTCAGCTGTCTACCTCTACGTATAGTATGTAGAAAGAAAATTCTGGAGACTGATTACAGGGGAGAAAAGAGGAGCAGACTAACAACACTACAGTCTCCGTCAGACAAGCTGATATTAAGTGAACAGGACAGTCAGAAATCATTACAACATTAGATTTGTAAACACAAAGGCATGGTAATGAAATGCTTTAAGGTATATGTGAGTAGTGAAATTCACCCTAGATTTTACACAGAGCCAGCGAAAAAACAAGTTAGAACTAGACTGATATTGTTTCTCTTTTTATTTTCTGTCAATTTTTATTTCCTTTTTATTTCCTGTCAAAAAGTGCTGTGACATTATGGATTAGCTAACAACATTAAACAATATTCAGACAACCTAGTATCAAAGAAATAGTTTGTTTGTTTTTTGTTTTTGCATCATTCAATACACAATTATTTTAATTGTGTGGGGGATAAACAGGCAATTTCAGACATTTGCATTATATGAGTCTTGAAAACAGATCCTGATTAAAAGGTCCTATTAGGTTTCTTCTTATGGAATGTGACAACAGGGCAAGGTATCTAATGTGAAATAGTGTCAGGAAAAAATCCCTCTTTGCTTTAGTTTGATTGAAATTTAAAGAAGGAAGTTATAGCTCATCTGGTTCTTTAATAATTGCAGTTGACCTGTTTGTTTCATATATATGCATATGTAAATATAGCTGTACATGTCATCCACATCTAAACTGAATAGGATTAGATAAATTGAACCTTGAGGAACTTTGCCAAGCACTGAACTTTGGGTAACTTTACTTTGTGTGCTTATGGGGAATTTTGTGAACGTTAACAGACTAAAATCTTTTCAGCAACTGTTATATATATGAAACAAGTGCAGTACCTTCAATCCCAAATGTTCCAGCCTCTGTTAACAGTATTTGATGATCAGTTGTACCAGTGCAGACAATAGTGCATTATGAGAGGGCAAACACTAGGTCAGCTGATAGTAACCTTAAATACAATTTACTTACTATGGTGTTATCCAAATCCTCACTGGAAGTCTTCAAAGAAAGAGTTGCAACAAACGTGGACGTCTGACAGATTTAATTAGAGAAAATTTTTTCCTCCAAAATCTAAGCATGAGTTGGATCTAATGCAAACTGAGTTGGTTGTGAGGCTGATCTTGAGCTACGGTAATGGTATTTTACTGTTTTAACACTACCAAAAAACAGATTTTCAAATTAAGGGTATTTGTTATCTTACTTGTTCCTAAGAGCAAATCCTTGTAACATTTGAACAATATTTGTCTCACATCACCTATATACGTAGAAAAATGTTGAGTTCCCACATTTTTCAACCTTAAACGTGCATTTCAGTGACTGTTTTTAAGGATGAGACAGCTTTGTAAACAACTATACAGTTTAGTGCTTTAAACTGTACCATATCAATCTGGCATAATTTTGTTGATATACTAAAATACTCATTTTAATACATATAAACAGGTTTGTCATAAGTTTAAGATTTTCTTTTTCTGACTGATTTGAATTCTACTGAAGATACAGAAAATAAAACATACAGAAATGGGGTGTTTTTTCTTCATTTTTTTCCACATAAAAAGTGGATGTACACAATTCAAAATAAAATAGCATGCATAGGAAATATGTTATACACTTTAGAACACGTTACTCAAATTCAAACATTTTACAATACTGACATAGAAACACGATTTTTAAATGGTGTGTGTTGTTAAATGTTGTTACATTATTTGAAATAAAAACTTTCGTCCCTTGCCTCCCGGGTCCACCGATAAAAAGCAATCCTTCCCCATGTTTACCAGGATTGGGAGTCGGACCGAGCCAATAATCCTGCCTCTACTCTTTCCATGGCTAATGACCCTAGATATCATACAAATACCACAGTATCGAGATTCTAAAACAGTCATGAATTATACAGTACATTTCATAACCACGATTAAAAGGCACAAGGCAAACGTCCCAAACGTTAACCATATTAAGCACGGACTCTGACAGAGTGTGAAAATGGATAGCTTTACAGAGGGTCTAACAGCAAACGTGCAAACGCATGCAACTAAAACAACACACACACACACACACACACGCAAAACAACGGGCCAGTGCAAATAAGATAAAACACGACTAAAATGACTCTGCCCTCTGTGCTGTTACTTGTTGCTATCCGTTTACTCAGCGTCTGGACCTGACATACACAGAGCTGTACTCCAGGTCCACTTTTGGACAGAAGCGCTTGGTGTGAGCCTTGTCCCCCGTGGCTCCACAGAGTGGACAGACATACTGCCGGAGATAGGGACATGATACATCACCACCCTGGTTTTTCAGCCAGTGGGATGCATACACCAACTCGGACTCTCCGTTGTGCTTGCAAAAGCTGCAAAACATACGGAACGAAAGTATGCGCTTAGGAACTTTTGAGATGGAGCACGACGTCGCCGATGTATTTGCTATAGTATTTAGTAAAGTGTTGCCGTCCGTCGCTACTTCGGAAGCCGCCACATCAGATGCATCTGTCTGTCCAAAGTGACTTTGATGGGTCAAACCACTAGATAGACAGTGATGAATAACTGAGCCAAAGGGAGAAGTTGACACGTTATCTGCATCCTCTTCATTTTCATAAACTGCGCTGCAGCGCTCGCTTTCCGGAGCTCTGCAAGCAACAGCTATACCCGAGTGCGGGACTTTGGGTGCTGGCAGAGAGCACTGAGTGGCGTTTTCCCGTGCCAAGATCTCTCTGATGATGCCTGAAAGTCCCATATAATCTCTCCACAACTGGAAGCCTTTGCCTTCCCATTCCATTAAGACGATGAGGGGTCTGGCAGACGGTAGTGTTGCTGCAGTATTGTCCATTCAGTATACTCTTAAGTCGGTATTTTCCATTCAGTACTGTTCTTGAGTTTCTATTGTTCCGTTTTGAGTTCCTTGCTGTGTGAGCCAACTTGTCGCTTCCGCTGTAATAATAAAATAAATGAGTGTAGAGTTACAGCACGGACTAACCACGCGTTGATTGGTAATTTAGTAGAAGCCGTGGAAGAGGCGCCTCTGCAGCCTATCACAGCACCTGACACACCCATCAATAAAAATAAATTTCCTTAAACCCCAGCTTCTATGTCGCTTGGTTTTTATTTTATTTCCACTGTTGTTAAAACATTTCAAGAAAATTAAAGTGAACACAATGTAAAGTCCAACGAGGATCCATTTGTTTTCATCAATTCCAGCATTGCCTCTGGTCTGCCAGGAAAATAGTCGTTAGTGACGGTACTAGACTGTGTGACGACAAACAGACCCCGCCCCCCAAAGAACTACTGATACACAAATGACATAAAACAATACAATAACTCCAAATTAACAATACACGTTAACAATACACGGCATATACGTTAATTATGCCGGCTAAAAAGCTGCTAATTAGCCGTTTCTGACTTGCAGTGAGGTAGCGCGTTCTGATTGGTGTAGATCTGCCTCATTTGCATATGCACCGATAGGAGGAGTGAGTGGGAAAAGTTGGACGTCGAAGTAAGGGTTTGAGCTATGCCGCAGCGGTTTGGCCCGTGAAACTCGCGTGACTCAATGCCCGTGGCCAGGTTACCGGCAACGCTGGACGCTACATAAGTTACAGGTAACGATGTATGGTCTTTGTGTGCCAATGGAAGAAGTTAACGCAGTCGCAGTTGTGCGACAATGTCTCTGCCGTACACCGCCTGAGAACAGACACCGGTCAGGCAGGTGCAACAGGTAGTGCAGCATACGGGAATGTGTGCGTCCGCTTTCAGCAATAAAAGACACGGGTACGGTGGTGTTTGTGCTAGATTTTGAGAGAGGAATGAGACCTTTCCAGGTATGAAGGCGAGTGGTCTGTGCTGTAAAATGTAAGTATTTCCTGGATTAAAATCATTATTGATCCCTGCAGTTTATTCTGTACATATTTGCTAAGGGATCCGCTCTTATGGAGTTTAATTATGCTGTGATAACGTCGAATTTAGAATTACATTTAATGTTAGATAATTTGAAATAGATATCATAATATAGTCCAAATTGTATTATATTATGGTATGTTGAACGGTAAATTTAAATGCAAAATAATAATAAAAATGGACTTGGTATTAGAACTGGAACACGGATAATCTATACAACAGAGTAACTGATTTCATCTTGAGGAAAGAAAGGAGGATGGACTTTGTGTACAAATAATCAGAAGCTTTGGTGAGTAAAATGCATTTTGTCTTAAAATACATGTTGTAATTGTAGTATGTTGTTATTGTACAGTAGGTTGAATTCTGCTTCGTAGGTTTGTTGCTTTAGTAATGACGTTATGGCGTCGTGGCTACATGAGTTAACAGGGATAAAACGACTCATTACACTACATTTCTGCATAACAGTGATGGTTTCTATGGACATAACATGAAGTTGTTAGGATGTGGATTTATTCAGGCAGGATGTCACTGAAGGCCTGGGTGAGAAATGCATGGTAACCACTGAATAAACTACCCGTTAAGTGGTGAGACTGAAGTGCAGCAGGAAAACACAAGCTGCTTGTTGTAGTCCGTGGATGGATTGGCACGTTTTCATGTGTGATTATATGTATTTGAATGATGTATCTGACCAGCGTATAAAATTCATTTTCTAGAAACAAACATGGTCATCGTTTGACAGATTTTTTAAGCCTGATTTTGGCATAATTATCTTGATTGTTTACAGAAAGTGTTTATCTGTCATCAAGCAATGTCATACACTGTCAACAATTTACCTCTAAATGGGATCACAATTTATTCAATTCACAACATGCTCTGTTTGAGATTGACATCTGTTCACTTCAGTTACAATGTGAGTTTGGTTACACTTACTACACTTACTAATGTTGATATTTTTTGGATTTATCAATGAATGAGTACACAGGTCAAGCAGAAACAACCCAGTACCAGCAGGATAAGAGGAAGGACTTGTGGACATATCTGCATATATACAGTGTGAATGGGACAAATGTCGCCTTTTCTCACAGCCTTGTATGTGTGTCATTTACTCCATAGCCTCCCGTAATGATGGCAGTCCAAGTGATAATCCCGCCTGTGGTGTCGGCATCCATTTATGTACTGCTGTCCCTCTTCAGCTTCACTCTAGTGCTGCTGCTATGTGTCATCAGGAAGAAAAGGAGAATGGAGGGAACTTATAAACCCAGTGCAGAGGAGAGGAAGCAGACCAGAGGAGCAGGATCTGAAAAACCTGCCCTCCCTTTGCCATTGCCCAAAGAGGAACGTCTCATATGATTTAGTGACTTTTCATGCCTCCACTCCTGTCACTATCTAAAAATGACAACAGATTCCATCTTCTTATCCTTTTGTATGTTGCTATCCTCGAGGATCATTCACATTAAAAACATTTGGTGGAGCACGTTTTGGTTCCTTGTTACGCCTGGAATGACTGGCATCTCGTTGTCCTGTTTCACAGCGTAAGATCAGGAAATGAGCGTGCTCACAGTTGCACTTCACATTTATGAAGGGATGACATTCTAATGTAAGGGCAATGAACTAAAGTGTATTGTGCTTTTTGTTAGTCTTTTTTGTTACTGTTGTATATATTTAATTATCAAATATTATGTTTTGCACAACATCCAGTTTAAGGATATGGACCACTGAAAATGTCAATGACTGTGATGCACTTCCCATGTCTTGCCTGAATAAATATTGACACAATGTTTGTTTTGTACTCAGCAGCCTTGTGTGTTAAAGGTCAAATGAGAAATGTTTTGACAATCATTTACATTAGAAATTTCTTAATTTTGATTAACACAGTACAAAGTACATTAAAGCATAACTTTGCATATGCAGAAGTCTAGAAGTATTTATTATTAGTGTGTGATATATTTGAGTGAACTGTACCTGCTTGGTGCTTAATGTGGGCTTACCCTTTTCATTTTTGAAATCAGATACCCACTTGTTTTAGGCTCCTATACCCGCACAATTTCTGCTGTTGATTTTCACTAGAGCTCAACCAAATATTCGGCTGATTATATCTTTCGACAGTTGCACGTCTTCTGAGTGCACTTTGTGGTAGTAGTCCTACAGAGAATATGTTAAATCCACTTGTTGTGTTTTTATGAAAGAATGTATTTAATTACAATCTTTCAGCAGACCAGTAGGCCTGTATATTATAATTTAATGTACATGAGTGGGATCAAGTTAATCTGATCTTGAAGTGTAACTTAGTTTTTTTTTTTTTTTATGATAGTTCGATAGTGCATCTCTGTAAGATGTTGGTCTATTTGCCGTCATGGGTAAGGTAATATAAGAAAATATGTAAGGTGTAGATACAGATAAGTACAACCTTATATACGCCATGTGGACTCTCACTGATAAAAATCTCTGTATGGTTGCCATATTTACATGTTATATAGTCATGGCAAAGTGTAATTGTCTTAAGAAAATTACTGCACATTACGTTTTATTAAGTTTGACACACTGCCCTCTGTTGTTTTAACACGACACCTACGATTAAACGATTTTATATCCTTCATTTTGTTTCACTTCATAAAACGATCACTCCTTGTTGATCATGTGTTTTACTCAATTTACCATAGATACTATAAATCATTCCTTAAATGTGTAGATTTCAATTGCATTCTGAGAAATTACCTGAAGAAGATTCACTTTCTGCTTGTCTCTTCATCAGAGGTTGTCACAGCAGTAGACCAGTGTTTTAACACCAGATCCTTTTCCTGAGGCAACAGGAAGGCATCCTACCATTGCAGCACTATACAAAAGAAATGTCCACACAGAGTAATTCTGATGATAATTTATTCAAATCAATTTCAAATTATACAAGTGCTTTGACTTTGATGAACCAAACTGCTCAATCAGTGATGATAAATATCATAAGGTGACTCACCAACAATCACAAGCATACATTTTATTTGTTACTGTTACTTCAGCGTTGTAATGGAAATATCTTGAAGACGAAAGAGGAAACGGGAGATTTCACAGAATGGGTGAATCCGTTGATGGACGCTTGGCTAGAGTTGTGCTAACTGTTGATGGAAAAAGTGAATTACATTAGCTCAGGCCACCTCCTCTTCTCCCTCCTCCTCAAACTCTCCCTCCTCAGCCGTGGCATCCTGATACTGCTGGTACTCAGACACCAAGTCATTCATGTTGCTCTCTGCCTCGGTGAACTCCATTTCATCCATGCCCTCACCGGTGTACCAGTGAAGGAAAGCTTTGCGACGAAACATGGCGGTGAACTGCTCTGAGATTCTTTTGAAGAGCTCTTGGATAGCTGTGCTGTTGCCAATGAATGTGGCAGCCATCTTCAGCCCGCGAGGAGGAATGTCGCAAACAGCCGTCTTGACATTGTTAGGGATCCACTCCACGAAGTAGCTGCTATTCTTGTTCTGCACATTTAGCATCTGCTCGTCCACCTCCTTCATGGACATACGGCCACGGAAGATGGCAGCCACGGTTAGGTAGCGTCCATGGCGTGGGTCGCATGCAGCCATCATATTCTTTGCGTCAAACATCTGCTGCGTGAGCTCTGGCACGGAGAGGGCTCTGTACTGCTGGCTGCCCCGACTTGTCAAGGGAGCAAACCCAGGCATGAAGAAGTGCAGACGTGGGAAGGGAACCATGTTGACAGCCAACTTCCGTAGGTCAGCATTGAGCTGTCCTGGGAAACGCAGGCAAGTTGTCACCCCACTCATGGTAGCAGATACCAGGTGATTTAAATCTCCATAGGTGGGTGTTGTGAGCTTGAGGGTGCGGAAACAGATATCATACAAAGCTTCGTTGTCGATGCAGTAGGTTTCATCTGTGTTCTCAACCAGCTGGTGGACAGACAGCGTAGCATTGTATGGCTCCACCACTGTGTCTGAAACCTGGAAGCCAAATAGGCATATAAGTTGGAGTGAGGAACAGCAGGCTGAAATAAAAACAAATGTGACATATTTCCTGTACCTTAGGAGAGGGAACCACGCTGAAGGTATTCATGATACGATCAGGGTATTCTTCCCGGATTTTGCTGATGAGCAGGGTTCCCATGCCGGAACCTGTGCCACCACCCAGGGAATGTGTAAGCTGGAAACCCTGCAGGCAGTCACAGCTCTCAGCCTCCTTTCTCACCACATCCATGACTGAATCTACCAGCTCAGCTCCCTCTGTGTAGTGGCCTTTGGCCCAGTTGTTTCCTGCTCCACTCTGACCTAAAGAAAAATGTTATATCTTTCTTGAATATTTATCTATTTATAGAGATTAAAAAAAAACAGTGTTTTTGACTAAAACAACTGGGAATATCAACAATCACGCTATCTACCATGCCAATATTTCCTAAATGCAATTTATTTATTAATAAGTAGTATTTTTTTTTTTCAACGTACCAAAGACAAAGTTGTCAGGTCTAAAGATCTGGCCAAAAGGACCTGAGCGGACGGAATCCATTGTTCCAGGTTCTAGATCCACCAAGATGGCCCTTGGCACATATTTGCCACCTGCAACAAAAGAGCATTAGTAACACTCCCAATTATTAAAACTGAATATTAGAGGCCCTCAGTAGTACTGTGTTTATTCATCCACATGTCCTTACCTGAGGCCTCGTTATAATAGACATTAATTCTGTCCAGCTGCAGGTCACTGTCTCCATGATAGGTTCCTGTTGGGTCGATGCCATGTTCATCACTGATCACCTCCCAGAACTAAAATGGAAATATTGTGTGAGATCAGGCAGAGATCAGTTAGTAAATACTGACAGAATGTGATCAGCATTACTGCTATAATGCCTACACAATTATGATATAGGTTTGCTTATAGTAAATTTTATGTAACAAGAAACATGATTTGTTGATTTTTTATTTGCTAGGAAACAAAACACATAAAATGAGACAAATCCACAAATGACTGGAAAAATACAGGAACAAGATGGAACTTTAATTTAGGTAACTAGGTCAGTATGTAGCAGATGGCCAACTACTATACCGCAACTTTAACTTATGATCAATATGAGCAAGTAGTTACTTAAAGTCTAATAAACATTGATCCAGTGACGTGTTGGAAAATCCTTCCTGTTATATTATCAATATATTTGCTTATATTTATGTTTTTGATGTTTAGATGGGGGGGATTTTATTTATCTAATTAATAGTATATTTCTAGGAGGCTGGGGCGAAATGATGCAATGACAATGCAATCTAGATACGAGTGAATCGGCACACGAGCGCTGTGGTGGAACGGATTAGACTGGTATCGCGAGGCCCCACTGTAGGCCTATATCGTCGATGAAAACGAAAAGACTGTTGTGACCGTTATATGGGATTTTTTTGGGGAGTGTGACTGTAATTCTAGTTTTAATTAGTAAACTTTATTGTGCTGCTTTTATATTATAGTGATTACACTGTTCATTGTGTGTTCATATTGTGATATCTGATATACAGTATTAGCTCCCAGGCTGTTAGCTACGGATTTAGCCAATGACAAGTATTTCCGTCGTAATTCAATGTCTCTTTCTTTTTTTTCTTTCAAGATTCTAGAATGTAACTAAACATATACTGGACCTCATTAACTTCATCTCGACAGCGTCATCGAAATGTCATGGAACCAACACACCATAAATCTGAACCAGTTTTCTTCACGGTAGATCTGTACGTGGACACGACATACAAATGTCTGCCGGGCCGATTTTCTGATCTTAACCGATTACACTCGATCAACTGACTAGATGGTGTTTTGAATAACAGATTAAGACAAAAATATTCTCTATGATTTCAAATGCCCTCCATATTCTTCGTTTCGGAAATGGCTGAAGCTCGAACATGACTGTGCTATTTAGTGTCTCTGGAGCCTGAACCACACCCCACCGTTTCTGTCGGCTCTGTCTCGCACTCGCCCCATTCACCAGACTTCCCCCCAGCACAGAGGGCACACACAACACAGTGACTAACAATGAATGCAGTGTTATACAACCCGTTACTCTGCGTTGACCTGTTTCCAGTATTTTGGTTAAAGACAGAAAATGCTTTGTTAAGTGCGTATGTGTGTGTATTTCTTATACCTTTGCTCCAATCTGGTTCCCGCACTGTCCAGCCTGCAGATGTACTATTTCACGCATGATGATCCACAAAGAGAAGCTGCTGCTGTTAGATGAAAGAAAAGGTAAGAGTTACAAGGTCTTCTTGAAGCTCTAAGACGGTCTGGCAGAATGGCGCACGAGCTGTAGGCTTTATATTTCTCCCGCCCCCTCCCTTTGCGTCTGCGCAGCCCTTCTCATTGCTGCAGCATGACGTCATTGGCACGGCAAAGTGGGCCGAGCTTGGGCGCGGCTCAAACAGTACTGCGTACTACATATCCTAGTACGCAGGATTGACATTAAAAGAATCTTTTCAGGGTATTTTTTGGGGTGTTGTGAGATGACGCCAAATCATCCTGAGGCAGAGAGTTGTACATTAAAAACATATTAACATTTTACTTCATATTTAAAATAATTGAAGTCTCAATTTGGTTGATACATTTTCAAGTTTGTGGTTTATATTTGATAATACTACTTAAATCAAGTGTTTGTTTCGTACCAGGGGTTAGAATATCTGTAGCACAGCCAAGGATCGGTGCTTTCTCTGCCTGCGTACCATGGTTTCTCTCTGGCCTTGATTCTTAGTTAAATAGTGATTTAGTGTTTACTGCTGCTGTCATACTAAAAGGCACAGGTGAGCTGTTAAAAACAGAATATGAAAAGGGAAGCCTTGGTTAGAATATAAACACTTTATATGACCAAATGATAGTAGTGTCTAATAGTGAAAGTGAAAGGATATTATACAGTATGTCATTGTGACACAGCACCCCACTGCACACACAACCAAATGTTATCTCTGCTTTTAAGCCATCAGGGGGCAGTATTAAGCGCCCGGGGAGCAGTGTGAAGGACGGGGCCATGCTCAGAGTACCTCAATTAGTAAACAAGTATACACAAATAAATAAAAAAACAATATTTTAAATCCAAAATGTTTATTTTGTTTGATCTATAGTACAATGTACCAGTTTAAAACAGATGGAAACATTCCCAACAATGGGTCCCTCAAATTTTATTTTAATGCATAGGAAAAGAAAACCTCACCTTTAAGATGGCCGCCATGCCTCAATTACAATATAACAGGAGGAAAGTGTTCAGTTCACAAGCAGCAATTGTAATTTAACATCAGGAGCTGCAGGAGTACAGAACGAAGTCACAGATCACAATATCACTCCCAGTAGGCAAAATGATGTAAGACAAAATTACCTGCAATTAATTTTAAAGCAGGTACAGAAGGGTTTTCTGTACATCACAGAATATATATGTATATATATATATATATATATGTATCTATGAATATATATTTTATAAACATTTTATCTTGCTAGATTTGTTCAGTATGATCTATGATATTTGCTAAAGTGCCTCAATAGAAATGAGTGTGAATATCTGTCCTGAGTCAACACACAACTGTCTTCTCAATTCTTTGATGACTTCTCAAAGCATGTTCACTACAGCTTTTGCCATTTACCTGGATGTGGAATATAATGAGCTAAGCACGGAATTGAACCCACAACCCTCCGGGTGTAAGACAACTGCACATGGGTTGGGGTGGCTTGGTGTTTGTAGGACAGTGTCTCTACAGTTCACAGTGTATGGAAAAGTAAGAATTCTTTTTTTTGCTAATAAGAATTTTTTCTAATAATTACATTTTAATTTGTGTTAACTTACTGCAAGTTCTTTTCTGAATTTCTTTCACTCTTCAGGCCAGTTACCAAAACAAAGTTATACACACACGCAGACATTTAAACGGCTGGAAAAAAACAGCATTACTAAACTCAAGGAAACAAAAACACGTCATCAGTGTGTACCAGGATACAGCACACATCCTCCACGTCCAATCAAAGGAGCTCTAAGGCACATTTTAATACCAGGTGTGAAGATACATAGCAAGCAGTTTTGTCATGAGATCAAATTACTAGAATAGCTGCTAACAGACAAATGGAAATGGACACAAAGCCAATGGCACATTTAAATTAAACAGTAACATTATGCTCAGTACTATGCTGATGCTAGTTGCATACTCATGTGCAGTAGAACTCTACATCTTTATTCATATATTAAGTAGGTAAAATATTTTTAGTGGTAATTAACTAGGACCGTAAAATAGAAGTCACTGTTTTGTTCAACACTTTTAACAGTATCTTCATTAACGCACTTAAAAAAACAAACTTGGTCCTTGGAAAAAAATCAGTAATAAAATGAAAGCCCTGACATTGGCGGAATGAAGTAAAAGACAATCAAGTTTAAATGAAATTTTTACATGTTAGAGGATGATTTGCATTTTAGTAAAAAAAATATTCATTAAAGGACAAACAAATCTGTAAAACAATAAAACTCATGGTGCAACCCATTTGGTCAGCACTATAAGGAATGATTACTATGCAAATACATGCCAGCCGAATCACTGAGTTTTGTTGATACATTAGGTTTTGGAAAATGGCAGCACAAATTACAACAGAAAACATTTTCTACAATTTGCAAATAATTCTCAGCCCAACATGAACAAAACTGAGTGTAAAACACGACTACAAGATTCACATTTTTCTACAGAAAACTTAAGCTACACTAGAGTCCTGACAGGTCTGATGGTATTGTTTACTTGTTACAACGTTACAAGGGTTTTGTCTTTCATTGTCAAGGTAAACGGATGAATAGCTGCAGTCATCCAAAGGCAAACATGTTGTAGTCCTGTTCACTCTACATTTGAATGGGTTGTTATGTCTCTACATAGTCGTTCTCACCCGTGGTCTGTTTTTAATTCCAGTGTTAACGTCTGCAGCAGTTGGTGCCCACTGTAGTCCAAACATTAAATTAAAATGTGGTGTTTAGAGACAGAGGTAGAGCTAAAAGACAAGCACAAGTGCACATGCAGGATCAGCTCTGTGTGGGCTCAGGAAATGATGCGGATGCCAAAATATTTCTTGAGCTGCTCAAGGAAAATGAAGGTGAGAACTGTGTGGGGAATCAAACGAATCCCTGCGGGGACGAGACCCTGCAAAAAAATGTAGAATTACAATATTTTTAAATACTCCCATTTCAAGTTCAGAAATTATAATTAGCACTTGCAACCTTTTTTAAAACCCATTTTCTTACCTTCTGGTTGTGTTTAAGACACGTTTAAAATCTTCCTTTAGTGATAATCTAATTCCATTTACTTTTAACATCCGGTGTATCTGACCCTCTACTTTCACCTCTAACCAGTTCTAACCTTTATTTCTCTACCCTTCAGTGGTGAGGTCCAGGTTCCTAGGGTTTCTTGCATCTATTCACACCACATATTACAGTGTTGTTATGATCCACATTATCAATCTGTCCATCTCATTTGCAAACAGGGAGGGGCTTATCTCTGCTGTAACCCCAGCACTACCAATAACAAATCTGTCAGTCAGCCCATCCTGCAGCTGTAGTCGGTCCTTCTCTCTAGCACTGGCTGCATGTGAAGCGATCCAGTCATGAATGTGATGACAGCAGGAAAGCATTTAAAGAGAGTCTGAGACAAGTGTGTGCTTCAGCCATACACAGGGTGCAAATTATCCTACTGTAATTTGCACCCTTGACCATCATGGTCCACTGTTTCACCATACCAAGACCTCTTCCTTCTGACATAAAAACTGTCCTTTTGGTTGGTCCTAACACCTTATTTGTTCTTTTGCAATCATTTGGTTTTTAACATTCAGTTAAAATAAGGAACAAGGCAACAAATACAAACTTGAATACATGAACATGGCTGCTGTAAATCATGACTCGGCCCACTTTGTGACAAGACAAGTCCAAACAGCTGTATACCTGCCTGCTTGTAGGAATTGAGACTTTGTTTTAAATACTTAAACTACACACAAGAGACTTGGGGTGGATTTTGATTTTTAATCCAACAGTAAAACATTCAGTTATTAATGATTAATTCGAGAATGAATGATTGTGTTGAAAATGAATATTTATTTACATAGAAATGTATGGAATTAATGTCTACTTTTCATGTCAAACTGTCAAATTGTGTAATTTAACTTACCTTGTAAAACGCTAGAGGGCCCAGTTTTGCAGTTTCCTGTAGGCAATGTTTCACCCCCTAAAGTGAGACATGAGACTTGGTGAAACTGAACACTGACAAACAACAAAGCAGGTACAACAAAGGACAAGGGAGTACAATGAAGAGGTATTAGAAAGGATCTACACACTGTGTACTCTCCCTTCGAGTTCATCAGTCTGGTCTTCAGCACATCTAGAGGTTGGCATAAGAATGTAGCACAGCCACCCTGAAAATGAGCAGACGGTGATAAGCAGAGGAAAGAGCTTTGTGAACATTATACACTGACTGAGCCACTGCGTACTCACAGCAATGAAGCTGGAAATAAAGTGTGTCAAGATATTATCTCCCATAATTCCCGTCCCCAGCACAAGTTGTTTGGCCTGGTCGTAGCACGCCAACTAAATGTGTGAACAGAGTTGAAGAGACATATATTTATTTTATCCGTTTGGTATCATTATTTTATGATGTGAGCTTTCATTAGACATGGTCCTTGAGGAGTCACATCATCTTTTACGGTGTTCTAGCACCTCATGTCATCATGTCGTTTGACTTGCCTGTCCAACAGTGACCATCGCTCCTCTGCTGGAAGCCATTGTGGCTCCGGAGAAAAGTTTTCTCACACCCTCTAAATAAAAGAGACATATTTTAAAGAAATGTTTTCAGGTGGCCTAACATGCAGTAAATCCTTACATTTACCTTCTCTTAAGACTCTGAGAAGCCCATCAATGGCATGTTTGTAGCTGCAAGGGAAAACATTAATCTTAGTTTCAGAAAACTCTGACAAAAACCTTGTATTACACCTGTAAAATAACCTTTATTATCTGACTGACAACACTTACTTCCTCCTCTGGTCAGCAGGCAGCTTCATGTCGTTTTGCATCCTTGAAGCCAAAACAGTTCAGAACTGCATGATTAGCTTTTTTTATTTTTACAAAACAAATTTAAATTTATTTACAAAATATTTTTTGGAAACAGCGTTAGTAACTTCCACATGGAACAGCAGAGCATCAGAACTAATCCATCTCACCTGACATTCACCATGTCTGCTGGTGTTCCCACAAAGCCACCAGTGAAACCTGTAGGCACATAATGAATATTTATAGGTAACATGTAAAACAGTGTTTTACTGAATAGTAAATAAACATTGCCCCAGGAGTTCACTCCTGTTCTCACTCTAACTCCCTTCAGTGGATAAACTGCCTAAAGCTACTGAACAAAAATGTTAAAACTTGGTCTTGTTTCCATATGTTTTGGCTCTTAGAACTCCTGGGACGTTAATCCAGGGAATTGATGCTTAAAAGTACTAGTACGGAAATTACATTGGCAAGTTAGAAAGCATGTCGCAGTCATGCACTGGTTTGTTGACACTAAGACAGTGAAAATGAATCAATCAATTCAGGATTTTAATGAAGATGTATAAAAGATTGTGTATAAAGGAATGAGTGAGCTCTCACCGCCAAAGGCTCCTAGCATGACCTTCTGGTAGAATGGCATGGGGCCACTACTGCCCATCATGTCCCTCACTGTCTCATAGATGGCAAACCTGGTAAGAGAATAAGACATCTGTAGACAGGACAGAAGATGGAGAGAAGGTGAACTATTAATGAAGAGTTAAACAAATGATTCAACATCAAATCACTCTGCAGAGCTTTCACATGGAACATGAGGAAAGTCAGGGTACATGATTTGCAAACTGAAGCTAATCTGGCACAATCCCAAACCTTAGGGCAATTTCCTTCCATTTAACTACTTTAATAGCCCTAGTTATGTTGCATTTACAAGTATTTACATACAAGTTAAATAGAATGACACTCATGGTTACAATATTTGTTCACAATTAGAGTGACAGATATTATTCTGCTGTTAGTCATGCACTTTAGTGACTTGACCTGATAGATAGATGTACTTTATTGATCCCACGCTGGGAAATTGATATTTATACTATTGATACTCTATAAATCAGTACAAGTTATGCACTGGTCATTAAGTCGTCTGAGAACTCCTCAGTTACTTCTTTTTTGAACCTGTCCCCATTCACTTTTGATCTGAAATAAAATGTGTGAAAAGTAATCAATATTTAGAGAGTTTATAGTTAGTGTATTAGACTCATCTACTCAGTTATATATAATGGTAATAATGTTAATGTACTCCATGTATTTTTAATTTATTTTTAAAATGTAAAACACTGTTCCTTTCCTCAGGAGAGCCGACATCTGCGCATTGATCATTACACAGGCGTACCTGTCTACAAAGAGAAGCTGAGAGGCCATTGTACAGAGCCAGTAAGCCATCGTTTTTCACCACATGAACAGCCATTCCCATCATCCTCTTCTTGACCTGCTGCTGGGTCTGCAGGTGAACCTGAAGAGGAAAAGATACTGTATATTCACTTGTCCATGTTTTAAGACAGTTCCGGTGGTTAGCTGACATCACTCTACAGGAGTTGGAGCGCTTCAAGGGCAACAGCTGAGTCATGACCTAAAAAGCAGTAAGGTACTGGAGGAGGGCACTGTAAAGCATGAATGTCATACTCTGCCTATACACTGAGAACTATTTTTATAGACCTAGTCATGCTGCATTTACAAGTGTTTCTCTTGGTGACCGTGAGCTGGTTACAACTCTGCCATGAAGACGCTTTGCCTAGTAAAGACTGGGTATGAATTACAGGCAGAGGGCAATATCATTGCAGATTCCATACAGCGTCCATGCTAGGGTCAACCAGTGTAGCACATATTTTCAATGTTATACAAGCAAGAAGTGGAAGACCTTGCTCCTCGTGTCTCTCCTTAAAAGTGCTGATTACTGACCTTGTCTGCAGAGTAAAGGCACGAGACTTCCTGAGTAGCAGCTAAATGTTATCAGTGTCATGTGCTGCCAACCTCTGTCAACTGCCCTACAGTGAACCCACACATATCTGTATTTGTGCAAATTATCTAAAAAAAAGGGAAGACACATGAAGTCAAGACCCAAGTGACTGTGTGACCATGCTACCTGACTGGAACAGATACAAGAAGCACACAGAGGCGTCTGGCTCAAAACTATCCCAGGGCAAACTGAAAATGCCTGGTCCTGATTAAAGTTCGATTCAAAAGTAAAAGTAATTTCAGTCCACATGAGTGAAGTACTGATCTGATCTTTTAAAATTATTATGAGAAGTGTTTTTATTTATTTTGGGTTTTTTGTGTGTGTGGTTTTTTTTTACGAATGTTTGACCTCACAGCCATTTACAGATGCGCGTGCACATACCCACGATTCCTCTGCCAATGACAGGCAGGCTATGTATGGAGAAGAGAGCACTTGGTGTAATCTTACAATTACCAAACTATATTCAGCAAACCAAGACACACGTATACATACACAGACGGACAGATGCGTGGACAGCTAGACATCTATGTGTACAGTTTCACACCGCTGAATGCTAAGGCTCAGTTATTAACCTGCCATATAACGGGGAAGGTGAAGGTTCACTCACGCTTTGGTTTATAAACAATGTCAGAATCCTATTCTGTAGCGCTTGGTAAAATGTCATCACTTGCCCAGCTAGACTCGTATAACCAGTAACCAAACAGCTGGAACCAACACCTCAGGCCTGCGCTCCTCCACACCAGTGGGCCCCCCGATTACTCACTCACCTTCAGGAGATCAAGAGGATGTGTGCAGCATGCAGCTCCACAGGACGCGATTCCCCCAAAATACCACCGCGAGATCCGTCTCTCGGCCATCGTGTTGTCCTGAAGGCAAACCGGTTTGTCCCTTTCTCTGAATTCGGCGTCCAGACACGCTATCCGGCTACCGTGTCGGCTGAGGGGCGCGCAGCAGTACAGCAGGCAGTGATTTGACTGGTGCACACACTCGTCGTTAATCTTCACACATGCCGATGTGACTCAACGACATGAACCGGAGGACTTTGGGCTCGGGCATTCATCGTGCACACTCACACTAAGAGACAAGCGTGTGGGTCGCTCTCGGTTTGTGCGCCAGTGCGTGACGCGTGTGATATCTGCTGTGTTTGCGCAAGAAGCAGCAGCTGAGTGCACAAGAATAGAGTGCAGCCAATTGCCACCGTGGTAGCTGGAGCGGCCTACTCGACCCTGGACCCCTGCGCACAGGGGTTAACAGCAAAGAATGAGAATACTGCAAAAGAAGTCCGCATAGTCCACTTTGTCAACTGCATGGGAGCGTTAAAGTGACACACACCGCCATAGGAAATGCAGGCCGCCGAATAACGTAGCTGTTTCTTTAAGAGAACAGTACGCCGCGAAACAGTTTTACTCAATACGTGACTGTGTTATTTCTTTGCTCACGCTAACGTGAGACGGGCTAAGCACACAGTTATTTGGGAAACTGTTACAAAGATGTAGTCAGATAGTGTTGTGTAGACTGAGGGCGGGGGCAGACCTGCGGCCACATTCTTCAGCGTGTTTAAACTCCTCAGGACCGTTTCAGTGACGCCCACTCAGCCGACGTCTGCTGATCAGGTGTTTCTTATGTCCACACATTAACGTGTCACTGATGTAATAATGATTTTACACTGACCTTACCAAATTCAGGTGTGACAGTGAGTTTAAACACATGCTTAAAAATCTAGACCCAAAGTCCTCACTTCTGTGTTTTTATCGTTAAAATTGAAAAACTTCAGAGCCCTTTAGAACTTGTGTTGTCGAGACGCTTGAGTAACTGTCTCACCGCGCATGTGTCGTTCTCATGAGTAGGGATGGGAGTTGAATTCTTGTTGAGAACCCGATTGTTCTGTTCCTTGGAATCATTATTCTGATTGCTTAATGATGTAAACTGAGCACATCTTCTTTTTTTTAAAAAAAAGTATTTATTTTCATTTATTTATTTATACATATATTTAGGTTTTCTTTCTTTCTTTAGTGAAAATATGTCAGTGTTTTATATGTAATTTTATTTTTTATCTGCCCTGTTATTCTTGTGATTATAAACGATGCATGTACTTGGATGTATGCATGTAAAAGTAAAAATACATGTGTATACGTGGATGTGGTGTGGATGTGAGTGTGTAGGCCTATATATATTCTTTTTTCCTTGTATAAATTGTGGAAGACCATACCAACCTAACAGGTCACTTCACCCTGAAAATGCAGGCCTACTTACAGGTCCTAGTGTGTACTAGAGTAGAATGGGAGGCTATAGGCGTCCACCTTTTGAACTAGCTGTCACTGTGGGTTAGGGAGGCTGACATCACCGCCTTCAGTGACGCTCTTGCCCTGATGTTTGTGTGTACACTTCCTAGAAGACACGATGTACTGTCAAAGGGCAAAATAACAGTTTTGCAACAGACATTGTCGTTTCTATGGTAATGTCGGTGGCTCCTGTTTCTTGTGTCACTGTGAGTTTGACTGTCTCTCTGACTTATGCTTAATTCATACTTGTGTCAAGATGAAGCAACAGGCTCTTGGTCATGTTTTAGGTGAAATACTGTAGTGACAAAACATTACTTAACTTCTCCAGAAAACGTTTTTTGTAGCCAGTCTTGACAAAAGTTACCCGCTCTTTCCCTAAATGTAGTGTAAGTAATATCTGGTCCTGAGCTGTCCTAATGTAACTAACCCAACATTCCCTTTGTTCCACGGTGCCCTGTGGGACCAAACTCTCACCACAAACACACTGTGTGCCCACTGTTTAATATCACACTGTTTGAGATAATATTACAGTCCAAGGTTTTGTTGTTAGAGTTGTTCTCACTTCAACGAATGTCTTATCTAAATAAAACCTGACAAGAGATGATAACTGTAGACGAGCTCTTACAGAATGCGGCAAAATACTTTCCTTGATAACAGAAATGACTGACTCTGAAAGGAGGGAATAACATTCACCAACTCACCAAAACACAGAGGCATCTCTTTTGTCTCAAGCCCAATAATTGGTCTTTGCATTATGTTAACAAATTTCCATCACATTTTGAGTATATTGTTTGTTCATATTTCTATGAGGTGACAAGTCTTCATGGTCATTTGAGTTACTTTAGTCTATCCTTCCATCCATCTCGGATGGATGGATGGATGGATGGATTAATTCATGTCAGTTGTTTCCACAACTGGTGCATAGTTACTAATTAGGTGAACTGTATACCAGTGGTGTCAAACTCATTCACTCCAGGGGCCAAAATCCAAACCAGTTAAACATCTATAGAACAGTCGTGCTGACAGTTCTTCAACCAGTAATATTGAATCTGAACAGACCACTACAAGTTTTTTCCTCAGTAAAATAAATAAAAAAAATAATCAAAAAAATGATAACATCAAGAAAAACAAGAATATTGTTACACATACAAAGTACTATATGTCAATGACGCAGAACAACAAAACAGGCTTTGGTGATGAGATGATGCTCCTTGTCCTGTTGTCTTCTGGTCCTTCTGAGACAACAGGTCCTGTCCATTCATCATGTTCTGTTTAGAACTGGAGTTCCATCCCATGCATGTGAACATAATTTGGCCATTGCTTTTAACCCATCCCATAAACATTTGTAAAGAAATCTTGTATTAAAGACTTTTAAGACAATCTAAAGCATAAAACGATAAGGTGGGCCTTGAGTTTGATTTGATATGATCTAAGATTTAGAACAGGACACCTGTGGCACGGGCCAGACTGGCTGGAATGAGCCAGTCAGTAGTGGTCACACATAAATGAAATTACAATTTAAGGTTTATTTCCATGTTATAGATGATTTCCTTTTGTGGAGGGAGTTAAAATAGTGTGAAACAGCAGTTCACTGTTTAAATTGTGGTCATTGTGGATTTTTGTTCATAGCAGACATTGGGCAAAATCAAATTCTGAAACCAATAGGAAAACCACAACATTTTTGAATTATTTTTATTTTTCTCATGTTTCCTTTTTTTCAAAAATCTTTTTCAAAGTACAAATAATAATATAGGTTTAAGACAAAGGCTTCAAACAATTAATGAATAAAAAGACATGATCTTATCTTTAGCTCAAGAGCCATTCAGCCAGTCATGAATGAAGTTTTAAATGCAAAAAAAGTTTGTGTCAGATACCATGAAAGGCCCCACCAACTTTTCATCACCAGAAAAATGTATAAACATAAAAAATAGAGATATTAATGTTGACCACAATGCAGTTTAACAAATGTGTCTTTGTAACTGACATCTTATACTGAAACAGATGCTGTTTTTTTACATCTTATCCCTTTCCATATCAACAGGGCAGCCACACCACACAACACTCCAAAGATAAGCACAGGAGCTCCAAGAGCTAGCGCCACGGTGGTGTTAGCTCCCACTGCTATTACCACACCTGCCAACACCAACACAGCAGCCACAGCTGAGGCCACACGTATATTCTTCTTTTTGACCTTTTTCTCCTTTTCTCTTTCTTTCTCCTTGTTCTCCCTTTCTGCATCCCACATTTTCTTCTCCTCTGCTTTCTTCTCTTCCTCCTCCTGTTTCTTGCGCTCCTCTTCCTCTCTGAGTTTTCTTTGGGCTTTTTCATACATTTCATTAGTGTAATGTTTCCCCCCATTTTCCTGTACCATTTCCTTTATCATGGTGAATAACTCGGTGACCTGCACGCGGTCCTCTGCGTCATTGTTGTTAAAGGCGTGGTATCTGCGTCCAAATGTAGTTGAGAGTCTTCTTAGCTCCTTGCACTCCTTCAGAGCATTGTCAGCTTTAGCCTGATCTTTACACGTAAACAGCATGATAGTGTACATGGAGGCATCATCTCCAAAGTTGTCCTGGATCCACTTCACAGCATTTCTTTCCTCCTCTGTGAACCTTACTCCAAGCCTGATGACCAGCAGGAAGGCGTGGGGTCCTGGTACGGACATCCTGACACATTCCTCTATTTTAGTTTTTAATTCTTCCTCTCCAATGCCTGTATCAAACAGACCTGGAGTGTCAATAACCTGGACCACGGTCCCATCCACTTTACCACTCTGTGTCTCACAGTGTTGGGTCACTGACACAGAACTTGGGTCCTCTTTAAAGGCAGCTCTTCCGTGGGTGGTGTTCCCGTATNNCGAGGATGGTGTTCCCTGATGCACTCTTCCCGGAACCAGTCTTACCAACCAGGACTATTCTCAGTCCTCCAGATAAATCCAGGGCTGTAGAATTATAAGCAAAAGCAAGACATATACAGATTAAAGTTGGGTCTTATGTAATATAACATAACATAATATGAATTGAAATGCAAAGGTCTAAGGCCATTTCCTTGCAGTGGCCTACTGCCAGAATGACATGTCAACAGCAAACAACAAAAACCCTGGGCAGTTTGAACAGCCCAGTCTTTGGCTCCTGCTGGTCACGATCACAGACCTGAGCATCTCCTTCAGTGGTTTATAAAACACAGGTAGGAGTGTTGCAGGTTATTCCTTCCTACTGTTGTCGTTCCACATTCCCTGTACATCATAGTTTGCAAATAAAGGGCAAAGAAACTAAATCTGAAATATTACTCTCTGTCACACAGTCATTCATCCCTTTTCTCATAAACAATAAGCTGCTTTAAACTGTCCCTCCAATAATTAGGTCAGTCTATGTTTGTACTTGTACAATGTTAGATTAGAATAGATTAGATTAGCGGTACATTCGATTAGATAAGATTAGACATTATAGCCATTACACATTAACAAATACAAGGCAACAGAATGCAGTTTAGCATCTAACCAGAAATCCAATAGGCAGTAATGCTAATGCTAATGAGTTTACACCATAAACATGGTAGGTGGGGTGTGCTGTGAGCATAATATATAGGAGAGGAGCTATTTACATTACATACTATACCTAGTGTAGTAGTGTATCTTCATGAGGATGTGCTATGACCAGAATAAATAAGTAAACAATAAGGTCAGTAAGGGGCAGAGGTCAAAAGGTTAACAGCTCTGGGAAAAGGCTGTCCCTGAGTCAACTTGTCTTTGTCTGAAGGGCATTCCTTTTGTGATTTTGAGACATTAAGGTAGCTCAAGCTACACAGGAAATTCAGTAACCCGTCAAAGGTTTCCATTCGGTGGTGAATACTGTTATGTATGAACTGATACATTATTAGTATTAGAAGATTTAACATCTGCCAGAAACGTCATCTTTTTTTAGACATAGTATTCCTGCTTTTGACATGTCCTTCCTGTTTCTTAATCTGTTGCCAATAATAGAAACATTTCCATTGTAGTAAATTCCTTAACCAAACACAGACCAATATTATTAATATTATTAATATAAATATTAATATTATTAAGACATGGAATCTGCATACCGTCAAAGTTAGTGAGACCACACCCATCCGACCGAGGTAGAGATTTTAGCTTCTTTTCCCGTAGAGGTATTTCTGTGACATCATACCATTGAGACAAAAAGAAAATAAAGATGTTACTACGTATAATACATCTGTACATTCCATAGTACGTTTTTATTTTTTCTTCTGTTCTTCCTAGTATCAGTACAAGAGGGAATGTCACACCAAAAAAAAAGGAAAAAAAAGAAAACCAAAAAACAAATCCAAATACAATTAATTTTTTTTGTACATATTTAGAAATAATGAGGCTAGTGTCCTACCTTCAGCCATAACTACGGATTATTCCCGTCAGTTCTGCGGTGGACAGCTGCTCTTTCAGTCTTAGTTGGTAACTTAGAAAAGCTTAGAATAGTGGTGGCCTTTCTGACAAAAGCTTCTGGAAGCCAGTGTGAGCAGATGGGGCTTCCTATTTCCTTCTATTGTCTTTAGTTTACTTCTAAAAAGAGCAACCCTGGAGGGACGGACCACTACTTTATGAACTTGGTGCAACGACTGATATGAATGGCTGTTTTATATATTTTAACAGTAAAACAATGTTCAAGCTATAAAAAAATCTAAACGACATGAACCACAAACAAGAAGACCACTAGACCTTGGACAAAATATATATTTCCTTTCTGATTTTCAGTGTGGATCATTGGACAGTTTAGACAGAAAGTGTTAAAAGTACAGTTTCATTTAAATGTAATGTGCCATATTTATAAAAATGCCAGGGGGGCACTTACTTTCTCTTTTTCCCCCAAAAAATAAAATATTAATCGACTGCTTAACAGCCTAGTCACACAATGTATCAGTTATGCTTCCGATTTAACATGCAGTGTCGGTAAAGAGTTTTAACGCAACGTTCGACTCTACCACCAATGACCAGTGGAGGGGGCACACGGGGTGGTTAAACGGACGACAGCGGACACAGGTGCCCCCGTGACACAATGGAAGCCCGACCACTGTATCGTTCACCTCTATAAAAGAGTTCCGATGAACTGAAATAAGCCTATGCACATGCACACCAGCCCTTTAGAGATACAAAAAGAAACCCACCGTCGTTTACTGGTGCGTTGCCATGGTTACGCGTTGAGAAACATCATTCTGAAGCCCGAAAGACAGACAGTTGTTCTCCGTCATCGACCAAAAATTGGAGAAAGAGATGGAGCATAATAAGGACACCAAGAACCTGTAAGTAAAAAAAAACGTTTTGAAAATGCACGATTTAAAGCAACTACCACAATAATTTATTCAATAGTGTTATATTTTATTTGTTGTTTTTTATGTTTGATGTTTTATGTTTCTCTCTCACTTAATATTACAGAAAGCCTCGAAACACACACTCATTTCTGTCGTTTCCTACATTAAGAATCTGTGGTCAACTTGCTTCCTGGACTGGAAATCCTGTACCTGAGCAGGTAAAACATTTACGTTTCCTACCCAGTTGGTCTTTGAGGATATATTTTAATGCTGACTTTTTAAAAATGACCATTATTATTACAAGCGTTTGAACAAAACATATTCTGTTCTGTTTCCACACATCAGGGAGAAGTGGGAGTCCGAGCCATTCTAGTCTTTGACACGTTGACTGGAGAAATAGCCACATCCCAAATAGAAATGCAAAATGAAGGCAATACATCCATCTTCTACAGCTGGCAGCAGTGCACTGTGCACCAGAGCTTTAGTACTCTTAAAAAACCACAATCAAACAAGCCACTCTTCTACTTCAACTCCTCCTCTGGTAAACACGGACCTCCACCTGACACCTGTTGTCATCTAATCTCATATACAACATGCCTTGCTGTGTTACATGTTTCCTAACATTCCTCCAGGTGTAATTCTTCCTGGAGAAAAGAAACTTGTGGAATTTTCATTCAAATCAGAGAAGCCAGGGATCCAATCTGAAGTGTGGCAGCTAAAGACTCAGCCTGTGCTGCTTCAGGGAGCCTCCATCCAGGTTATGCTTAAAGGCATAGCTCTGTCCCCTGATACAAATGCAGATCGAAGGCATTTATTACAGGTAGACTACCAGATATTCTGTAACCCAGTCTAACACTGAAAAGCACATTAATAGAGTAGGAAAAGGAGATATATCTACAGCTATTCACTGTTTCTTTTTTTATGATCTTCATTTCTTTTGTGTCTCTAAACAGACCAAACTAGAAAAGAGGGTTTATATGAAAATGTGTGAGTCAATTGTGTGCGAGATGGTGCGTAACGTCCACACTCCTGAAAGACCTGGGTCTCCTGCAGAGTTTTTCATCACTGAAGAGCAAAGATTTACCAACAGAAACAGCAAGGTAAATCCTGCCATTCCAAATCCCATGATTTGTGATATTGACGCTTCTGTGTAAATGTTTTGCAGAAAGAAATACTCTAATTTTGTGTAAACATTCATGTTTCCATTATTTATCAAATTATTTATTTTATAGTTTTAATAGCTCACTATTTGTTCTTATTTATTTTGTTGCAGATTAATTTTTAAAATTGTTTCTGTAATTGTAATTTTTATGGGAAAACTCCTCCATTCCCAATTATATATATATATATTTTTTTACATCTTAAGTTCTTTAGATCATCATGGAAAATAGCTGATAACACCTTAAATTAATCACTGTTGTACAATGTGATAATTATTTTACAGTACAACAGAAGTCTGTCTAAAGCTGTATATTGGTTTGTGGTATTCTTCTAAATGGATTCAAGCGTAGCTCAAATTTACTTTTGACTTCATCCCGTTTTGGGGCTAACTTCAAACTGCTCTATGTCTCTGTTTTATTGATACTGTGGCATACAGTCCTTCACAACTTTAATTGTTTACTTGTATCCCTTCGTGTAGCTTAATTACCTTCTCCAGCCAGTGGAGGAACTGAAAGCACTGTGGCAAAAAGTGAACCCAGAGCAAATGTGGGATTTTTCTGTGGACACGCTTCACCAGGTACAAACACATGGAATGACTTGTGTTATTAGTCATTGGTTGTGAATGTTCTGTACAAAGCAGTTATATGCTGTATAAATGTGTCTGATGTCAAACTAAGTGTGATTTAAGATTTCTTACTGTTTTCATACGTAAAGGTTTTACTTTCCCTATCTGAAGAGTCTTCACAAGAGACCAGAGGTCTGGTGCTGGAGGAGAGCTTGGCCCGTTTTAACTTTCTTCTTTTGAAGCTTTCTGAACCCAACTCACTGAAACACCAGTATACTACAGCAGCAGATTTAGGGTGAGGCATAATCACAAGGCATCTCCTTTACATCTTCCTATATTCACGATGTCTACAGTGAATTTCTGTTAGTGTCTGTTAGGCGGCAACTCTGGATTGGTCTGCTGGACAGGATGACAGATGAGGCTATTCGGCTCAAACACCTTCTGAACGTAACAGAAAGAGAAACATGGATCGATTCTTTACACACTTGTGAAACCGGTGAGACGCACACACATTTGTTTCTACTGAAATGGACACCCGTATGTTATATTTATATTCCTGATTATGCATCTTAGATTTGCCTGAAGAAATGAACAGAGGTGAAAAAGTGAGTTACAATCGTGAAGGAGTAGATGAGAAAATATCAAGGAGTGAGTCAAAATCCAGTGATAAGGATGAAAACAAAGGAGACTCCAAATCATCAACAAGTGAAAGATTGATACAGGTAAAAGAAAGATTTTAGTTGTTCTTGTTGAGAAACCCTGTTTATCTAAGATAGTATAAAAAAACACAAGATAACATGAAAAAAATCATACACTTACAGTGTTTCCTAACATTTTTTAAACCACAACACATACTTTACATTAGAATAATCCCATGGCTCACTACCAAAAACCATTTCACAAAAAGAATATATTTGATGTTTACTGGTCAACTTGTTTTCTCTTTCTCCTTTCTTTAAAAGATATCCACCAAGAAAGGCAAAAGAAGAAGTGAAGCTGTAAAGCACACCAAGGAAAAGCAGACAACAATGACTGATGATTCAAAAGTAATAAATCAGCAAATTCATGATGACAAAATTTTGGAAATTAGGATTTACAGGAAACTCCTGTATCAAAGGGTGAGTCATTTATTTTTTACTTTTAAATTTTTTTATTGTTCATAGATAGTTCTTTTTAACTGATTTGCCTGAACCACTTACACCGCAAAACGTTTGAAAACATTTTAGCCACACGTCAGCTGCTTCGTTTTCATCAGATTTTTTTTAAAGTAATAATAATATATAAAGTTCAAGTGAGCAAGAGGGAGTGAAACAGAGTAACAGAAGGGGAGATTACTCCTATGCAGTTCTTCTTTATATGGGTACTAACAACTGATGATGCCAACTGGACACAGCTGATTATAATACAAACATAAAGTGGATTAAATTGAAAACCCACAATAACATGTCAAGACTCTTCACTTTCCAGTGTGGGTCTGTTTTCACTTTATAAAAATGGTCTCCAAATGTGTCAAGAGCCATATGTAGTTGGAAAGAAAATACTAATATTTATAAATTCTTTATTTTTTGACTGTGTTAATAACCATTTGTCAATATTGTTTGTGTCTCTTGCAGGTGTATGCTTTAATGGAGGACCTTGTGGACACCATGTGTGATCTGTTGACTGACCAAGATAAGGACATCGTCGGAGAACCCAATAGGAACTGGAGCCTTACAGCATGTAATCAGCCAAGTGTAATGTTTTGAAATATTGGTGGTGAAACTTTTTTCAGGAAATTATTATATTTTATTTTTATGTTCAAATTGTAAAGTCCTTTGAAGTGTTTTGTAAATGAAAGTGACACAGATAAAATGGACATGACTTGACCAAAACAAACGAACATACAAAAAAACAAACAAACAAACAAAAAAAAAAACCCAGAGGAGATTCTCAACACACCATCTATAATACTGTGTGCAAACTACTTCTTTAGCAGTAATCAGGAAGCCGTGTACTATCTGCAGTCATGTTTCTTTTACGGTATTAATTTGTTTACGTTGCGTGTGATGATTACATACCGATCTGTGGATCCCTCAGGTCGAACAACTTCATGAACCACTGACAGCCCCTCTGGTTGTCTGTGGAAAACATGATGATGTTGCTGCTGAAATCCAAGCTGTGTGTTCTGACGGCAGAAGGAACACGGAGCAAAAATTAAACTCCAACATATAAAACACTTTACAGGAAATTATAAAAAATAAATTTATGTACATATATTGTATATTTATTTTATATACTTGTTCACACGAGACACATATGCTAGCGTAAATTGCACTAACGGTCTCGACCGAACGATTACAATTTCAAACAAAATACAACCGACAATTGTTTTCGAAAACCCGCCATTTTAATCAATCAGACGTAGCCACAGTGCCCAGGTTTTTGACTAGAACGCCCACTGGAAGCCCAAATCTCTAACACACTCTCATGCGCCGGACCGGCAACCGGAAATAAGGACCGTACAACGTTTTCCTATTTCCGTTATACAAACGTTCTAATGTCAGCGCGCCCCCTACAGTTGACTGCCGACATTCACTTTTTTGAGTTGGTTTAGTCTCTTAAAACTTTTTATTTGACAGAAAGAGCGAAAGTGAATAATTTACGCTAAAAACTCCAAAAAACAACATATTTGATAATGTCAAAATATCACCTAAAACAAGCAAGACTACATTCTTACTATCGTGAAAAAAATCCAAAAACTAAAAACTACCAGAATTGCCTTTAAATTCAAAAAAACGTTTTCCTAAAAATAGTTATATAATGCTCTAATTTGATTAAATTCATGCAGAAAAAATATAAAATTTTGATTATATACTGTATATATTTATATATATAAATAAATGCTTTACAAGTTAGATGTACTGGTAGCATTTTATTGTAGGACACAACTGCAAGCTGAAATGTATTCAAATTCCATTTCCACCTACTGTGTTATTGGGTGGATGTACCTCATAATACATTTAGGGTAAAATAGTGGATGTAAATATAAATGCCAGTTGCTGAAAAAACCTTTGGGAAACAAAAGAACATTCATTGATCTCAAGCACAGAGCAGTGATTGTAATGGTTGTAATTTGGCACAACTGAGCAGTCAAACACTTCATTTGACTTTGTCAAGCAGGGAAACAGAAACTGCAATGGGAGAAAAATAAAACAGACAACAAATCTTTACAAAAATCTAAACACGTTTGTAAAACAAAATTCAATAATGGTGACACAAGACACAAAAGACATTGCAACAATATGCATATTGTAATATTGTACATCAAGAAGGTAGGAGGTAACGAAATTGATTTGACTATAGAGACACTGACAAAATGTCAGACTTTAGAATGGGCAACACCAGCAGCTCCTTTGGCTTCTAAAGGTTCACTAGTTCACGTAGTGCTTGGGCTTCTTTTGACACACAGTGCCCTTCCTGACACAATCCCACCTTGTGGTCACTTGTGGTGGTCAGTGGAATTAAACACATTGTAGGCATATAACACAAAGAACAAATACACACAAAAAAGAACAAAGACATTTTCACTTCTTTTTGTATGTTCTGAAGTATTACATTTCTAAGACGTACATTCAAAGCACATTGTACCTTCTTTTTTCCCTGCTCTCACTGCGCTGCCCACGAATCATCTCGGTGTGTATCTATTACATAATTTTTAACAGCTCATAATTACAGTGGCTGGATTTGTTTTCTGTTTTTAAAACAGGTGATGCTTTTTGACTATGATTCTCCAGAAGTTGAGAAAACTCAACTCCGTTAGTTGTCACCAACAGTTGACTCAGAAAGTGTTGGGTAGAATTGGAGAGAGGTGTTCCCTGAGTTTTGGCAACCATGAGGAATAAATGGACATTAATGATAACATGACAATGAAACAAAAGCAAACAGTGCAGCTGCAAATGTTAAATTCAATACCATAATAAAAAAATGTGAAATGAAAACTTAGTACATCAGCTCCAGCAGAATATAAAGTGCTAATAAAAAGCTTAATGAATTCATCTTGCTGCATGTGTCAACTCAGGATACATTAATTATATTTAATCAACAACAACTTTAGTAGCATTCAGAGTTGTGATACAGCATTAATTAAACTCTTCAAACCTTTTGGATACTAAACATATTACTAAACACCAGACCTTACTTTATTTTAAGACAATAACACCAACATTTAAAAAGTGCTTCTGTAAGAAATACTGAATGAAATGCAACAAAAAGTAAAATTACTCAGACTGGCAGAAACTGTACGGCTGAACTGTACCTGTGCATATACAGTATACATATCTGTGTAGCTGCATGCAAATATAAGTCAAAAACTAGGAACCAAAACTGGTCACATGTCACCAACCAATGAAATTAAAACATAAAAATATAAAATGTAAGTGAGAAACAAAAACCCTTTTCAGAGACATTTCCACACTAATCTGCTCTTGTCACTGACCCTACATGGCCACCAGGGTCATGTCGGCTCAGGTAGCCTTGGTTTTTGGTACATTGCGGAAAGCTGGACATTGATCTGGTGACCTGCACCTGGTATTTTGGCGAACTGAGTTTGCTCATTAGTAGTCTTTTTAGCTTCAATTTCAATAATTACTTTTTGTCTGAGACTTTTCAGCCCCTCCTCATCCTTAATCCACTCTTGCCTCTCATTCCTTCCCTCTCCCCTTCAGTTGTTCCTTCAATTCTCAGAATTTCGGGTGTCCCGGGCCGTGTCTGTCTATGTTGGGGTGCACCTTATTTTTGAGGGGGGGTGGCTTGCGTTTTCGTTTGCATGTTGGAATTATGGTAGTGTGGGCAGGGTGGTTAAACAGACTGGAGGCAGAAAAGGTTTCTCTTTTTTTAGGAGGATCGCAGTCCTGGGATGCTGTAGGACATGGGGTGGACACAGAGGGTGTAGGGACACAGGGATATGCAGCAGACATTTGGGACAATTGGGTAGAAGTAGAGATGGGAGTAGGAGGGTTTTCTGATGACACAGGGATGGATTCAGGGACAGATTTATCCATGACTGATGTGAGTGGCCTTTCACACACTGAGTGTCTGCCTGATAACTGAGGCGAAAGGGTGAGAGTTGAGGCCAAGGTTGCCCTGGATTTCAATGAAGGAACAGGTGTAGATACAGGCATTTTTCTGAAGTTGGTAGAAGTGTTTCCACAGTCTTTTGGATGGTTACGTTTATCATTACGTTTACCCTCTTTGTTACTTCTGTGCTTTTCTTTGCCATTCTTGATCTCCTTCCGTCCAGCGGAGTCTTTGTTTTTACCATTCTTTTCACCTTTTCTCCCATAACCCACCTCAGTCCTTTCTTGATCTCCACCTGCTCTCTCTCTCTCCCACTGTCTCATTTTTCTATGTACCCGCTCCAGTTTACACTCGAGGTGGTACAGATCTGCTGTCGCCCCTGAGACACGATCAAGCTGCTGCAGCAACGCCTCCAGAGTAGGAAGGAGTCTCTTTAGAGATGCTTCAGTCTCCACCTTCTCTCTCCAGGTAGTACCACCTACCACCGACCCAGGGCTCAGACCCAAACCTAGGCCTAATCCAAGGCCAGAGCCCACCCCTGGAGCTTCAGTTAGACTACAAGGGCTGGAGGATGCTGGACGCCATGAGGCCTCAGAGCCTGCATCGACACTGTCTGGCGTAGAAGGAGAGTCCGGACCGTCAAGTGGTGGCAAGCAGAGGGACTTGCAGTCGCTGGTCGACGATGAACGGGACGGTGGCATCTCTATACCCTCAAAGCGCACCTTGTGACGAAACTAGGGACAGAAAAACAAGAAAAAAGCAAATTTGTTTTTAAATAAAACTATTTTGACATGGTTATTCCAGGCGAAAGTGACATGTACCTCCTTAGCAGAGCTGAGACCCATCCACATTTTGAGTCGTCTCAGAAACAGCTCCACCATCTCATAGTCCTGAAGATCCACAGCCACACAGTACAGCTCTGCTCGTGCACGGCGGTAGTTCCTCAGCAGCACAGAAATGATCAGGCATAACAGCATCAGGTGTAATACAGAAAAGCTTGTGTGGAACACCAGTGAGGAGAATGTGCCAGAGGGAATGGTCATTGGTGAACGTGTATCCGGTGAAAACCAGCCTGGACCACTGGCCCTCAGCAAAGACAGACAAGAGGAGCTCACACTGTTGTAACCATCCAGTACAGTGTGGAAGAGCTGTAGTGGACGAGAGAGACAGACATAAACCACATCATTAACAGTGTGAGTCCAGGACTGCAGGACCTGATCCAGACCTGACACTGATGTCATTATTCATATTGTTATATTTATAACTAATTTAGTCTAACTCAGCAGAACTACTTATTACTACTGATAATCCTTAGATGATTGTTTTACTACACAGAGGGTCCTTGGTTTGCGATGTCCTCGACCTACAGCGATACGTCGTCACACGCTGCAATATATGGAAGTGAGCTATGTTCACATTCACCAGTTGGATGCCATACACCAGGGGTAACAGAACTACAATGTAAGTCAAGGACCCCATGTATTGGTACACATAAAGACATTGTATTGTGTTACTATTCTGATACAATGAAAACAGACAAGAAAAGAAATACTGACCAAATGTCCTGTGTGTGAGTAAGCAAGTATCACTAATAGCAACGCCACAGTGACTCCCAGCAGCTCCCATAATGAGTGCCGCAGCGCTCTGCCAAACACTGCCCACTCTCTAAGAAATCGCAGCTGATGGGAAGCCTACAAGAATCAGAGAGACAGAGAGAAAACTTAGCATTGACTTTTTTTCTGACTGACACTCGGAGTGCAATGTAGCAAATATTTTTAACAATAATCATAATAATAATCACTTTAAATAATAATAATTTACATTGTTTTGTGTTTCGGAAAATTAATCGAAATACAATTATTTACACAACTGTTGTTTAAAGTTCTAATATCAAATTCAGCTGTTGAACTTTTGAGTTACCACATGTGAACAAGAGTTGTAATCAGCGAAGTCTGCAAAAGAGCAGCCAGTTTGACCATGTTTATTTATTATTTAGGTTAAAAAAAAACCTCTTAATATTTATATTTTTTCTGAATTTAAGCCATTAAAAAGTACAACACTATGTATTTTAGGCAACTACAAAGAGTTAAAAGTTGTGGTCTTTTGAGGTGCAATAACTATTACAAACTCCTTTACCTATCTATGCAGTTATGGCTGATGAAACCAGGTCAAAAAAAGTTTCAAACTCATTCAAAGTAACGCAATAGTCACTTTCCCTGGCAACTCGTTACTTCTATAGTGTAACTCAGTTACAAACTCTTGACGTTACTTTGTTTGGAAAAGTAACTAGTAACTAACTAAGTAATGTGCCCAACACTGCTGTACTCTAACAAACCACACTTAAAAAGACAAACAGTTTATCACAGCTGAGCAGCCTTTGAAAAAAACATCTCCAACAGTTATTGCTCTTATATATTTAAAGTAAGGTCTGATTTTGTTGTGATATTTTTTGTGATAACCTGTAAAATAAAATCCTTGTGGAAAAGGTGGAGCGTTACAACTGCCCTGTTATTCAAAAGATCATTGTAGTCATTTTCCTCTTACCTTGAGCACCAGTATGAACAACAGCAATGCAGACATGACTGAGTACAATTGACTCATTCTGGCCAGAGGGTAGAAGTCCGTGAAGTCGTTCCTTGGATGCTTCAAGTATGAAACCCACATCTGCCGGGCTGTGGTGCAGCAACTCAGGTGCAGCCCACACAAAGTGGCTGCTAGAGCCAGTTTACAGATGCCTACGAGTCTCCAGGGTGACAGAAAATACCGGTAGCCCTCTTTGGAAAAAGCCAAGATACCATTCACCAGGAAATACAGCACCAGAATGAACACGATGATCTGAAAGGCAGACATCAAAGGTCACATCAGCATTGGTGGAGGTGACAACAATTGTAATGGGGGCTTAAAGGGAAAGTGTTGTTTGCAGTTTTGTTCTTTTTTTTTTGGTATTTTGCATTTGTCAGCATTGAATATGAACATGTAGCTTTCCTTCTGGGCTGTAAGCTGTAGGCAGTGCAGAAATCTTTGATCCAAACAATAGAGTTAAGACAAGAAAATAAAGATAAAGCATAGACATTTTGCTGATGTTCAAAGAACCCAATATTTTTGGCAATTTCAGTAAATTGACTGTGGGAATAATTATTAACTGTTTAATCATTTGCCAGTATAAAGTAATCCTGGCTACGCCACTAAAACTTTAACAAAGACACATTCTAAGTGTAGTGCTCATGAACCACAACTATATACAACAATATTATCATATATAATATTAAAATACAGTATTAAGATAGATGTCAAAATGTCAAAAGTCCAGACAAAGGAGTTAGTCTGAGTTACCATTAGGAGGAGCTGTAGGTCCAGTCCTGTGATTAGCCGCAAAGTGAAAACGTGAAGATCAAGACTGGACTGGACATGCTCTGAAACTGGGAACTCAAACAGGAAGGAGAAGACAGCCAGATGGTTTGTGTTGATGTTGTAGAGGGAGAACTTCACGGACACAGTATGAATTCTGTAAAAATAAAAAATCATTAAAGACACTTGATTAATGGACTATAATAATACCAGAAGTCATAATCTTAATTCTCTCATATTAGTCCGACGTATAAGTATCTCAGAAAGTTTGATGTCATCAGATAGAAAAAAAAAGAAATAACTTTATTATGTGTGAAAACACTGTTTGAGATCCTTTTTTATTTACAATTATTCTATAATATCTGACACTATAACAATATTCACCTGATCATGAGTCACTATTCTATATGTAGTTCTTAATTATGGGACTGTCCCCACTGAGAATAGGGGTTAAGGTAACTGTGGATTCAAACCAAAGCAGACACCCCTCCCCCCTTACCATCACTGTCACTGTATTTACATAAATGCAACTACACACCACACACAGATTCAATACGATCTAGTCTTTGTTGACACACTTAGTTGCTATTCTCAGGGCAGTCGAAAAATGGTTCACATTAATGGGTTTACACAGAGATTTCCATTATGATGTTTGTATAAATGTTTTTCTGCTTTGTTTTAATACCTGAAGTTGAGCCACAGCGGGTGCTTCAACTGTTGGAAGGAATAAGAGGCCTGTTCCAGGCTCCCATTGAACTGATGAACCGTCTCAACATTGTAATTTATGATTCCATGATTTACTAGCTGTGCCCTAACAGAGAGTTGGTGAATACAGAGCAGAGAATGTGACACATGAAAGAATCACAGGTAATGTCCAACACGTGTAAGAGGCAGCTAACTTAAAACAAACGTATGTCTTACCAGTTGTCATCATTGGCAATAAAAGCAGAGAAATGATCAGTTTCTCCGTGTGAAGACATCATGTGATCACTCCCCAAAAAACCCTGTCTTGCTCTGTTATCTATTCACGAGAACAACACATAAAAGAGGGTGAGTTTGACTCTCAGAGAAACTGATAAATTACTAAAATGAATAGATATATTCGAGACTATCAATCACTTAAACTTTCTAACCAGATTAATTACAGGCTGGCTGTGAATTAATGACAATTAAACATGATTAACTGTTTCATGATAACATTACTAATGCAAAAATGGGAGCTATATATATATATATATATATATATACTAAGACAGTAAATATGACACTTGGTCAATATCAATTATTAAAATGGGAATAGAATGAATACAAAAATGTAGTGAGTCTTTGCCATGTATGGAGTCAATAAATAGGAGGATGTTACTGTCATATCAACACCCTGGAACACAATTAAGTCTCACCTAGACTGTTGATTTGTTGCATCCTCACAGTGCCAAGCAACACAGTTCCAGTGTTCCTTAGAAGGGCAGAATCATCTACTAACCAGGGCAACAGCGACTCATTAAGCCACGTCAGAACATTACCTCTGCTAAAGGAGTCAAACACACACATTAGGGCACATCAGGTAAGCCAGAGAATAGCAAACAGTGGGTTAGTCAAGTCAAATGCATTTCATTTGTATGGTAATACATAAATAAACAAAAAACATTTTCTTGGATTGACTTTACAGTTTTGACACAAAAATGAAATCAAATCCCACCTAAAAACCTTTAGCAGAGAAAAAAATTTAAGGAAAATAAAAATATAGTCAATCATATAAACAAGACACTGTAGAATAGAAGAAAAAAAAAATCCCTTTTCCAGATAGAAATCTCCAGAAGATCCAGACTCCGAACCAGATCCGGACTTAGAGTGTGCAGTTCATTTAATTTAGAGACTTTTACAAATAAAAATAAAGCTCTTTGTCTCAAAAATGTCTATTGTGCAGGAGACAATACCACACTTGGTTGATTAGAAGAATCCACATATCATGAGTTGGTACCTGCTAATGTTGTGATATCCAGATCTTTGAAGTGTTTGTAGCAACTGAGTGCGCAGTCGGAGGCTGTGTGCATCTTTGGCTGAGTCGGAGTAGTTGAGGAGTAAAACCACCAGCAGGAAAAGCATATAAAGCAGGAAATTCTAAAAATAAAAAACAAAATATTCTCTTATAAATTTATCGTCACATTAAAAAAAAAGCATATAATGTTAGGAGTAAACTCCTTGTCTCCAAGATTAAACCTATAACATATGGTCTAGAATCTTCAGACGCACCTTCAGCATACTGTGCAGCATGTTAACCTTGCGGGTCTGATGCTGTGCCTGCGACAGCGCAAAGCCCTGTGGTGGCCGCACTCTAGGGACCCTCTGGACCACTTTTTCCACATGGGGGAATTCTACAAGCACATCTTGGTCTTCTGGACGCAGGCGACGGACAAACACTGCATAGTAAACTGCCTCACATAACACCTGTGAAAACAATGGGGTTAAAAATCCTTGCTAAAGCTATTTTCAAAACAAAATACAAAATATATTTTCTGTCGTAAGTATAAATGTCCAGTAGGGTCCAGAAGGCTAATGCTTTACTTTACATCAGAAAAGTAAAACCAGAAAAACAATAAAAATGTATATAAAAAGGAAAGAGAACAGATGCATTAATAATCTAAACATGGCATTAGATTAATTATAGATGATTTTAATTAAACACCACAGGAATCTGACAAGAAAACCTTAAGTGATCAAAAAACTAAAGCAGAAGTGTGTATGTGTGTGTGTGTGTGTGAGCACAGCTACCTTGATTGGCTCCAAAAGGAAACATGAGCACAAGAAACTGGCAAAGCAGGAGATGAGCCACATCATGGCAACACCTGGGCTGAAGCTGTGACCTGCCCAAACTGAAACAGCATTCCCAAGAGCAATAGCTGCCCAGCTGCCCCACAGAGTGGCCTGTCCACACCATGGGGGAAAGCGCCTGGGACGACACACATCTGTAACAACTAGACACGGAAGAAAGTTAGTCTTTTTTAAATAGAAAATGTAGTAGAATCACATTGACTATTGCCTATCATATTTGGCACCTTGGACTAGCCCAAACCTGAGCTGTATCTTGGATATGAAAGTTCTGTGATAATAATGCGGTGGACAATGGAGATAAGTAGTAAGAAATGCACTGGCAGGGTAACATGTCTATAGCTAACGGGTCAACGTGGCCCTGCATTTTACAAGCTCCTGACTCACTCTTGGCTTGTTACGGCTTGTGATCTGTTTGCACTGTAACCTACATATACATGAACAATGTACCTGTTTGGTGGTGCTAATATACTACTGCATGGTTATATGAGGTATAGCTATGTAAAAAACAAGGTTTCTCTATTGGACATACCTGTGTTTGAGGTGAAAGCTTTTTTTGGTGGATCCCTTCGAACAGATTCAAAAGGAAGTGGCTCGTTGAACCTCTGAAGGAGGATCACTTCAGTCTTATCTCCAAAAATGCTCGATCTGAATCATGGGGGGAAAAACATACAGACACACAGATGATGAAGAAGTGTACAAATGTACTGTGCCAATTCCTTGCTCTTCCATTTGTAAAGATCATGCTTACAGGTCAGCCAACTCGCTTTCACTTGTCTGAGGAAAGAAATTCTGCCCATCTGCCAGGATGTGTTTGATCAAATCCTCATCTGTGAGTGAAATGACATTTGGACTTCATTACTGGACAAGACTTTTAATTATATTGTTAGAATACTAAAGCTAACAATGATGCAGCCTTACCAAATAATTACAAACACAAAATATTCAGTAGCAACATTTGCAGATCCATTGGAGTGCAGTAGATTTGGCACCTGTCTTTAGCCTAAATTACCTTCTCATAACTTTTAATTGCATGCATGAGGCTAAGCCATTAAGAACACTTTAGTTAATGTACTGTATATCATAACAACATCAGCAGACTTTGTGTTTTTTTAAAGTCAAATTAGAAGTATTTATCTGAAACAGAAGGAGTGTAAATTTTGCACATTTGGTTACCTGAAGAGGTGAAATATTTGCCTGGTTGACGGGTGCCATCCTCATCGTCAGGATTTAAAGTCATGTTAACTCCCAAGTGTCTGCTCCCTTGACCTCTCTTTAACTTGGGCAGCCCTGGTCCATGTCCCACCAGGTCCACCACAGACATGTCACTTAGAGGCTCCATCCAATCCCTGTCTTCCGTGTCTTCCTCCACCATGGCCCAACTATCCACACTAAAAGAAGTTCATTATTATTATGTAGTTTTTGTATACTTTCTAACCTAAAACTAAAAAACCTTGCCGTAGTAATGGTTTAAGTCACCTTTTAGTTGATGGAGTGGGCAGATCAATATTTGAGTCTTCTGAGTTGGTCTAAGATGTAAAAAGAGAGGGAAAATAAGAGAAACTGACTGACGATGAGATTGAATTTAATAAATAAATGTTTTTTGCTAGACCATACCTCGCCATTAAAAAAGAGAAAAGAACTTCCTGTCACTGAGTTGTCGAAGAAGTCATCAATCTCCACAGACTCCTGGTCTAGTTGTTGTGGTGAGTGCTCCACTGAAACACACTGAAATCCACACAAACAAGAAAAAAAAACCTGTTATTTGAGGATACACCAACACTAGGTCATAAGTCTTTTCTCTGCCTGTTTTTTTTTACAATACCTTGCTGCGGCTCATTCTGAAGAGCGTAAAGACCAGTAGATACAGAGGATAGGCAATGAGACAAGTAACCACTCCAGCAGCTAACGTCTCTCCATTTAATGAAGACAGCCGTGAGACGGCCCATCGGCTACAATAAATCCAGAAACACATCACAATGTGTCAAAGAAAAAGAGACCACCAGAGGAAAAAAAATTAAAAAAGCCCAACACACACCTGTATCTGCTGTCCACAACAATACTGTACCACAACGTGTTACACAAGAGGAAGAGCTGGAGTAACACAGCACAGCAGGTAGCTCTGTGCAGGCGGGTGAAAGGGCTGCGAGGAGGCCTCTCCCACAGTGACAGCCACAGGTGGCTCTCACACAGCGCCCTCTGCAATTCGTACTTCATGAGGTGAGGTAGCCGAAGAAGAGCTTCCTCCTCTGGAGAAATCAAAAAAAAATAAAGTGCCTTTAGTGTTCAATTAACTGAGCCAACTTAGTTGTCTTTGTTTCAGTTTGTTACCTGATGCCTCAACCTCAATCTCTACTTGCCCCTCTGTTTTTTCATTGTCAACTGACAGCCACTCCTCGACGAGAAAGTAGTAGCTGCTCCCTGTCTGTAGGTCTTTCACTAACACATATTGCAGCATCCATGCTGGGGATAAACCTTAAAAAAGCAAACCAACCAAAAAAAATAAATTATTTAAAATTGGTTTTTAACTCACTTTGTTGTGATTATACAGTACTGTATGTGAGAATAAATACCTTTATTGTCATGCCACACTCGTATTTTCCAAACATTGCCCAGACTGGTGTCTGTTGCAATGTGAAAAATATCAAGAGCATTGCGTGCGAAGGCTCCCCTGCGATCAAGATGGCGATGCCCACTGCGGCTTTCACGCCCATACAAACTGATACCTACATGGGCTGTGGTGCCTGTGAAAAACAAATGTAGACATGTGACATGTGCCACATTTCTTTAGTATGGACGTAAGAAAAAGAAGTCAAAGTTTGAAGAAAAACGATGCTACTTCGCTACTTATACTCAATTTAAGTAAAAATAATTCTTCCCGTGGTGTTTCCACCTGAAAATTCAACTCACAATCTGCTTCTTGTCCTCATCTAATGAGTGAAATTAAGTTTCTTTCAAATTTGGGTCAGTAAATTTGTATTACTAATTGTATTACTAATTACATCCACAGTGGTCTGTCAGTAATCACTGATTACCTGCCCCTCGATTCAAGCCAGTCTTGACCTGAATTTCGTATTTGAAAAGACCATCCTGGCCACAGAATGGGACGACACCAGCCTGACGCAAATCCAGCTGGTCCAACTTGTGCAAAATGGCTCCTGCCACAACGTAGCTTAGCAGGCCCAACACACAAACTAATAACACGACGAGGCTAGGTGCGTCAGATCGCTCCTGAGGAAGAGAATACATGGTTGAGGTATGTGTTTTGGTGTATTGTGCACAAAGATTTTTGTCTGATGAGATACTCACAGGTACTTTAAAGGTTATTGCGTTGGTTGGTACAAATAGTCCTGCAGCAAAGGCTGTGAGGTGCCTTGTGCGACAAACAGCTCTGCTGGCATTTGTTTCTGCCAAAGGTACCATTCCATCTGTGCGCCACTGCTTTTCACTTTCACTGAAGTACTGACACAGGTAGGCAAAGACCCCAACCTCCAAATGTACGCTCGCAGGCTGAAAGTCGGGGTTACATGGTGTACTTATGTTGACAAAGTAGTCCAGAGTAGTGTCATAGGATCTGTACAATACAGAGAGAAGTCAATCAATTGGTATCCAATATCATTATTTATAAAATTATTTAACATTTTGTCGCAAACATATGTTTAACATGTGTTCCATAACATAATTATCATTCTGTGTGGACATGTTACATATTAAATATTCATGATCAATTTCAAAGATTTTTAACTGTCAACTTTACAATTTACTATATGTACAAGACATACAAAAATCAGTGAAATGGTAGTGAAAACATATTAACAGATCACACTAAGACCACGATGTATTCACAATATTAGAGCCCTTACTCTGGAGAGAGGAAGAAGGTGTATTTCTTGTGGTCCAGATCATTTCCTCTGGTCATACTTAGTGTGATGTGTTTGCTGTCTGTACAATTGAACTTGTTTGGATGTTCGTGGGAATGAAGATATGCCGTGATGTACGGCTCTGTAACATCTGCTCTGTTGTCCTCATCTATGGCACATTGAGAAAGAACAGGAAAACACAATCAAATGTGACCAATGGAAAACTATTATTTGAATGATTCTATGTTCTATCTAAATGTACCCTGAAACTTTTCAGGCTGCAGTTAAAAACCATATTATTATTATTATTTTAATTTAAACTTTAAAATGCAGTATTTTGATATTTTATTTTTTCCTAAATTATTAGTTAATGCAATTAAAGACTGACCAAATGTTGCCCTAATAAGACAATTGTATTATTGATTCTTGTTCATTAGCCTGGATACATGATGACACATTGTGAGTGACAAAAGAACATTTGAATCTGTGCTGAACAATATCTATATTATATCTGATAAGAGGTTATCTAGTTCTTATGCTGTTTGTGCTGAGTGATGAGTAATCCCAGTCATCTCGAGGATATTAGCACAAACCTTCAAGATGAGTGAAGTTGAGCTGTATGAAAAGCCCTGCTTGTCTGTTTGTGTTTCCTGCGCTGACTCTCATGATGACTGAGTCACAGTGGCTGATGTTAATGGCTCCAGCTGTTGGCAGCCCTCCAGTACCAGTACTCTCCAGACCGGCATCTCCACTGCTACCATTGTTAATGACAACAGTGATGGCTAGACTGTCATCCAGACCAGTGATTGGGATATGTGTGCCATTTTCCGTGCGAAACTCCATGGATGCAACCTCAGTAGAAATGGTGTAGTTAGCTACATAATTGAATGGGAAAGGGTTGGGCTCCACCTGGGAAAAAGGAGAACAAAATAATAGTGTTGGTTGAATAAAATAATTGAAAAAAAGATACTCATACATTGTCATTTTACATATGTGTTACCTGAAATAGCAGTTGCATAATGCTGTTTCCTGCAGCAGCTTTGCCCAGACTGTCATTAAAAGCTCGTGGAATGGAGAATCGTTTGCACTCTGTAAATATTAATAGAATAAAAAGATATTCACCTTGCTTTTTTACAACCTTTTTGCAATTTCAAGGTTCTGATTTTTGCAGTTTTTGCAATTTCAAGGTTCTGATTTTTATATATAAAATATATTTATACATCAAACTCTGACTGAGTTTTAGTAAAATGTAACTTTTTGTTTTTAGTTTCAGTGGTGACTAGCTGTACACGTCTTACCTGGACTACTGTAGCCGTCATAACAAAGCAAGCTTTGTGGATCCGCTAATTTTCCAGTGGCAGCAATTTCAGCTCCCTTGAGCACCAGCGGCTCTTCGTTAAGCACGCGGGCATGCATGAGAATCAACATGAGGACTGAGGACAGATTGTAGGCCTTCATCGCAACTTGCAGAGGATGTGGTTCTGGGGATGAGGGTGAGGGTTCTAAAAGAATGCCTGGTTGGACTTTACCAGTAGCAGTAAAAGTGGATGACAATGCTGGGGAGGGGAAATCGTCGAAGCCCGCCTGTAAGTAGGACTGGGAAGCTGATTGGCTCACTTGGTGGATCAGATCTCCTGGAAGGAGGGAAATGACACACATTTAAGTGAATAGAAACACTAGATGATGATAGAAGTACAGCTTTACAGTGGCACAGGTGTGTTTGTAGAATCAAAGTTAGTAAGCCAATACTAGTAATACTAGTAAGGGTGGCTTCCTAACTGTTGTCTTGGTTTCATTTTAGGGAGTGTTAAAGGATAAAATGATGCATGTGTTTACAAAAAAAAATCCCACTCTTACCCATGATGTTCAGGATGTTGTCAGCTATCTCAGTTGGTGTTACAGTGCCTTGCTTTGTGTCAGTCTGTAATATCTCCAGCATTGACTCTAGTTTGTTTAGAGTGCTGTTCTGACACTCCTCACAAATAAACTCACGGCTCACTGCCTGGAAAAACACACAGATGCAAGTAGTGCACACAGCATTGTTCATTTGTTTGATTGTTTCATTTGTTTTTTATTGTACTTACTGTGCACTGTGCGAGAGCAGCAGAGGTCTGCTGTATGTCACTAACAGTGGTCAGGTCCAGAGATGTCAAGGCTCTCGTGATGTTACTGCGAACTCTTACTCTGTAATTACGCTCATCCCAGGAATCTCTTGCCGATTCCCTGGTCTGCTCATACTGATACAGATACACAGACACAGTCACAATAGTGGAATTTTACACTCAATGCTGATGCATGATTAAATAAATACTCTGATGTATTGGTTGGCAGATATCTCTTACCTCATTCAGAACAGTAATAAGAGCCAGTGATATTTCTCTGACTCTCTGTGAGTCTCCTTGTTCAAGAAGCTTCTTGAGTTTGTTGTCAGTCAGATAGAAAAGCCAGTGTGGAAGGCTGCTGTATTCAGGAGGTGGGTCTGGCAGCACCACTTCTATGGCTCTGGACACAAACATACGGCAGATATATTATATAAGCGTTCTGTCCGTTGTTTCCTTTTTTTTCAGTCTGCTCTCTCTGGTAAAAGGCCTTTTAGTTTCAGTTTTGATGGTGGGAGCTCAAGACTTAAACAGCTGATTTACCATTATATTGTAGTCCTTTCAAGCAGTGTGGTCTGGCTGTTGAAGAGCGGGTTGGTTTAAAAACTAAAAGTGCTCTTCATTTCTATTCTTAACTTAAGTGTAGATGAAAAGAATGCAGTGGTACACTGGTGAATGACATTTTAAATGATCTTTTGTGGATTTTTAGAATAGAATTAGTTATATATCACTATTAAATAACTTTCAAAAATCAAATTTCTAATCTATGTAAATGCTTGATTTATTGCGATAATTCCTGATAGTTGATTTATGATGTGAAAATTCATACATACTTTTATTAACAGTAAACAGTAATAACAGTACTGCTATACGAACGAAATTTGATTGAATAACACAAAGTTGAAAGTCAAGACAAATAATATCACTATTCAGCAAAATTATTAAATTTTGACTGTTTGAGATTCCCAGGACATTGAGCGATTATTAACCAATTTCAGTCTAACCGATTTAATTGATTACTCACAGATTTGTAAAAAACATTTCTAACTGGAGAAACCCTATTGAAGTAAAATATTGTTACTTGTTCAGTGCAATGTCAGCAGCTCCCTGATGATCCTCCACTGTGATAGAGACATCCACGAGATGTTGGGACGAGCTGAATCCTGGGGGCAAGAACGCTGAATGCTCTGGACTGCTTCCTCTGTACACACAGAAGTCCTCACAGTAATCTTCCTTGCAACGTGTGACTAGAAGGCTGTACAGCAGTGGAGTCTCTGAGATTCCAAGATCACTGTAACCTAGGGACAAATTATTCAAACACAAACAGACCACATGGTTAAAGGTAATACATATTAATATATATTTGGTTCCAGCCCCATTGAAAGAATTAATAATTTATTTTTCATTTACAGTATAGTCTAAAAGAAAAAAAAACGTGGTTTATACAGTACCATTCACTGCCTCACCTGAGCAGTTGAAATGTACTCGGTCAAGCAATGTGCGTATTCTCCAGACTCCATTGTCAAGGTACTCGAATCCCATTTCGTTTTCCCCTCTCAAATGACACTTCCCACCAGCTGGGGGCATATTGTGATGCAGAGTGATAGAGGCTACCCCCTCACCATCCAGACTGTCATCGGTCACACGCAGAGTGAAAATGTAGGAGTTATTGTGGCGCAGGACACCCTGCCGCAGAACTAAGTTCATGCCACGACTTCCAGTGGTGGTGGAGGACGAGTCAAGCACCAGAGTCTCATTCTGAAGCGTCATGGCACTCCAGCGCTGAAAAGGTAAAGCATAAATTAAGTTTAGATTTACTAAAAATAAGTACAATGACATAATACAAATTCAGGAAAACTTTCAAACGGTGTGTCTATGCAGTGAAGCAGAGGACAACTGGACTGTCTTGCCCAAAACCAACTGAAACAACCGGGGCAACTAATGACAGAAAAAGCCTTAAATACATGTTTTATGCAGTAATTATATTTGATATTGAGAAAGAGTTTAAGGCGGTTTCCGATCAAGTGTGTTGTGTCTGAGTGTGTGTTTATTTACACCACGACGGATGTTCTGGCAGTTGGTGCAGGTCCCTTTCAGATAAACATATGAGTTCTGGCTGACCACATAGATGGACTGGGCTTTACACGACACACATTCCAAATACACCATGGGAATGTGACCACTCTGGACGAGCACCTGTCAAAGAGGATAAACGTTAGCATCAGACACAGCCTTGAATCACAGAGGAAAACAGAAACAACCTGGTTTAACTTTTCTTTGGAAAATCTCTAAAACTCCTCTAGAACCGATGATCTCCTGATGGGGATCCTAGTCTTTAGTTTGAACATAAAAAAATATGTAAAGGTACATGCAAGTCCATGCTACCAGATTTGAAAAGACAGGGCAGGGATTTTAAGTGACTTTTTGTCCCCAATCTCCAAAGTGAAAGAAAATGGGTGCATCTGTATTTGAGCCAAACCGTTTGGTTTCAGGACACTCCTGATGTTAGTAACCTGATGTTAAACATGTAACAGCATTGCCAATACACACCCCTAGTTATTATTATTATACCTTTGAAAAGCAAATATGTTGAGACTCACAATGAACAAGTTTTAAGAATGCATGTACTGGGTACTAGGAGAGTGGGAATCCTTACAGTCTGTGTTGTGGACTCTGGTGCCATGCCGTCTTTGCTGATGGTCAACTTAAAAGTGTATTTAACACCTGCCTCTAGCTCTGAGCCAGAGATTCCAAGAACTGGTCCACTGGATCCCAGACTAAAGTTGAAAGTGGAGCAGTGCTCTCGGCCCTGCAGACAAAAAGGATTCAATGCGTTAATAATGTAGAGTGTCTGAGGTGGTGAAAACTGTGGGTATTTAGAGAAGTAATAAAGTAAACAAATGCTGCTCTATAATCACCGAAAACGTCTTAAAAAAATGTCTCAACGGTTTAATGTGTAGGTTTACTGGATGGTCATGAAGCTCAATGTCCATAAACATGCAGACGTGGGGTTAAGTTAAAAGTACTTTCAAAGAACGCTGCTCAGTTTACACTGCAGTAGAGAGCAGTTGGAGGTTGGACCACATAATGCTATTAGTCATGGTTAAAATATACTGTACTGTAATATATAACATAAATGTGGACATGTTAGACAGTTACATTACCTTTGAGGTACTTTCACATTCCCAGTGGTAGTGAAGAAGTGACTGGTTGTCCGGGTCCATGTTGGGGTCATAGGACTGCTCTGCACTTAGCTGTAGGTCCTGTGTCCTGGACCACACCCTGTAGGTACCCCCTTCTATGATGGGCACTAGTCTGAGGAAAGAATAGTATAAGCATACATATATATATAAATAGGTAAGTTATTAGTAAACACTGCAATTTTATTTTCTTATAACCAGAGTGGTTACTGTAGGTCTGAAGTATGACTTATATGCACATGTGAACACCCCCAAGACTGATGAAGATTATTTAAGATTTCTTTTTTACAGTGTGTATAGATGAACCACTTGTTTTGTACATACTAACCTGGCAGCCATCACACTGAGATGCAGACAGGCAGCCTTCCTAAGTGGCACTCCCTCATACGACAGAGAAAACACCACGCTGTAATTTTCTGTTGCAAGTGACATTTTAGGCAAAGACAGCTGCAGTCGTCGCACATCCACCTCCACTGGCAGATGAATTACAGGTAATGCCAAAGATGGCGAGGGCTGAGTCATTGCTACAGAGGGAATCTGGTTGTCCATGACATTGTCACAGTATGATGTTGAAAGAATCTGCCATAGATACTGTGCTCCATAGCGCACACATCCTTTAAGGTCCACACTGGCCTCTATCATAGTGGGTTGGGATCGCCAGATGGCCAGCCGGGGGGCCTGAATCAACTGCACCTCTGGTTCCTCACACTGTAACACACTGATGCTGACCTCCACCTGGGCCAACACCCAGCTTACCAAGTTACTGCAGTTTACCTGGTGGGAAATAAAACATGCTTTAATAAAAAACATCGATACACCAATTTAAGCCACAATAGATTTAGTGAAAAACGTACTTGGACAAGGTAGTATCCTGGTTGGCTGTATTCATAATCCACAGTTGTGGTGCTGGTGTGAAGTTGACGAGAGCCATCACCAAACTTCCACCTACACTCCACAGGAGTAGCCACAGGTCTGATGTAAGCTGTCAGGAACACTTTCTTTTTAATAAATGTTTCCTGTGGTGCTGCATATAGGATTGCACTCCTCAGCAGATTCTGTACAAGGATATGCTTGGTAATGTTCTGGGCCTGCAAAGAATTGATTGCCCTAAGGTAGATTGTCAATTGACCAGCTTCTTCTGGAGTGTACGACATCTATGGAAAAATAATAATTAAAAAAAACAGATTTTTACAGATGATTTGAATTGTAAATATGTAAAAATAATAATTCTCAAATCCTAGTAATTCTATGCACTGACCTCTTTGCCCATGTGTGTAATTCGGTGGAGGTGGTGCAGATCAAATGTCCAGATAAACTGTACAGGTTTTCCTGCCAGTATGTTGGCTACAAACAATTTCTTTACACCAACAGGAATTGCTGCACAGGTTCCTAGGATTGAAAGTCCACGTACTGGCTCCATAACTTCAACCTGGAGGTGCCGCCTTTTGGAACTGACCTGAATTGTTAGGTAATGAGAGGATTTTTTTATGCCAAGTTTGCCAAATCTTTATTTCTGCCCTGTATATTTTTTGTCATTGTGTGTGACTAACACACACTGTAAATTTTACTTTCCTGTATGTATGCAGTTTTAAGAAAATGTACAAGAACCTACTGCTTGTACCAAATGTACATTGTACAATATATATCTAATATATATTTTTTAGCATTATTAGGACTATTATTAGGAATTTTTTTATTTAGCCAGTCCACAAATATTATTGGTTCGAAGTTGTAACTTAATGTGCCTGTATGAACATTTGTGATTTGACAAAATTAGAATTGTAAAATTGTTCAATTATACTTTTAAAATATACAGATTGTTATGAGGCTATTCCCATTGTTATCCTTCAGCTGCTGGTTCAAACCTAGGCAGCCCTAACATTTCAATAACATCAACTATTATTAATAACTGACCTTACCTGGTTGTGTGCAGTGAGATTGACCATGTAGGTGTCCACCCTACTGAACTGGTGGACATATGTTTTGTTGGGTTGTCTGATAACTGTAGCATCTCCACTAATGCTGAGGATCAGCTCAACATCAGAACCTGCTGCCATGGAAATGTTGAACTCCACCTTCTGACCAACTGCTGCGATCTTTGCACTTGCTTTTAGGTCCAACCCTTGAATTTTCTCTTGGACAAAGAACTCCCTAGAAACCACTTGCCCGCTTACATCATTGGTGGCATTCAGAACAACAATGGCAGTTTTGGGTTCTTGGAAAATGAGAGAAGTTCTTCTTCCTGTCTCTGTTCTTCCCTCAACAAGCCATGTCCAAGTCACATCAGTTCCTCCGAGCACCTCTCCCTGGAGTGTAATGTTGGTGCTTGTTCCCACATAACCCTGTTCTGTCACATTTGTAGCGGTGAATCTTAGTCCACTAATTGTTTCCTGGACATTGACAATCTCTGACACAACGCGTGAGCTAACGTCATTAAAGACCTCCACAGTAATTAGCTTATGGCCAGGACTGCTGAAGCTGTGGGCCTCCCAGGGCTTGTTCCATTGTAGAATATCCCCGTTCACAGACCAGCGGTACTGCAGGTCAGAACCCCCAACAGTGAGGACTGTAAGGTTAGTTAAAGAGTCAACTGCAACTGGATTGTTACTGATCTGCAAGGATACTTCTCTGGCTGGATCTAGGAAGTATATGCTTTTATTGACAGAGAGCTGGCCAAGGAGGTTAGTGGCTTTAAGAAATATTTCACAAGGACCTGGTGTAGAAAAATTCACTTCTACACTCTTGCCACTTATATTAAAGCTTGAGCTGTCTGGGTCAAGCTCTCTGATGAAATTCCAAGAAAATGTCATATTTGTTCCTTCTTTTAAACTGGCTTGGAGGTGGAGAACACGGTTTGTGGCAAAGCACCAAGTGTCCGGTTCACTACTTCCTGTGCTCTCCTTCTCTGCTAGAATCTGTAGTCCCTCCAGCTCACGTTGCACAAACAGGAAAATACTAGTTTGTGTTGTCCCAATGTCATTCTCTGCTGTCACAATAATGTTGAAAGTACCAACAGAGCGGAAAGTGTAGAACATGGTGTTGGTACCTGGTATGGAGGTACATCTGTCACATAAGATCCAGGAAAAGCGGACATCATCTCCTTCCTCAATTTTGGCCTCAAAGTGGACTGAAGCATTGAGAGGGACATTAGTCAAGCTCGCATTAATGGTCAACCCATGGATTGGTGCAAGCACAGTAATGGGCAAAACCGTGTGATTCCTGCTAACGGTGTTGACTGCTGTCAAGGTGATGTTGTATTTTCCTGATATACTGTAGGTATGGTGGTGATTTTGGCCAGTGAACACATTTCCATCTCCAAAGTTCCAGGTGTAACTAACGTTTGAGGCCAAGGAGGAAGTTGTAAACGCATATGGTGCGTTGAGCGAAAGGTTGTTATGCTTGGTGCCATTATGTTGTATAAAAACCGGTCCTATGGGCATCATAACATCAACAACAACACTGATGTTGCTGCTGGATATATTATTAAAAACAGTCACAGAAACCACATAGGCACCCGGGGTTTTATACATTGTCACCATATTCCCAGATCCATGAATGAGGGCAAGTTCTTTCTCTCCACCAAAGACCCACTGATAGGTGTAATTGTAATCTGGCTTTGCTTTCACTTGAAAAAGGATCTCTTCACCAACTGCGTAATGTGATTTCTGCAGTTTAAGGCTGATATTGGTTAAAGATGGCTGCACACACACCCAATGGAAGAAGTTGACCTTGACGACATTGTTGACCCCACTGGAAAGAAGTAGTGTGAGGTGGTAGTTTCCACTAACGTGGTAGTTATGTGAGACTCTTGGGTTGCCATGGTGTGTTTCATTGGGGCTTCCATCCCCAAAGCACCATTCATAAGAGTAAGCTGTATCATTACCAGAAACTAAGGCCTTGAAGTTGACAGCAGTCTGCTCTTGGACACATCCCAATGGCTCTATTCCTATAACTTGAAATCCAAACACCTGCAATGGTAAGACTGTCCAACCAAAGCTCACAGCATTGGTTGCTGTCACATTTACTGTGTAGTTGCCCTCTTTATTGTAGATGTGTGTCACTTGGGGTTTTGTAGGAAAGTAAACAGCTCCGTCACCCATTGAAAATGTCCATGTGATGTTATTCCCTGAAGCAGGGGTTGCCCACACAGTAACAGGACTGTAGAGCTCTATGGACGGGGGGCTTTGAGCTGTAAGATTTTTGATCCTCTCAAAGACAAACATCTCAACACAAACTTCCTTGAAACTGATGGTATTGTTTACCAAGACGCAGACATCAAAGGCCCCACTTTGAACATAGCTGTGCACAACTCTGCGGCCTTTCAACTGACATGAACCATCTCCGAAGTTCCAGACATAGTGGATTCCATAGGGTGAGGGTAAAGGATGTGCCTCGAATTCAGCCATTTCACCAGCAAGTAGGAGGCTTGGCTCTGTTTGTATGTCAACGTGAGTGAGCATGCTGTACACACTCATGTTGACGCTCCGACTGATGTTGTCATAACGGTTTGACACAGATACAACTGCGGTGTATATCCCTGTATAAAAGAAATGTTTTATCGTGAAAGGATGACAAGAATTTAAACATGTCTGTTAAAAACACACACAGAGCATTAAAGCAGCAGCAGGGAAGATCAACTGAAATAGGTAGAAGAGTTCCATTAGACAACTGGACGTGAGGTTTTTCCAGAAAACATTTTACCTCTGACCCAAAAAACTTCGTTGACACTGTGTCACCTGTCCACATCACCTCCACCACCTGTTGAGTGACAGTTTTCCCTTAAACCATCCACCTTCCCGGGCCATAATGTGGACACTCTTAACCAGTGTGGAGAGTGACCAGTGACAGCCCACTTAACAAGAGGGATCTAGGGCACCTTTGGTCCCAAATTTTTATTCATTTATTTTTGTCACGCCCACAGTAAATTCCAGTTCTCCCCACCGTCAGTTTAGAACTGATGAAGCTTCTTGGATGAGAAGTTGAATATTTTATTGAAAAACCTCACGTCCAGTTGCCTTGAGGAACTCTTCAACCATGACCATCAACTGGATGATGAGAATCGTCGTACATATGATACCAGCCAAAATAGAACATTAAACATTTCCAAAGTTCGATTAAATACTTAATAATGGCTTTCATTTCTCTAGCAAAAAAATGTATGTTACCTGGCTGAGAGTAGACGTAGGTGACATTGTTGCTTAGCTTGACCTGATTTGGGGAGTATGGGCAGCGCAGGGCAGGATCATATGGAGGCTTGAACTTAAACTCCTTATATCCATTGTCTCCAAAAACCCAGCTGTGAGATTGTAAAAAACAACAACAACAGAGTTTAAATGTGTAACTAGGTGCTTTGCTGTCTCCTCTATATTGGCAATATACTTGTTTGATTACATGTGTAATCATTTGGCTCAAATTGTTGACATTACACAAGTATTGTGCAACAACTGATGTTGGTGTATGGGTTATGGGTACTGTTTTTTTATAACTGCTGTAAGTTATAAAGTTTTTTCTGTCCAGTGTTCATACCGTAAAGTGGCATCCACAGACATGTCCACAAGCACAGATGTAGTTAGAGTCTGAGTGGAGCCCTGGGGCACAAAATCCGGCACACCGCTCACGGTGAGGTTGGCCATGGGTTGTAGGCGGTCCACTGTCACATTGTAATGCTCTTTGATGGTGCTGACATGGTTCACAGCTGTTACCTGAAAACGAATGACAATGTTCTTGAGCTGAGGTTCGGGTTCAGCAATGTTTACAGAACCTCTGAAGTGATGTGCTGTGGTAACACTTGTTATGATCCATTAACCAACAGAAAACAACATGAGGCAGTGGTGTCACAATGTTATTCGTTCAACACTGTTTCCCTTTAATTGCTGGGAATGTGGCGGCTCCATCCCACTTTATTTATCCCAGTTGACCAGAATGACATCATTTTAGAAATGTTAGATTTAAGCATGTGAAAGAAACTCACCGTGAGCTTGTAGACAGCAGCATGCTGGTAGATGACATTGAGAACAGTGTTGTAGTAGGTGAAGTGGGGTTTGTCATCTACAATCCACTTAAATGTGGGATTGGAGCCTTCCAGGACCGATGCTGTGTAACTCTAAAATAAACCAACAATTATGTATGAAGGTAATTAAAATTGCAATTCATGTGCGTAATAAATGTATCTGTTCTGAACTTAATACAATATAATGCAGAATATTGCACGCACTAAATGTTTTGGCTTTAGCTCTGACAATAAGGACATGATGTCTTGGTTTAAAAGCAGGTCTCAACCAATGGTTTTAGTCGCACACCACCACCTACTTTCTACTGCTAAAACTGCACAGCACTTCTGCTAAAAGTAAAAGATCACAATTATTGTCATTGTACATGCAGAAAATGGTAATAATTAATGATCTCAATCATAAGAACTGTGTATCCTGGAGCTCTGGATTGACAATTGGTGTTGGGTGTTTGTTTTGGATTTTTGGATAATCAGTAGCTATAAGTTGTCAAAGAAGGCAAACTCAAGACTCACCACAACTGACTCCATCAATACTCTCTGTGCAGGGTTTGGTTGAACCAACAGTCCTTTGAGAGGGACTTCCACTTGAACAGTCATTATCAGGGTGGCCTCTGTTGCATTATTGTAAGCCTCTAGCTCAACTTGTATTGGGCTCTTCTGGTCTTCCACTACCAAGAACAGATCCACCACAGCGTACAAAGTGGGCTCGGTAACCTTATGCCCAGTCCCTGAGGTTGACCCAGGTGGTGGTCTTGAGGAAAACTCTAAGGGACACTCTGGGTGGAAGGTGACACTGCAGTTACTGCCTCGAACGGATGCATATGTTGCATAGCGAGACTGGACACTGAGCAGCAGCTTAGTATCATTGGCCTGGAAGTAGAAGGTGCCATTCTGGGGTTGGGGATGGAGAACTGTCAAGCACAATGGAGACACCACTTGCAATGGACATGAAGCTGAAGCTGGGAATGATGGCTTGGCTGAGGTCACCTAGAGAGTATTAAGATGAAATTCTGTATCAATGACTATGCCAATAAATATGAAAAAGTTGCGGAAGAGAAACAAAAGTTATTAGATATACACACAGATATATGCACAGTTTTTTACATTCAAATTGGCTGTCTTACCAGTAGGCTGTACAGTCCAGGCTGGGATAAACCTGCAGACAACTGTGCTGTCGGCAACTGGGTTTCACTTTGTTCCAGATAAAGCAGTCGGACAGGGCAGACTACGTCAGTTAGCCATGTTCCCTCACCATCCTCTACCAACTTCTCAAAATCAAACTCTGGTTCAAGAGAAGGATCAGCTTCAATGTCAGTCAATGTATTCGACGTGTCTCTGGCGTTGTTTTTGCAGACCCACTCCGGTCGATGGAGAACTACCAATGGTTGTCGCCACAGTGATTTGGACGATGACTGGCAATTGAGAAGAGAGGCAGGGCCAGCATCATGCTGCAATGTAATGATGTCACCACGGAAAACTAGAAGATCCTCCAACATCTTTTGAACCTGTAACAGGGAGATAATGTGAGGCAGCAACAACAGAAAGGCAACCGAGGGAGATTTCATTTCTGGCTCTTTTGTTGTTGTCTGCTTTGCAAAGCAGCTACACTCAGTTGCTTTTCGATAAAACTGGAGCTGGGCCTTTTTTCAACCCATCTTTTGGATTTTAAGTCATAAGACTTTAAACAGTCCCTGTTTAAATCACTTTGAAGGGAAAAATAAGTAATCTTACCACAATATGTGCAGCTGGTCCTGCTGGGAGAGTGAAAACCAACTCGTTCTGTAGGGTGTAATGAGGCCGGTGTGCTCCAGCAGGCAGTTGGTGATCCTGGGTACAGTTAGGACAGGCCGATGAATGGCAGGGACTAGAAAGGGCCAGGCATCGCTGCTGGAAGGGGCACCACTGTTCCAGATGGGAGCAAGAGTGTGGACCGCCAGTCCTCGTGTTGTTTTGAACACAAATGGCTACCTGAGCACATGCTGGACTTCCACAACCTAAGGCACAATATGTTGAGTTGTTTTTATAACATAAAATTAATAAAAACAATAAATAGAGAAAAAAAGCTGCCTAAAGATCAATCTCCAATCTCAGTAAATTCACATGTGACTAACCAGGTAGCAGCAGGTGCAGGTCAGGATCACGACAATACGGCCTGTACGTCTGGAATCGAACTTGTATTTCTGAGCTAAGTTTCTGGGTAACAAACTCAAGAGAGGAGAGTCGACCTGCCTGAAGAAAGCTAAGAGCTGGGAACAACAGCACCTAAGAGGAAAGACAAAATGATGTGTATGATATACATTAAAAATATACTGTACATCAAAAGCATAATGAAACTCTACCTCACCTCCACACCATTTCTTGGGGTTTCGGGAGCAAAGGATGAAGAAGAAGGAGGAGTATGGCGCAAAACAGTATTGGATGGAAATAGAGGTAACCCCAACATGTATATCCCTGCGTCAGGAACACGCACTGTCAAGGTGAAAACAAAATGTGGATAAGTTGTGACAGATTTAGCTGGTGTACAAAAATAAGGCTGCAGCATGTATGAAGCTTTGCATACTGAAAATGTGTAAACGTATAAAAAAAATAACAGTTCAACCTTTAATATGTGCAATATTTGCTCTAGTGGAAGTGCTGGACACATCTTTCTTTTCCATTGTTTAATAGTGGGGCTACGGGATTTTTGTTAACAAGCACCTTTTGGCATTAAGTATGATTTTAAAGAGTAGCAACAAATAATTCATCTGTTAAAGTTACATGTCATATAATTGGCCATCAAAGTTAAAAATTGGTAACGAAGAGCCACACTGGGATAGCCCTCTGTTTTATGCTTGTTTCTTCCAGAGCAGTATCATTGCCAGATGTTGTCCTAATATAAAACCTGCTCATATGAGATTATACATTGGTTAGCTAGAAAATGAGGGTGCTGTTATAACAGTAAGGAGCCCACCTTGAGGTTTGTATTGGCAGATAAATGCACGTTTGGCACTGCACAGATGTGAACTGGTCTGGCCATGCTGATCAAGGGACACGCACAGGTTCCCACGGGAGATTGATGAACGGGGTGGCAAGCCTCCCTCCCCCTCACCTGCCTCTGAGCCATTCACCCACTGCAGCTTTCCTGGGGAGTTCACATCACTCAAGCCCAGCCACACACCTCGCTCCCTGGGACAGACACGTGAAGTCACGAGGGTTAACAAAGTAAAAGCTGGTAAATTGTATTCAATCAAAAAATATTAAAATAAATAAGACATGCACAAATATATGTATAAATACATATATACATACAGATACAGTATGGTGAAAAGAATATTTGATGTTTCTAATGTTCCTCTTGTCAATAGTCTATAGATCAGATTAAAGTGTGGTACGCATGCTGTTTCCAAGGGAAGCATGAGATTAAAAACGTGATGACAGTTTGGAGTCTTTTTTTAAGTGGGATTTTTTCCACTGAATAAAGTTGCGTTAATAAACATTTATTTTGACATTTTAATAAATAAATAAAAACATGCTATGTATATATGTATATGCACGTTATATGTGTGTACAAATGTACAGTACAAGTATAAATGAGTAAATTTGCATTCTGAATACAGAAATATACTAATGGGAAAACAGAAAGATAAATATAAACGGGGAATTGACATAAGGTAACAAACCCCTCAAAGAGAAACATTAAAGTGTGTGATATTCCCTTCTTAATTAAGACTTATATACTAGAATACTAACTGTGTGACTTTTTGTCCCAGTAGATTACACAGAGTGTCACTTCGCACAACTGCCAAATCCCCACCACGACCGGAACATTGTTGTCGCGCATCAGTCCAGCTCAACTCTGCTGGAACTATCTGGAAACAGCTTGAGGACTCCAAGTGGTACATTCCATCTTTTGGACAGTGAGGGGAGGCTGGAAGAAAAAATAAACAGAGCAGCATGTAATAACACAGCCAAGGACCTCTTTGTTTGTAGACAACAATAATGACCTGACTTAATCATAAACTACATTTTTCTTTCCTCTTAAATATTGCTTATATGCTGCCATGTAGAGAAAAACATTGAAAAACATTTTAAAAACTATAACTTGATTTAGCAATCTGGTGGTATTACACTGTTCATATAGAACATTATTTTAAAAATTAAAACTTGCAGGGATCAATACACAGATAATTACATCCATAAGGATTCAAGTATCAGTATCTGGATCAATATTCCATTCAAATACTCCAGTCCAGAATACAGACAAAACTCAATGCAATTGTGCAAAAAAGAAAACACTAGGAAGAAAGAGAAGAGATTGTAGGGGGAAAAAAGCACACCAAATGGCTAGTCTATCTTTGTCGTCTGTATATACTGAAGCTTCTTGTAATCAGAAAAGGGTTTTCAGTCTTTCCAGATGTTCACCATCACCCACACTTCTGTTAATAATGTTGTTGACATTATTTACTGAAGACCAGTGTTAATAATGTTGTTGACATTATTTACTGAACAGCTCTGAGACCAGTGTTACCTTCAGCAACTTGCACACCATCCTTAGTAATCTTCCAGTCAAGGTCCAAACCCACTGATCCCCAGCTGACAATTGTTAAACTCAGGCTTTTATTGGCCACAGCAAGAGACGGGCAACGCAGTTCCAGTTTGGGAGGAACTATCACTGTCACTTCTGTCCGAGCGGAGACCTGAACATGAGTAAAGAAGTTGAATAACGTGTATTATACTAGTGTACATATTAAAATGATGATTTGGAAAAAAAAACAATTCTACAATGCATTAAAAAAAAAAAAAAAAAAATATATATATATATCCTCCTTTACCTCCTTGTTTCCAGCCCGGGCCACCACAGTGACAGTGTAATGTCCTGGAAGTCCATATTTATGACTTTCTGTGGTCAGTCCGGTCCCTGTAGTGTTGAGCCGTGGTGAAAGGTCCCCAAAATCCCAGGTCAGGATCACTGGAGTGACCGAGGAAGTGGTGACCAACGCAACAGGGTCATGGACACTTTGTGGAAGCAGAAGAGGCTTGACTGAGATGGAAAAATCCACCGCAAACACATCATGTGCCAGAGTCCACCCACATTCCTGTGAAATGTTTTAACAAATTTAAAATCACGTGAGGAAAAGGATGGTTAAGTCTTTATGGACTATTTTCTGACAACTTTCAGAACTAGGGCAGCAGACATACCTTCATAACGTGAGGGTTAGAGCAGGCAGCAGAGCACTGAGATTCACTGATAAAGTTGGGCTCGGAGTTTGTGCTGCAAAGACACTCATGTGTTGCTCCGAGACCTCCGTAGCGATGTGAGGCAGCAAAACACACACTGTTACACTGTTGACGAGTAAAGTTTCCGGGTGTGGAGGATGAGAAGATAACGAGCTCACTACGCTTCGCCCCTTCACTGCTGCTGTCTTCCAGACAGGCTGCATAGTTGAGACCTGAAAAGAGACACTCGTCACGATTACTGACAGGTAAAATCAGACACACTGAATATATAGTTGGTGTTTTAGAAGCAGAAAACTTCTTAAACCTAAGATCCTAAGGCCAGTAGCTTTTAAGGTGCCCCTGGTCTTCAACGTATGTCTGCACTGCAAGCTACTTTTCTTTTGGGCTGTAAATAAATCACCTTGACATTTTTACAAGAATGGCATCATGCTTTATGAAAGAAGATGTCAAACTAACTCAGATATCTTACTCAGAATAATTGACATTAGAAAATAAGCACGCTATATTTAATACATTTATATGTGTGTCTCATACCACAGGTGAGCAGGCTAATATTTAGCACAGGCTGATAGCGCAGTTTAGGAGGATGGTGACAGAGCATGGCGTCTGGTCGCCGCACTTGCACCCCTTTCTCCTCAAGCCAGCTGACCAACCTGAACAGCTTACAGTCACAGTCAAAGGGGTTGCTGCTCAGGTCACTGGGAAATGTAAAGATGAAGATGGTAAAAAAATTGTTTTACTAGTTTGAATTGTTTATATTGCAAGCAATGATGTTACTGTAGTTAACGGTTGACAGCAGCTGTACTGTGTGAGCTATGGCAGGGTAATCAGCAGTAGTGCATCATTTTAGAGAAACAAAAATTTACTTTTTATGCAATCTAGTACTGAGTTATAGTACTGTGTGTAATTACTGTAAAAACTTTAACTCACCCTCATCCTGATGATTGATGTTAATTTGTAATTGAATGTAACTTGTACACAGTCAAAGTATTGTACATTGATTGTGTTCTAACCTTTTTTGCATTATTTTAATGAAAACATCCCTTTGGGTCATTTGTCAAATAAAACCTTGAGTAAGTAAGCTGTCAGTATTTGCCAATCTCTGTGTATTTATATTGTAATATTGTTGTAGTATTGCTGTATGTTTTACATTTTACATCTTATGCTTGTGGAGAATGAAATGAAAAAAGTGAAATTAATTACTTACATCTGAGTTAAATTGCATAGGTTGTCACATATCCTGTCCTCTATAGTTGTTATTTGGTTGTTGCTTAGATTTCTGTTGGAAACATAAGAGAAATCAAATGAACAATATGCAAAAAAAGATTCTCCTAACAATAGGATTATGTTGCAAATATGCATGTAATTAATATATTTTAAACAAAGTAAAAATCGGTGTGGTCACCTGTCTTAACTTTGTGTTAGTTACAGATAACAGTAATAACATGAGCCTAAAATGTACAATAAAACTAAATTAAAAAACTCTTTTGGTGGCAACAATTATTTATGTCTATCTATTCCTTTGTTTTCCTGCTGCTCTCTTCCCACCTATGGGGTTTTCCACGTGAACATCTTTAGAATTTGTACTTACACAATTGACAGGGGGCCACAGCAGAACATCCCTCTGGGCAGAACTTTTATCTGATTCCATTGAAGATACCTGATGGACAGATGATCCACAGCATTTGTAAATTACAGTATTTATATTTAATAATATGGAAATGTTTCACATGTTGAATTCAGACCCTCAAAGACTTTAGAATGATGGCTATCACAAATGGTACCAATTCCTGCAAGTTATATAAAATGTATATAAAAATGTAAAACGAAAGGCAAATTGCTACGTGAACTCACAGCTCCTGGAGGCTTATAAGACGATCCAACAGGCTGGTATCAAGAGAAGAGATGTGATTCTTGGAGAGATCTCTGTGGGAACAAACCAAAATACTGTCACCTAAAATGCACTTTTTTCCTCTCTCTCACTTCTTGTTGAAGTCTATTTGTGCAATCCACTATCAGAAGTTAAAGACTTAAAAGGAAGCCATTAAACCCATCGTTTGGGGATAGAACTTTTTTTTTAAATATAAAAAAGGCCAAAATTCATCTCTCAAGACCATTTTAATTTCAATTTAAAAAATAAAAAAACAAAACAATATCAGTTATGGAAAAAATCAGAAACTTCACCTCGCAGGCTTATTATACTCAGAATACAGGCACCATTGGAATCAACAACAATTGCATCCATTCTACTACATTAAGCTCAAGCATTTGTTGAATTGAATTCAACTTAGAGATGTTCATGCCAGTTAAAAAAAAATGAAACATGCTTAAAAAATGCTTTATAACGCTCTGCTGATCAGGACTACATTTCTGTGTGTGCTCTGTAACCACTGACTTAGTGTTTCAAGTTAATTTTTTCACACACACACTGTGTGTGTGTATGTGAAGGGAGCTAAACGCCCATTCCCAATAGAAAACATCTGTACATTCCAGACAAGCTGTGTAAGAAAGACGAAGACTGAGAGAGAAAGAGAGGCTGCGAGAGAGAGAAGGAAAGAGCGAAAAAGAGAAAAAGAGAGACGGGGAGGAACAGGAAGGGAGGTACCACTGCAAAACCCATCAGTAGAAGCAAAGAGACAGCAGTAAGATGCTCCACCCATCAACTGCACATTATTTCCTCTTATGTAATGCTCTCAGCATCTATAAACGGCATTCATGTGTGACCGCTCCAGTACAGAGGAAAAGTTTTGTTTCTTGACAAAAAAGAGGCAACACATGGAAAGACGGAGAGTGAATGAGGGAGATCAAGAAAGGGGAAGACTAGGATTCTGGATTCGTTTGACATGACGGTCTGCCGTGACCTAAAACAGGTCTATAAAAACAGGCTTCTGTTCTCTCACCTTCCTCTAGACACACTGTTTTATGTACTCATTCAGAAACACACACAGACACACACATATGGTTCTGATATACTGCTGGTGTGGTCAGTGATCTACCCACTCCTTAGAAGGCCTGTTTGGTGCCACACGTATACACTAGGACTAAGTCCAGTGCCAGGTTTGTGGCTCTTCCTTTGTTTCATAAAGCCTGATATATACCTTTGCTCAGCCACCGGCTGCTGCTCACCTTTCAGTTTCATTTAGAATTGACTTCAATATCATGAACTGGTTCTTTATTGTATTTTCTTAATGACAAGAGAACCTGGCACCTTTGCCTTGTGTAAGAACTAAATCAAGTGCTTTGAAATATTTTTTGTTTTTGGAAGAGAAAAAAAAAATATTTTGCATTTTTTTTCTTATTTTCTAACTGAAACTTTATAAAGTTTTGAGGGTCAAAAAACATGATTGAATAACCATTTAATACTCAGACTTAGACTCAGACTTGGAATCATTCAAACCATATGATATGAATGAACCACAGTTCCCATTTCTCAGTGTATTGCATAAATGATGAATAATAACATAAGTTGGACCTGGAGTTGGACCTTCCAGGACGGAGGAAAAGAGCCATGGGTGTAGCACAGGTGAGATTAAAAAAAAGGCTTGTGTAACAGTAGAGGAGGCATTGGATACAGGGGATAGAGACATCATTTAAAATATTTTAAACATGGTATGTTATTCGTCTTCTGACTTTTATTATGCTCATTTGCAGTGTAGACTTCTACATCTCCAGGTTAACTTCCACATTTTCCTTTATCCACTGAATAAAAATACATCTGATAACATCCTGGTCATCTGTCTACCTGCCAATCACACGTCTGTTGTAACTGTTGTACTGTAAGATCTACTCTACACCCACACATACTCATACAGTACCACAGTTCCTAACATAGCATTGTTATTTTAGGCATGAACCAAAACCATGCCTATTAACTGGAACCTCTCGCATTAGTCACACAATTCTTTCTCACACCTTTGTGGTGTCGTCTGATGAACTTTATGTTCTTTACAATGACTAAATCTCTGTAAATCTCTAGAAAGTCGAACCTCATTTATAAGGTTTTAGTAAAATCGTAAGCCGTGACTATTTAAGATTAAACTGAGGAAAAGGAAAAACAAATTTGTTAACCCTGCTTTACATAGTTAATATCTTAACTGTCAGGTGCACAGTTCAATTAACTAAAAGTTATACAAAGATACAGCATAGGATACTGTAATAGCAATTGAAATATTAGCTTGCAGTTTTAAATCTTTGAAATCTATAGCACCGGGCTGAGCTGCTTGTTATTTAATATTCTTTCCTGATTCCAGCTTGTGTTTTTGACGATGTTGTTCCAACTAAATTAGGTCACACCGAACTGCGTCTTCATCCATAATGTTTGAAAAAAACAACTGTATTACAGGTATGGATAGATGCTGACATAGCCTGCTAGATTTGAATCATTTACTAGGCATTCAATGGCTTTGAAACATAATTGATATGTTGACTACTTTCATGATTAATCAATTTAAGGTCAAATTAAAAATAATAAATTCAATGGTGTAAACACCAAGCTACTCAACAAGGATGTGATTTACAAGATTTTAAGACAAAACATTTAGGACTTTGGACTAATCAAAAATTATCAATCGTCGTAATGAAAAATACAATTTTAATCATGTGAATACTTTGTGTTCAGTTGTGAATCAGAACTGACGTCTCCCCTCCAACCAGGTACTCACAGCACAGCGGTGGCCAGCGGGATGTCCGTAGCCGCTGGGGCCCTCTCCAGGCCGATGTTGGAGCAGTTGACGACGCAGGACGACCGCTTCTGTCCCACGAGCGTACAGCTGCAGTTAACGGGACATGGGCTACAGATCCTACTGTCTCCCTGCGGCCCAGAACCCCATGCCTCCAGGCAACAGAGCACCAGAAGCAGGCTGGCCAAGAAACTGAACCTTGCTGTGCAGACGCCATGTTTCCTCTGGAATAAAGTCTGTGCATTTCCACAAGACATTGCTTACTCACATCTCATCGCCCTGTGAGATTTAATTCCTCTCAAACTGGGGAGAAAACACGCAAAATATTCTCCTTTTGTCCTCGCCTTTAAAGTGAAAACAAAAAAACTGAGGAATGGCGGTAAAGTTTAGTCTTTTTAACGTTTACCCTTACATGCCGTTTTCTTAACATCTAACGGAGCCCCTCTTACTAGACTTTTTTCCAGGGAGAAAAAAAGTTTTTGAAAGGACTTCCTCTCTTCTCCTCCTCCTTCTTCTCCTTCTCCTCCTCTTTTTCCACGTTCTACCGCAGTTCACACAATTACCGTGTGGACGTAGGACATGCTGCATTACTTTAGTACAAAATGAGATGTTTTTTTTTAAACGGCCGAATTGTACTGCCGTTGGTGAACTACTTTTAGCTAACACATTCACGAGGCGCTCAGGCTATAGAAAAAAACACGATAGATAGACTGTCAGATCGACTTCTTCTCAGACAGACAGACAGATAGACAGACAGACAGAAGTACTGTCAAGTGTTTGCCAAAAGTTGAAATAATTTGATGGCTGCTATAGCTGTCCAAGAATCAAAAGTTTATGACCAGCAAAACCCAAGTGCTGATTATAAGCCTAATCAGCACTTGGGTTGATTAGTTCTACGTTTGAACTTGTTCCTCTCTGGGTGTTTTGGACGGTCAGAGTATTTCTGGACAGGGAAAGGAGAGGCTCTTTTTGCCTCCTAAGACAAAAGAAAGTCGGCACTGATGAGCAAATCAACGTTTTACAGACTGCTGTCCCATGAGGCAGTTTGTTCCAGGCGAGCCATAACTTTGAATCTTGAAACATGAAAAAACAAAAACAAACCCCCCAAAAAAAACAATGTCACCTCCACACATTATGGTCCATGGAGCCTCCTGTCTAACCTCAGCTGTCAACACGTATGTACCTAGTATGAAAACGATCCCAAATCCTGTAATACTGCACACCACTTCAGTACTACCTAGCAGCAATGACGTTAAAATGACAGAAGGAGGCAGTAGTAAACTTTTGCACGTCAGTCTGTTGTAATCTAATGGAAATGCTATGGAGCAGGGCTGGTCGCGGGCCAAACTGAAAATTTATTGAAAAATGAAGGCAATTGTGCATGTTTTCCCTTCTCTACAGATATATTGTGTAAACTTTTTGGATAGTTTTGCGTAAACATTGAATCGGGAACAACCAGAGCTTAATATTATAAACACATGAAAAATTAAATTTGAGCTATAACACACATCAGTATTATGTGTTTTTATCTTTAGCCTTTTGAGTTCGAGTTCCTTTCTCAGGCCAACAACACACACACAAAAAAACAGAATGTACTGTATGTACTATAATATAGCACAAACACCGCTAATACTACAAATCCTGCCAGTATATAGGGACTATATAACTCTAGTACACATAATGATATGATCTTGTGGGCCAAATATAATTACACTGTGGGCCCTAGTTTGTCACATGTGCTACGGAGGATTAATCTGTCTATAGTGGTTGCGTCGTTGTTTAAAATAAATGACCACATTTTTTTTTCTACTGCCAAAACAGCATTGACACCGTAGGTGCATGGACTCTACTAGAACTGAAACCTGACAACAAAATAAAATCAATTAATTCAATCATATAAATCATACTGAACACCAACTTCTAACAAAACAACCAGAAAAAGTGGAAATAAGGTTGTGTTGGGCCAACTGTAGCCAACTAAAAGACAGAGTTATAAAGAACATGTTTAGGTTGATAAGTTGGTTCCATAGTGTAAGTTAGCATGCCTGCCTTGGAAGCAGAGAGCAGAGTCCTGGGTTCGATTCCCAGAGGAACCACATGCATGGCATTTGCTAGGGTTAAATACCAGAAAGGTCAGAACAGAAGAAGCCTCTTGGATGAGAAGTGAAACATTTTCAAGAAACCCAACCAGTCCAGTTGCTGTTGATGTTACTGCTTAAGATACGGTGACCTGGATGACTGAAGAGTTACACAGACAGAGTTTAGACTTTCAAACCAGTTTACAAAGTGAAACTACAGTGCACCACACCTATTGTTTGCATGCACAGCATTACAACATTTACCGTGTAACTCGTTTGACTGGTTCACACGCACAAGAAATACGGAAAGAACACAGAGGGACTTATACTATAAACACATAGTTTTAACCCTGTCAGTTGCTGTTTGGGGCACTGAAAGCAAGTATGGAGAAGGATCAAGGACAACCACTGGACTTTTCAAATACACCAGCACCTCCATATCCAGGCTACCCCGAAAACTACAATGTTGGAGTCTATGGTGGAGCACCTACTCAAGCAGGTAAGCCCTGAAGAACCTCATCGACCGATTTCATTCTTTCATACAAGTTTTTAATAAGTAAAATTTTGTTTTTTCATTATATTAGTTATTATATCAAGTGTATCTGGTGGGTGCTACTGTTTTATGTTCTGATCTTCTTTATGGATAATGTCTTTTTCTTGTATCAGCTTATCATTACAGCCCACAACAACCTCAAACAGGTATGTTTCTCACCTTACACTACTGCATGTTTCAAGCAACTGTTACTTGTATTTTTAAATGTAAATTAAACCTTTTTTTACTATGTCAACAACTCATTTAAGGTACAATTAATTTTTTCATAAACTTTAACTGACTTTTAACTTTGTTAAGGGTCAGTATTGCTGCTTCACAAAGTGTATTAGTGGTGATTGCATGATGGCATTTTTTGGAATAGTGCAACAGGTAGTGGTGGTACAGCAGATGCCAACAGATGCCCCTGGACAGATGACGTGTCCTCGCTGTCAAACCACTGTTCTTACTAAAACAGAGAACAAGAATGGTTTGTTCACCTGGCTAATTTGTGGTGTACTTGGAGTTTTCTTGTAAGTATATAGTATGTCAGTATATGTGTGTGTGTGTATGTATTTGATGTGTGATATTTAACATAATTTTGTCTTTACCTCTGGTCTTCCAGGTGCTGGCCTTGCTGTTTCATCCCTTTTTGCGTGGATGGTTGCAAGGATGTGGAACATTCCTGTCCTTTATGTAACACTGTTCTGCACATCCATAAACGCATGTGAAGTGCTGCGTTCTCTATAAGAAAAAAACAAACAAAACTATTTACCATGACACATAGTTTGTTTTAGGTCTGATGTGTGAATATATACAACAAGTGGCTTTAAAATTTTAACACAACAGATTTACTTCTGAATCGTGAAGAAAAATGTAATATTGATGTAGTCTTTAAAATATTTGCTGCTCTTTATTGTAGTTTGTGATTCTGTTAGCTCAGAAGACTTTTTCTCAGGCTTTTGTTTGCTATAAAAAGGCATTAATGTTTAAGGCTACATTTTTAATATTAGGATAGTAACACACAAAAAGACTGCAAACAACAAGCATAATTGAAAGAAATAATGTAAATAAAATCAAGGTTCTTATTCAGGTTTTGTGCAAATATTAATTGCCACTACATTTTGAAGAAAATCAAAAAATACTGCTCTTATAATACAAAGCACTGTAATACATATTTTATACTTATTTTTTAAATTTTTGTATTTATTTTTAATTTTTAAAACACAGCTTTAACAATGGGGTCAATCATTATTACCAATGTTTTTCTTATTTTAATTTATTTGATGCTGCCCTTACTACAGCATACACTGTCAATGAAGATTCTGAGAATGCACTGCGATGATTTCATATGATTAGCATACTAATGACAGACTTACGTTTTTAACTGCAATTAGTTTCACTCAGATATTTACTTAGATATAAACTTTTTTGATCCCACACTGGGGAAGTTGTTGCGTTAACAGCTGATCTGCTGAAACAGGCTGTCTCATGGTATGTGGTTCTCCTGGAACCTCAGGACCCACTGTGTGTAAAGCAGATGAAAACTGCTCCACTATGGAACCGCTGTACAATATATATTATTCTGACATATTTTGATTCATAAATATAAAAATCACCATCTATAATGAAACAATTGTCGTGTTTTGAGTACATTCCTCTCAGAGCTCTTATATTCTCAACATTTTAGTCATTATCCAATATACAGCTATAGTATATCCTGGTTTTTACGTTTACATGGTAAAAAGTCATAGAAAAACATCTCCTGCAATGCCCGCATTTCCCCAATAGATGGCGTAGAAAAAGTAAAACGCATCTTAGCTTTTAGACATGACTTTTACATATAATTTTTTAGTTCACACCAACTCTCAATCTATGTGCTCCTCACCCTACTAATCCAATTTAGAATGAGCCCTTCTTATTTGGCCAGTTTTCCTTTTAATCAACGCACCAACAAAAGGAGTAGTTCCAGGTCACAGTACGTTTAGCCACACGAGTCTTAGGCATGTGAAATTTGTAAGCTGTTTATATTGTATCAGAAATACTTATCGTGTAATGGTCATATACAAGAATATATATATAACTGGTTTGCATAACTGTTTAGTTTGTCTTTGTCAAATAAGACTTTTAACAGCCGGGTAGCAACTGTTAGTTAGCATGTCTAAGTTCAGTACAAGTTTCTTGATAGATTTGGTACAAGTTATTGAGTGTAAATGTGTCATAGTCATTCATTATTTAGTCATGAAAAGTTATCATCGTTTTATTCACAAATAAATAAAATGTATTCAAAAACATAAAAGCAAACTCCAACGGTGCATACGTTTAGTACTGATAGTCAGTTTCACTTCACGTGCCTACGAGGAAAGTACTTCCGGGTCAACGTGTGTTTCGCCACGCGAATCTTACGAGCACGGGAAATTGGTAAACTGTTTACATTATATCAATATAACTTATCGTGTTGTGGCCATATATAAATATAGATATAAATGACTTTTAACCACAGAGTATCAACTGTTAGCTAGCATGTCTTTGTGCAGTTCCAGGATACGTTACTGTGTGTAAATGTATCATATCCATTTATTTATGAAAACCTCGTCGCCTTAATCGCCACCAAAACATTCACAGATTTGTTTTGCTTTAAATTGATTATTTGAATCAAGTGTAATGAGAGTAAAGTTCGTGGTTGCATGTGAAGGTGCCAGGTAGCGACTTTCAGAGAAACCTCGTTGGAAGACTCAAAGGTTTTAAATTGACTGATTACTGTAAACTATTTGCTCATCAAAAAACAAAAAAACAAACAAGATATAATAGTTATTTTCGATAAAAGATGTTGAAGCGGAAGACACTTGAGAAGATTGTTGATGTTACAGTAGAGGGGGCACGGAATAGGGTCAGATGGAGGCAGACGATCTGCTGTGGCAACCCCTGAAGGAAACAGCTGCAGAAAATGTATTTACAGCAAATATTTTTTTAAAAAAAGAACTCACGTCGTTGTGATCACACATTCATCATCTCATTTTTTATGCATTAACAGTTTATAATTAATACAAACTCATTGGTTACTTTCAGCTGAAGTGACTTGCTCTGTGAGTAGATTGGGGCTCTCAACAAACCATTGGTGAGTAAATGTCATTCACTCTGTCATTTTGTTTGGATTTGCACTAACAGACAGTAATAACAGTGATATTTCATATGCTAGGAATACATATACATTCTTTACTTTTTTTAAAAATCCAGAGTTGCAAAGTCCATGCCATTGAAGGAGGAGGAAATGGATTTTAGCAACAAAAGTGAAGAAAAGCATATAAAGAAGAAAAAGCTGAAGAAGAGTAAAACCACTGTGGTTGACAACAAGAACTGTTGTGTTGATGATCTAATTCCATTGAGGAAGATGAAGCATAGCCAGACAGAACAAACAGCGACTTTAGAGCCAGAATCTTATCAAAGTAGTGGTAGTAAAAAAAGGAATAAGGATAGAAAAAAAAAAAAAAGGGAAGAAGGTGTAAACCAATTGGAAGATGGTGTAAATAATGCTGGTGCAATGGAGACAACAGAAAATCTGCTGTACAAAAAGAAGAAAAAGAAGATTTGTGATATCAAACATGTAGAAATACATCAAGATTTGTTAAAAGAAGAGAAAAAACAGCGAAAGAAAGAAAAAGAAAAGAGTGAGAAATTGCAAATCAGAAAATTAAGTCCAACAAAAAATAACCTGGAAAGTGAGCATGTGTGAATAAGGATAGATATAAATAAAAAAGATATAAATAAAAAAGCTGCACCCACAGAGAAGACAATGGGACAAAGTAAAAAAAAGAAAGCCAAGAAGGAAAAGCATTTGTCAGTCAGTAACACAGTCAATTACCCAGAGCAAAGTGAAGAAACAAATACCTCTGAAGAAACTGTAGCTAACACACAGGAATGGGGTGTGGCAGCAGGAGGGAGTGATTGTGATAATGTAGAAACGAAGAAAAAAAAGAAAAAGGCTAAAAGAAAGTGTGATGTAACAGACAGATCTGAGGACTGTATGAATAAGGACAAAGTAAACAACAAAGAAAAGGAGAATGTGCTTGGTATAAGTAATATGGAGACTGAGAAAGTAGATAAAAAAAAGAAGAAGAAAAAGAAATCTGATGATAAAGGAGAAAAAAAGAATGCCAAAAGCTCACAAGAGAATGAGGAACTATTTTTAAAGCATGGCGAATACAAAGAGGATGACAAAAAGGAAGAAACAGTTACTGTTGTGACAAGTAAAAAAATAAACAAGGTCAAACGACAGGAAAATGACCATATGTTTTATGCAAATAACGAACAGACAAAAGAACGCCTGGAGACAGAAGAATTATTCATTGGAGATGGTGAAAATGAAATAAATGAAAAGAAAGAAGAAACTCCTAGAAACGCTAAAGAAAAAACAAGAAAAAAGAAGGTAAAAGATGAGGATAACAATGTTAGACATGATGGTAGTGCAATAAAGAAGAGGAAAAAGGAAAGCTGCCGAGACACAGAAGAATTATTAATGGAGTATGAAGAAAAACCAAAGTCTGAGAAAAAAGCAAAAAAGAAAAGGAAGATCGAGGAGAAGGTGGAAGAGCCACTGGTGAGTGTCAATTACCAGACTTCACTGACTCTGTTCTGGAGCTGTGCCATTTTCCTGTTTTAATAAGACTTGTGTTTTGATTAAGAAATCTGTCCACGTGGATACGATCAGCAGCAACCAAATATGCAAGGCTTCTCAACCTCAAGAGACACAAGCTAGACCTTTGGTGAGTATATATACAGTATATATATATATATATATAATTTTCCATAAAACTGTTTACGTAACCTGTTTGTAACTCACGCAATTACAGTTATGTACTGTTAATGGTGCCTGCAAGATACATACCATGGGCCCTAAAACACTTCCATACCATTACACATACCAGCGTTTGAACTTTTTACAAGAAGCAAACTGGGTAATTTCCTTTACTAAACTTAAGTTTTAATGCTGTTCCACCTGAGGGATTTAGCGTTTAGTTTATATTCTAAATATTTTAAAGAATTTGCAAGATCAATGTATTGTTTTATAAAGTTGGTCTGTTTACTTTCTTGTTTATATATTAGTTGGTTGTAAGTCACTCTAAGAGATTTGTTGACTTCGGTGCAGAGGTTTGTGCTCCTCCCTGTCTGTGATCTCCTGTTACTGTAGACTTTTTAAAGCATCACCTGGACTTGGACCACTAACGTCTCTTTTGTGTGTCTCGCAGGATTTGGGTCAGTGGACTACTGCTGAGTTCAACAGTTCTCAGCAACAGCACAAGTTCCTGAGTCTGATGGGTGCCTTCAAAAAAGGTTTCCAGCCAGCTGCTGCAGGCAAAGGAAAGCCAAATATGGCAATGGGAAAAGAGGCACAGCAGCAATTACAGCAAGGGCTTTTGGGACAGTTTGAGCACGCTCACTCACGCACCATGAACTTCAATAAGAGAGGGGCGGGACTTGGGTTTACTCCATTGTCCAATAAGAAGTTTTCGATTGACATCAATGCATGCCGTTCGGTTCATTTTGATCCTTAATAAAAGTGAATTAAAAAATATATATATATTGTTTTTATCTCACTTGAGAATAACAGACAGAGAGAAAAAAAATCTACTAGAATAAAAAACCACTAAATGATGTATTTGTTTTTTGTGTATGCATTTAATTCCACTAACTCAACATTTGTGGTCAGTACAAAAAAGGAAATTCACACAATGGTAACATTTTCCTTTAATGGTCATGGGCCATTTTATTCCTCTTGCTGCAAGCAAAAGAAATTTGACTTTGTGCACAGTAGCTGCATTTTGAGTGCATTTGCACAAGAGGCTCTATCAAACACATTTCCCAACTTTTACAATCCCTTCGTGGTCATGTATACCTCGTACATCTTTTTTACTCTGAAGTAGAAAGTTGTCTCAGACATAGAAGTTACTGTCAGTTAATAAAATGAGCTACACCTTCCATGGAGGATGGATGATGCAGCCACTGTCCTGAGTAGGGATATATCTGGCTGTTTCCTTTCCTTTTTACCCCAGTATTTGTAATACTCAACAGTAGTATAATGTGACGCTGCAGTATTTCTCCACAGCTGTATGATATTTTAGAAAATGTCTTGAGTTGAGAGATTTAGTCTTTTGCTGCTCTTGTTTGACACAATTTGCAGGAAAAAAAAAAGACTTTTGACAGAACACTAAATGACAACTCACGTGTTGTCCACTCAGGAAATGTCTGAAAGAGCTGGGACGACTGGACAACACTGTGTGTAGGATGGTGGGAATGCTGTGTGTTACAGGTGCGCAAGAAAACCTTTGTCACGCGTGCAGATACTCAGGCTGCACTCTTGCCACTTTGCGGAACTCTTTGACGTGGGTCCTTGGACACTGCATTTCACACCAGCTGATGGGAATCATCTGAGCACCTGAGTCACAGTAAATATGAGTTAAAAAAAGATAAAGGAATGTAAATACACGTCATTTACACAAAAACCAAAATGAAACAATATCAACAAGAACAGCCAAAGCTAATGAAAGTAGCCAAGTGGTGAAATTTGTTTAACAGTAATAGAAAACATGGTCCATGCATGGCTTTTACATGTTATTTATCTTAGTTCACACCAACACTCCATCTATCTGACGGCCCAGACTCCCTGTCAAATTTTAGAACCTAGAGAAACTTAACATGGTTATGGTTCAAAAACCATCAACAGTTAAAAACTTTTCACTATTAATAATCTTTAAGGGTTACCTGCTTCACTGTGTGCAACGACAACTCCCAGTTCATTTTCTGCAGTTGTCAACAAATAGTTAGATTGGACATCACCAAGAGAAATCTGTATAGGGGTCAAGGGTCAACATCACACAGATTCACAACACTGAACATCTAAATGGAAAAAGGTACAGAAAAGTGGTAGCAGGTGTACCTACTAAGGTGTGTTTGCTTGTTTATTCGCATACCATTTAACAAGCATTCATTTTTCTAACTGACCAATATTAATATTAACTGATAGAAGGATACCACTTTTGCAAGGACAATGTCACCAGGTCTGAAACTTTTGTATGTCTCCACCTGTTAAAGTACAGAGAACGATATAAATGAAGTTTCTCATCTCAGTTTTAGTGATGTAATGACCTAAAAAATGAAAACAATGAAAATAAAATAAAAACAATAAATTATTACAACAAACACTCTTATTCACACATACCTTGTCCTTTTCTGTTGCACGTACATCTTCTTTTCTACATTTGAATAGAAAAATAATGTTTTTTTAGGAAAGCATTGAAACACGAAAAAAAAAACAGTTGAACTATTGAGTCAGAGTTGAGAGTACCTGATTGTCCCTCTGAAGCGGTCCTTCAGCGGCGTGGAGCCTACATACAGAATGTGAACCTTGGCATACCTGGGATTTATGCTGGTCACCTGTGTGATTAAAGACCAAGATGAAGCTCAAAGCACAAAATATAGTTGTTTTTTTTTTGTCTTCAGTTAGCTACAATAACAGTTATCTGTCACAAATTAGGTAAGTACATCATGTGTATTAGTGGTACAACAGTGCATATATATATATATATATATATATATATATATATATACATACACACAATATAAGGGTGTCAAAACAAACTCTTCAATGAACAGGACCAGTTGTCTTTATATATCCTTGAATAATTGAATGTTTAATTCTATCTGCATTTTGGCTTATATTTGTGCCTAAAGTCAGATATATAAGGTAAACATCAGATCTCAATATGTACCTTACAAGTGACAATTGCTCCCACATCTGGCAGCAGCTGAGTTTCTGTTTCCCTCACTACTGAAATCACAGGTAACTGGAAAAAGAACATTCACACGACTAGTATTCAGGACATATGGAAATTTTAAACAAAAGACTTTTCATTGTTACTGTTTTGCATCTTAGCTCATACTTTTAGACAGGTACTCCGAAACACATCCATCATGTCCCTCACCTCTTCTCCTTCATTTTTTTTGATGACGTAGCCTGCTAATGAGGAATATATGTAGCCGTGCCGAAGATACACACCAGTGCCGGGCATACAGTCCTCCGTGCTGCATAATTTGTCACCTGTGGGGGTAAATTAAGATGGGGTATTTAGGTATTTAGCATGCTTTACAAATGTCCTATTTATTGAACCATCACAGAAAAGAACGGTTAGTTTCAACATGCTAATTTTTTCATTTGTAAATGAACAACTGAAGCATTAGAATTATAGAAAAAAAGAACAAAATATTTCAAGCAAGAAGGGAGGGTTTTCTTGGTTAGAAGTGGCCAGCAGTTTGAGGACGATGCCTTATAGGAACTCAAGTTTGATGGCAGTAACTTATGACAGCAAATGCAAAAGAGCTTTGACTTAACCCAAGATAAATATTCACGGATGCACCCAAATTGAGCATACAATATCTAGTCACCATGTATCAACAAGTAAACTTATGTTTACATTTTTTCTTAAAACGATGGTGTAGTTGATCTTGTAGGCTTTAGGTTAAAAACCTTCATCTCTGAAGTTTGAAAGGTTTATCCTGTTAAAATTATAAAGTACAGACTTTCTTCTTGGATAAATTAAGTTAAATTAATATACGTGTACTTTTAAAAAATTTGTAGTCGATATGATGAGTAAGTGAAAAACAAGTGAGCAAAGGAATGTTGACGTGCTGTCCTCAGGCAATGGGCAGGGCAGCACATCAAACCCAGCACGGAATGTTAAAATCATCCACTCTCGGTCGTGCACAAGTTCGGGTATTTTTTTTTATTTTTATTTTTTAAACAGCAGAATAATATTTCCTTACACCGAATGTAAACAATCGGTTTACAACTAACAAACGACGAGAGACGATACAGCACACCCTACCACGCATGGGAATACCAACACCGCACAGTAACTACCCAGTAGATAACCTACACTTAGAAACACCGTCAGGACCACCGCTAACAGTCAAAATGTGTAAGGAGGTCTAAAACATAGTGTAACAACATTCCTAATAACAGTAATATTATCATTTGTGGTGCTCACCTGGAACACACAGCTTCATGGGCGACATGTTTGAGAGAAGAACCATGTGTTAGCTGATTGGTTGAGGCGAAGTACTCATGTAAAATATGATTGGTTGTTCACGCGAGGGGCCGAACATACGGACGGCTCTATCCGCCATGTTTGTTGAGGCACGTGTGGTCAGTCATGGTTGATAAAATGAAGTTCTGCATACAGTTATGGAGCTGACAAAGTACTTAGTAACACAACGACAAACAGGCTAACAGTAACAAAGCCCGACGAGTCTTCTGCTAGCCTCCCATAGGAATAGGACTAGAAGAAAACACAAATTCTGCACATGCAGTGTTAGGAAATATATAAAATGTTTTATACAGGAAGAGGTTTTATAGGCCTCACACCACAAATGTGTAATGAACTAATAATTGATTTGATCTATAAAAATGAGATAGAGGTAAATGATCTGCAGTGGTGATCCCTGAAGGGAACACCCAATAGAAGGAGAACAATGCAATGATTGCCACATGTGCCGTATTGAAACATGCAATACAGGAAATTATACAGTTTTTTTGTCCTTTCTCGAGTTTTGTGTATGTACTGCCCTTAGATATGTCCTTACATAAGTTGATGTTCAAGAGAAAAGTAATATTGTGTTCCATAAAAATAGCAATACTTATTACTACAATTGAAAAGTGTATTATCAAGTGATAATTTCTCTATCGTTGAGTTGCTGTATGACAGATCTTCATGAATACTACTTCAAATTCTTAGATTGATTTTTCTTGTCAATTCTCCTTAGGATTCAGTTATCACTGTTGCCGGTGCACCTTTTCTTAACTCTTTCCTTTCATTTAACTTTCAATGAATATCCTTGTATGCATTTGGTGAACTGTGAATTATGGGTGAGACATCGGTCAAGTAGAAATCCTCCCTATAATTGTGTAACCTAAGTATTAGTAACAACAACAACAACGAGAATAGTTATAACAATAGTAATTGTTTTGTTATCGCCAAAGTTCTTCCAAAGATTCTCAGTTGTTTAAAGATTGAGATTGGGTTTTGTCTTCTCACGTGTCTTTTAAGGGCGTTTGTTTGTACCCTATCGCGACAGCTGAAACTGAACGCTGATTGGCCAAGAATCCCAAAACAGTCAATGATTCCGCCTTTTCCCGGAAGCTGAGAGTCATCTGACTTTTTATCATGCCTATGACGTTTCCTTGTTAGCAAGCTGTAGGACTAGCCATCGAAACAAACGTATTTTCCACTTCTAACTTTCCCCTTTATATTCTTGTTCTTCTGGGGTGAAACACGCACGTTCACTTAATACTAAAGAATGAACGAGACAAGTCCTCTTGTCTCTCCACTGCGGGACTCAGGTGAATTCAATTACGAGCCGACCAGTCCGCGCGGCGCTTTGGGGAGCACGCCAGGCTCCGTGGTTCGCATCCCCGCTGGCAGTCCGGGGCGCAGCCGGGAAAGACAGCCGCTACTGGACCGAGGCCGGGGCACTTCGCCGCGAGAGCCGCACAGGAACGAGTTTCCTGAGGACCCCGAATTTAGGGAAATCATCCGCAAGGCCGAGCGAGCCATAGAGGAAGGAATTTACCCGGAAAGGATTTACCAGGGATCTAGTGGAAGCTATTTTGTCAAAGACTCTCAAGGGGTAAAAACTACTGATGCTGACTCACTTGTCCTCTGGTTATAAATATTTGCCATGTTGTTAGCTAAGATCCAAGGTCCTGCTTTGTAATACAAAGAGAGTACGGGAGTGTGTGTTTAACAAGATGCAAGTGGCTTTTGAGGTCAAATATGTTTGTAACGATTAAAAACATTAATCACTTAAACTATTTTGTCTTACCCATAGCATCTACGACGCCTGATTTTAATTGTAAGTTTGGTAAAAAAATCCTCTTGGGTTTCCGTTCTAAAAGTAACCTTAATCCCAAGTTTCTGCAAAATAAACAAGAGGTAGCCTAAGCGTTCCTAGAAATGTTCCAAATACACATATTCACAGCTAAATGTGTCTTCTGCATTAAACCTATTGAACTCAATTTCACACTTGCGGCCCACGAAGTTCTTACATCTGACATCGTCACGGGGCAGATAGCAATAATAATTAGCCACTTGGAGGTTTATTTTGTTTTTTGTTTGTTTTTTTACGTTTCAATTTTCTGGTCATTAAAGCCTTAAAATGCTTCCATCAGAAATATTGAATTTGAGTCAACTGCTTCAATAAAAATACATAAAATAATTAATTCAATTGGAACTTGAATTTTGGATTCTAATTACTGGTCACATGCTAAACTTAGATGCAGCTCAGTAATTCATCACTTACTCTGATCTGCTGCTTTGATAGCAACAGAGAGATGAACATGAAAGTGTGCAGCTGTGTGTTTGTCAACCCAGATCTTTGTGCTGAATCAGGAAACCTGCAGGAGGACAGCCATCTTTTAACAGCTGTCATAGTGGTGTCAACTTCACACTACACAAGTACACTACAGCAGAGGTCCTCAAAATATAAATATTCTCACACCTGCTGCATAATATCGTATGTGGTTTTCAGCATTACATTTTCAGCAGCTATACAAAAATGGCAACGCATTAAGTTTGCTAGTGAATGGTGTCGTCACCAACTTAGTTATTTAACAATGTGCTTATGTGGTCATGTGAAGGTTCTCTCTCTGTGTGTGTGTGGATATAACTCTATAACTTTGATCATGTTTTGGTCACAATGGTCACTTGAAGTCTTAACAGAAGCAGCATTGTTTCATTTTTAACAAAGCCTAGTGAAATTGTCCATAAATGATAGCATAATTTAGTTAATGTGGATAATTACAGTTTTGGAATTTTAATAAATTACACATAATCTAACATGGTTAATTAATTTTCACTTTTTAAGATTTTTTTAAAAATGTTTTAATATATTTGCATTTAATTCTAAAGCTTTATTTTTGCAGAAAATAATCGGTGTCTTTAAACCAAAAAATGAAGAACCCTATGGCCAACTCAACCCAAAATGGACTAAGTGGCTCCAGAAACTGTGTTGCCCATGTTGCTTTGGTCGAGATTGTTTAGTCCTGAACCAGGGTTATCTCTCAGAAGCTGGAGCGAGCCTGGTTGACCAGAAACTGGAACTTAACATTGTTCCTAGGACTAAGGTATAGACATAAGTGTTTTACTCTTCTAGTCATTTTTTGTTTTTATGTATGGCTTTACCCTTTTTACTTCCATTTAGGTGGTGTACCTGGCTAGTGAAACATTCAATTACAGTGCCATAGACAGGGTGAAGTCTCGAGGAAAACGGCTAGCTCTGGAAAAAGTGCCCAAAGTAGGACAGCGGTTTCACAGAATTGGATTACCTCCAAAGGTAAAGTAAGAGTGATGTTACAAGTCAGATACTTGAACTCACCTTACGATGTAAACATTATATTTGTATATGGAATCTATAGAAGAATGTATAATAACAATTAACAACTGACTCTGACTTTGACTCTACAGTAATAGAAGGTGGAAAATAATGGTTTTCATTTGTATTGTACAGGTGGGTTCCTTCCAGATGTTTGTGGAGGGATACAAGGATGCTGATTTCTGGCTGCGGCGTTTTGAAGCGGAGCCTTTACCTGAAAACACCAATCGTCAGCTCCAGCTTCAGTTTGAACGACTAGTGGTTCTTGATTACATCATCAGGAACACAGGCATGTAGCCTTTTTGGCATTCTACAAAATATTTCAAAAAACTTAATACTACTTGTTAGTTCTAGTAAGTAATTTTCAAATACTACTGTAGAAATGTTTTGGTGGGTTTTCAGGCTTTGCAAATAATCAAATTTAGATTAGTGTTTCAGTTGTGACTCAAATTGATCACAAAAACGACGCAATAATAGTAACTATTGCATACAATAATTATTGTAACAATATTATATGATTTTAGTTATTCTGTTGCATTACATTACTTACATTACTGTAATTAAACTGGGGAAAGATGCAGCGCACTGTCCACAGTTCTTACTCACAGTAATTGTTTTTTTTATTACATAAAACATTTTATTTCTTAAAGATAATGAAGAATATGTGATTTGGTGTTGCAGACAGAGGAAATGACAACTGGCTGCTGAAGTATGATTGTCCAATGGATTCAGTTGGGAACAGGGTAAGGATTAACCTGCATTCATGTGATGCTTCTGTACGATCTTCTGCTTTCATTCAAAAAATGAATAACATACAACAAAGAAAATTTAACTTTTAATTTAAGAGCTACTATTAAATATGTGCCTGAATCGCCACACTTTCTGCAGGACACAGACTGGGTTGTAGTCAAGGATCCAATCATCAAATTGGCCGCCATAGATAACGGCCTTGCCTTCCCACTCAAACACCCCGACTCCTGGAGAGCATGTGAGCTTCTATGCTGTTGTTTTCTCAGACATGTAGACTTTAGTTAAATTACAGTTTTTGAGTTTTTTTAAGGCACTTTAATTTATATATTAAATATTTTGTCATCCTGCTGCTGCTAGATCCATTTTACTGGGCATGGCTCTCACAAGCCAAAGTTCCTTTCTCTCAAGAAATCTGTGAGCTGGTTCTGCCAAAACTTTCTGACCCAAATTTCATCAAAGACCTAGAAGAGGACCTTTATGAATTATTTAAGGTAAGAGATTTAGCGTACAATATGAACCCTGAGGGATAATTATTAGGAACACTTAAAACATTTTGAAAACTTGTCTAAACTTTGTGTGACAAGTGAGACTAATTTACAGGAAATGACTGATCTTGTCTGGCATTGTCTTTGTTTTTGCAGAAGGACCCTGGATTTGACAGAGGACAATTTCACAGACAAGTATCTGTCATGAGGGGGCAGGTGAGTTTACTACCTCCTTTAAAAAAACTCAAAAATGTAGGCATCCTATTCAAACATCAACCACACATATTCAATGTCCCTTTTAATACTACGATGTGGCAAAGTGGGTGATTATGATAATCCTGCCCCACCACTGGGCAGAGCCACCCATTCTAACACACATACCTGTGCCAGGATCAGCTATCTGCTTGTGTATTGTAGCTTTAAGTGCTGTAATAGTGTCTACAGCTGACCACAAACTAACTTAATTATTTGTTATAAATATCTAATATTTTATCATCCTTTATCTTTTTGTTTCATTAATGCCAGATCCTCAATCTCTGCCAAGCCCTGAAGGACAGTAAAACACCGCTTCAATTAGTCCAAATGCCCCCAGTTATTGTTGAAACAGCCAGAGCACCTCAAAGAGCCAACAGTGAGTCCTACACACAAAGTTTCCAGAGCAGACGACCCTTCTTCACTTGGTGGTAGCAGAAGGAAGCGAAAGCAGATAAAGAAAAGAGCTGCGCCGGAAGAGAAGACAGCTTTTGTCCTAAAATGGTGATTATTTATCACCATAATCATCAACCTCTTTTCCTCTCTGTAAGCACATTTTTGTTAAAGACAAAGGTTGAACGGGTGGAGAGAAGAAGCCAGAAGAGGACGGATTTCACTACATCCCTTCCCAGTTGGCCTTCTTCTCAACAGTCTGTCAGATATGGTGTTAAGTGGTGCATAAATCATTTCCTCACACGTGTGCACCTCAATCTAAGGCACCTCGTAACATTGTCTGTGTAAAGTATAGCATTCCATGTTTGACCCTAGCTGTCTGCCTTTTAACCCTCACCTGCATATGTCCAAAGCATTACTGTTGGAAAACTGGAAGTCATAGCTTTAATTTTTCACAAATGAATGAACTGCTCATCATCGCTAAACCCTGGATATGACTGCTTGCTGATTTGTGGTTGCTTCCCAGATAAGGCGCAAGCAGAGTTAACTGGTTTCACAGTTAATTCTTCTATTTCTAGCATCTGAAGTGATCTAGTAATGCAGAAATGTGTAAAGGTCAGGTTAGTTAATGTTTTAGCATTAGCCTTGAAACTATTGTACTGTCTCATCTCCAAGCTGGAGAGATGGGTCTGCTCGCTCCATTTTTGTCCAGACCAAGCTTCCAATAACTGAATGGCAAGTGGAACTCCATAACCAACAGTACTATTAACGTCCTGAACTGACATGAAATGTAACTGCGAATGCACTGTATGATTTGTATACATGTAATTTAATAATAGATTATCCTTATTAAAACCAAAAATCCATGACATCACAGTTGCTGATGTACTTCATTCATAACTTTTGTTTATAAATATATATAATTAATTTAATTCTGCACAGAAAAGTTGGCATCACAAAAGAGCCAAGCACAAAGCAGAGACAAGACATGAACAAAGAACCCCATGGTATGGTCAACTACACTGCACAATGAACCAACAAGGACTGACATCCAGGACAGCAGGTGGCACCAGTGGGACTGATGACGAAGACACAGCTGACACAGGCAGGAGGGAAGGAAGACGGACAGACCTGACAAGACAGCCATTTTTATTGTATGGTTACACCTGTATACCATGTGTTGTCATTTCTCAGATGGTAATCTCACTAAACTGAACACATTAGCACATATAACCCTTTTTAACAGAACAGGACTTGTACTGCCAGATACTAAAAGATAAGTGTTATTGGAAGTATAAACTGAACGTGTATAGAAAAAAAACAACAAAAATGTTGTTCACATGCTTAATTTATGTTATTATTACGATTATATAATGTGTTAGGTCTGCTCTTTGACTGCTGTGTGCCACACTATACTAGTACTATAACTACAATGTCAAAGGGACTATTGTCACAGGAGATATGATAAACAGACAGCTTCTGGCTAGCTGCAAACACTAATATAGTCACGACAGGTCATATTCTACATGTATATCGCTTCTATGCTTCATCTACTCTATTTATCATGCAAACTTTTTTGGCTTCAAAGGTTCACCTCCTGGGCAAGTTCGAATCCCGGTTAGGGCAGTTGGTACCTTCCAGTGGACTCACCACCCGCAGGAAGGTTCAGGGGGGTTGGTACGGTGCAATGTGATTTGGGCCGGTAACGGATAAGCGGATGAAAATGGATGGATGGATGGGTTCCAACAGGCGTTACCAGTCCTACTGAACCTGCTGAGGCAGTATTTTGTTTTGGTGGTTCATATAGAAAAGACATACACACATACACACAAAAATAAATAGAAACGTAATGCATGTCTTTGTGTTCTATGGTGTACAATTACCAACAAATCTCTCCTTTTTGCTTCTTATTTTTTAACTGTAGTTTTGAGCAAAGACAAAACAATATATGTAATTATATTAATCCAATCTATTCTTTATGAAAAACCACGAAGTTTTAAGATAATATTTAAAATTTATTTCTTAAAAAAAATCACTATATTGGTTCTTTTATTTAAGCCAACTGTGGCGTCCCTTAAAATATACCGAGCTCGATTGCATCTTCGATCTACTATTCTTCCTCGATGATATACGGAAGTGGACGTTCACTGGGTGGAGCTAAAAACAAAGCTAAGTGCGACAAGAAGTGCTTCAAAAAGTATGTAATTTTTTGTCCAGTTTTTCGTCAGTCGTGACCAACGTTTCGAGTCTCGATTGGAGTCTCGCTCTCAGACTAACGTCCAGGCATGTTGACTGGGCGCTGTCAAACCGACCGAGCTGGATGAATTTGGAGGCTGTTCCTTGCCCTGAGTAGATTATGTCTTTGGGACTCGCCAGTTTCGCCTGAGCTGACCGTTGGTGTACCATCTGCTAAGGGTAAGTGATCTCTTTCAAGGCCATTTGAAACACGGGAGTACAGTATAGTTACAGTGACAGTGAGTCAGAACGTCGATTTTACTTAACTCCTTTTTAACGGAACATTATTTTCCTAATTCGTTTTTTTTAGATATTTATACCATAGAAAATTTAAAAAAAAAACTCAAAATAAACGCGCTTTTAAACATGCACTTATGTATACTGATGTCATAACAACGACTTTAACCTTTGTCAAGCTGAGGAGACAGGGGACAGGGTGAGATGAAGACAGGTGATTCGCTGGGGCGACCCCTGAAGGGAACAGCCGAAAGATGAAGTTTCTTGGTGGTTTTAGTAAACAAATCCCACTAAGATAATCCGTCATATTAACAATTAATTGATCGAATTATAAAGTTGAAAGTATTTGTAATACCCTTAACCTAAAACATTTTACTTAATCGTGCCAAGTGTAAAAAAAAAAGTACTTCAAATAGGAGGACTGTTTGTTTTGATTACAGTATTTCTGAAGTCTACGAAAAGTTCAGCCACTGATAATGCACAGTGCATTTACGGTTGCATTATTCCTCTGTTTCCAGGAAAAATGCACAACAGCGAAGCATCACACGACCCTCCACAGACTTCCTGGGAACAGACAGAGCTGGTGCACACACACTCCAAAGACAGACTTGGTTCTCCAGATACGTCTGGGCTGGGAACCCCACGATGTACAACACATTTTGACCTGCTGAACATGGTTGTGTCCTATAAAAGAATGGTTCAGTATCTAGAACCAGTGGCAGATGCAGTGGAATTGGGTCGCTTTCTTCTTGGGTTTGTATCATTTGACATTAATTTAATTATGTTTTTTCTGTCATTTCAAAGTCAGGAATACCATATTTCCAGTCAGTCCGACTTATTTTTTTTTATTTACTTAAACAGATGGAAGATGCCAGTATGTTCACTCCTGGTATGTTTACTCCTTAATGCATTCTTCTGCACTGTTAATGAAGGTAAGAGAAGACATAGGGATCATGTTTCAAAATACTTCAAACTAATTAACTGACTGTTTTGTATGCCTGTGTTGTGTCAGTGGGGTGGTTCTCAGTGGGTGTGGTGGCAGCTTTGGTTCCTGCTGCCTTCGGTTACCTGCAGGACAGGTGTGGAGGCAGAGCCTCAGATACTGAGCTCCAGAGACAACAATATCACACTGTGCACCGCAGGGACCTACAGACAGTGCAACTGACTAGACAGGAAGCCATGCTGGAAATAAAAGATCTGTAAGACTTGTGCTACACTACAGCATGTTTTTATTTATGATTCACCGACTCATCATTTCTTTTACAAAAATGTTAAAAATGTGTGTTATGTACTGGCAGTCATTTTTTGGTTTCCTTAAATCTCAATATCGGTCAGCTCTGATCTTTTAGTGTTCAATACATTTGCTTTGAGGTGTATGATAAGGTTTGGTTTTCTGTCTCCACCAGATTAAAGCACTTAGACAATATACTGTCCTCGGCCTGTCAGTCAGCAGACTCTTTTTACAAGGTCTTGTACTGGGACAACTACAACACGTCAACAAGGTAAGCACATATCTGCATGTGCAAATACACCTGTGGTTTTCTGTGCTAACTTTGCATTTATTAAATGTAATGGTTAACCTTTGTGCACAGATCAGAATTGTAGAACTTAGGAATCTGTCCCCCGGTGAATATTTTCCACTTTGCTTATTACTACCACTAGTGCCGTGTTATTAGGTTTGCCAGCACATTTCAAAAGTGTTAGTTTTGTGTAAAATAGTTTTAAATATGTGTGAATGAATTGCAGTTTTCAATGTGTTCTACCAGGTTTTATGGATGGATGTTAGTAGTGTTGTGCCTGCTCTACATTGCTCCTGTGGGCTGGATGCTTGCTATGCTCAACAGCACCATTTTCCTGTGGAACAGAGACTTTTTCAGAGGTGAGATTATCTTGATGTTTTTGAGACTGCAAAGACCTCACTGGATCCAACATAACAAGAACAGCATTTTCTTAATTGCTGGATGGCTGTGCATGTTCAGTGTGCACGTGAGGTTCTCCAGGCGTTTTCTATTCTAAAAATATAATGGTACAACTTGGGACAAATCTGTAGTGAGAATTGCCATGAATGGAATAATTTATTTACAGAAGTAGGGACCTATGTTGTAGGCATTGCTGTACTGGTGCTGTATAATGCAAAAGGTGCAGAACGGCACTTTCCTCAGCCAACCTTGAATTAGTGTTCCCAGTTATTTAACAGTCATCATTAAGTACACATGCAAAGTGTGTTCCATTCATATTTCCCTATCAACGCGTTCATCTGGTGGCTCTCTAATAATATTGTTTGCTTATTGTATTTTTATTTCTGGTGTGACATTCTACCTCCTTTCTATCAGTTATGGCAGATTTTAGAAAGTTCCTTCCCATGGGAAAAGTCCAGACTACTGAAGGGTTTTGTGAGAACCAGGACCAAGTCAATTTGCTGGACAGGACACCCACACCAACCAGTCTGGAGGTGAAAATAACCTTTTATGCCTTTTCTCTCAATAAATACTTTTAGTAGTTTGCTCAATAAGTACTTTTAGTTAAAGGGCAGTGGTCCCCAACCTATATTTGCACCACAGACTGGTTAAATGTCGAAACCTTAAGGTGTGGCGGAGAAATACAACCAAATAAAATGATACGACTGGCATAAAAACTGGTATTTTCTAAATATAATAATAAATGTCTTTAAAAGGCAGAACGCTTGGTCTCCAAGTGGTGAAGAAGTTTTGATCATTAAAGAGCTGTTGAACTGAGTGTACGGTGTTTGTCTTTTTTAACAACAGGACCTGTCCCCTGTGAGCGTGGAAGAGGCTGAGGAGGCAGAACCTGATGATGAATTTAAGGATGCCATTGAGGTGAATACTCTTCTCAGTATTTTGATTTACACAATGGCTAAGTTAGGCTTCCTCGGTATGCTTTTAATAACTGAAGGTATAACTAAAGACATCTTCATTTTTGTTTAACTATTTATTGGCCGAATACCACACTGCCAAAACTTCCTTGGACTTGTCTGGTGATTGTTCGTTTGTTTGCAATTACTTTGTTTTTGTTCAAATTGCTGGTTGTCAGTATTAGTGCTACCTCTGGTCAGCACTCACCTGATAAGACTTTTTCTGGGGCCTAGATTTGGTACAGATCAGAGGTCTTTAACCTCTGGGCACTAGACTATAACTGTGGGTTGCGCAGTTCTGCCCCAAAGAGAAACGTTCAACTCTGCTCTCCTCCTAACAGATGTACTATACTTGACACATGCTTTGCAAAATAATAAAGTCCTTTTACAAAGACAAGAACACGCATAAGCTTTCAGCGTCCAAGGTAAAAGAAAGTTGCATTACAATCCCATGTTAAGTAGGTTTAAGTAGGTAAAATATGATTGTTGCTTTAACATCTCCTTTGATCTCGCTTTATCTGTGCCTTGTACTTCACCACTGAAAGACGAGTGTGTTCATTTTAGTTACAGTTTCTCTCTACACTGTATCCACAAACGAGAAAGGTTGTTCAAAGTTACAGTCGCAAAAAATAACAACTATTTTTTTTCTTCGCTGTCTTTTAAAATCAGGAACATTCAGTCACTCTGAAGGTGAGTGTCTCTGTCCTGTAAAAGAAGTTCTCAGTGATAACCTTTGGTAAATATTTGTGTTTGATCTTTTACGGCTTGGATTTGTTCCACTCTCATGTCACATTAAACGCCTACATTTTGTAGAAGGGTTTTTCAAAATGTTTCGTTCACATTGTCGTAGATGGATCTTCCCAGTAGCTTCTATTCAATCCTGTCAGCTCGATGTGTATGGTTTTCCATAATTGTATTGTCAGGAGTACTATTACAGTAACAGGACTGTTTGAAGTTGAAGTTGTTTTGGGGAGGCGTGATATTATTGGTTGCTGACAAATTATTGGCTGTTAATGTGTTTAAATTTCAATTAGCCGATTATGTTTTTTACAAGTCTATAATTATTAACAATTATAACACATCTGAAAGAAAACCTGGGGTCATTTAAGATATCTAATTTAATACAATACTTTACAATGTATAGAAATTGTAGCTGTTCATTATTGTATGTAACCATAATCTTGTATCATTCATCATGATTAACAATCACAATTAATCATGAATATTTTTAATTATAAATAAGCAGTTTATCATGATTAATCCAGACCAACATTTCCCAAAAGTTGCTTTCAAGCTTCAGTGAAGTCATTGCAACTGACAACTGTCAGTCAGCTTCTCAGCTGTGTTGTTATGTAAGTTATGTATGAACGATATACAGTGCATTTTATTCTGCCTAAAAAATCTAATTCGTTAAGATTTTAAGTTTAATATTTAAAAAATAATGAATGCGTCTGTTTCCACAGCCATGTAACAATAATATATGGTCACAAATATAAATATATGGGTCATATATGGGTCAGGATTTGAACTCAGCTGACCAAGTTTGAGTCCAGCTGTAAATGTTGTTGTACTTGTCTTTTACAGTACGTGCCATCCATGCTGAAGTTAAGGCTTAAGTAGAATCTCTGGGTTCTTCACAATTCAATTCCAAATTAGGCCAATGATCATGATTATGGGGAATTAAAATTATTATGAAATGATTATTTACATGTACATAAATCCATACAAATTCTGGTATAGTCTAAGATTTTTTTTTCATTTCAAATCTACCCACTAATAGTGTGAATATAGATACTTTGTGCAAATTAACAAAAAAAAAACCAACCAAACAAGTCCTGTTGCTTTCTACTACTCTTCTGAGAATACGACTTGCATGACTTAGAACCATCACATGCAAGACTTGCAGTTGTCTACTTCACTAAAGCTATCATCGATTAATAATTTCCCACACACACACACACACACAACATATATATTAGAGGTGCAACGATACACAGAATTCACAGTTCAATTCAATTTGATACGTAAATGTCACACTGAACCGAACCGAGTGTTTCCAATATAGAGAAAACAGAAATGTCCACAAGTTGTAGCTTATTGAAATAACCATGGTTGGAGTTTTTCATTGAAAGTAAATATATCTGGTACAGCTATACCTGTATCGTTTTCTGCTGTGCATACTGAGAAGTTATAATCATAAAACAAAAGTTGTAGCTCACTAAATAAACTATTCTGTAATAATAAATGAGAGATATCAAAAACAAACTCCTCAATGGACATTATTAAAGTACGAACCGCCTTAAAAATGGCATGCCAGACACCGTAAAGGTTCTTTGAGGTCTCTGGGCATGCCATTTGAGACATTAGCAATGTTGCAACGAGCTAGT